CGTAGAAAACGCGCTCACAGAGTTTGGAAACACAGGACAGTAAAGATATCGGACGGTAGTTTGATGCTTCGTGGCGGGACCCTTTCTTGTAGATCGGTATAACATTAGCTGTTTTCCATGCAGAGGGAAAACGACCAGTGCGGAATGATAGGTTGAAAATCAGACATAAGGGGTATGCTATTGAGGGCGCAAGGGACTTTAATACCAGATTAGTGATGCCGTCTGGGCCTGGCGCCTTGTCAGACGGGAGCTTTCGAATGTAACGTCGGATGGCAGCAGTCGTAGTAAAGACAGATGTGAGGCGGTCAGCCTCACCCGACTCCTCGGCAATGGGGGGAATGGGTAGAGAAGGGTCATCAGGCACGGCCACTGAGGCGAACTGAGAGTTCAATGCAGTGGCTTTAGCTGAAGAGGTAGTAGCCTGCTGTGTAGAACTAATGGTGAGTGTCGGGATGTCACGAGATACTTTATGATTTTTTAATTTGTTCACGAACTGAAACAGTGATGGGCGGTTTTTGTCCTGCAGCGTAGCTTGTACGGACCGAATGTATCCCCGGTATTTCGATCGAGTCAGACTCTTCACTAAGTTCCGTTGAGATCGATATACATGCATGTTAAGCTGGGTTGGGTATTTCTTACACACACTGTAGAAATCGTGCTTCGCATTAATGGCGGCACGGAGGGGGGCATCATCCCAAGGTGGCTGACCTAAACGTAGGCATGAGGGGGAGAGTGGACGCCGGGAGAAGTACCCGAGGTGCTTCTCCATGGCCCTGCTAAGAATAGAGTAGAAAGACGAAAGAGCGTCATCCACGTGCGAGCTGCGGAGGTGACATTTCCAGTGGACATCAGCAAGTTCAGCATTCAGGTCATCCCATACGCAACGTGGCACCAACTTGAAATTATAACCTGGGGGGTGTAGGGGTAGATGTTGGGAGGAAGTGATGTTGTAGGGTTGGATTTTTGGACGTGACAGGGAGACGGACTCGACAGATGAGCTGCACGTGGTCAGAGCTACCCAGTGGAGCGGCTGAATCAACGGAGAGGAACTGCTGGGGTGAATTTGTGACGATGAGGTCTAAGCAAGATGACCGGCCACTTGGGCTCCAGTGCGTAGGGAAGTTGACCAGTTGCTCTAATCCGAAGCACCTGAAGGCGGTTTCAAGGCACTGACCCACAGGGGCATAATCCGCCGGTGCCTAGCAGCAAGCTTCACCACTGCTACATGTACTAGCTCCGAGAACAGTCATTATAATAATTATAAATGATTTGCATTAACATCTTACTGGCCGTGCTCCTGCTCCAGCTCTGGCTTGACAAGGAGCTGGGTCTTCCGTGAGTTGGTGAAGTATCCGTATTGCTGTCAAGTAAAGTAATCGTTGCTTGCAGCTCGTCCCACCGCAACCTGATCTGGCGCAACCTGATCTGGCGCAGCCCAAAAGAACGGTTGCGCAGGTATGCCACGGCAAATGTATGGAGAAAGCAAATCCCATACGGAGATCGGGCTTTCAAAGTCCACTGTACACAAACACAGAAGGGTAAAGAAGGGAAAAGAAAGGAAAGAAAGAAAGAGAGAGAGAGAGAGAGAGAGAGAGAGAGAGAGAGAGAGAGAGAGAGAGAGAGAGAGAGAGAGAGAGAGAGAGAGAGAGAGAGAGAGAGAGAGAGAGAGAGAGAGAGGAGAGAGGGAGAGAAAGAGCGAAAGAACGAAAGAAGTATCTAGCATATCTCTAGCTTGCATACGATAAGCCAAACTTGCCAAATCGCCAAAAATTATTATTGTAATGTGTTAGGTACCTCCTCCGGTACCTTTTCTAGCTGGCCTGCATGCACTTGCGTACGCACCTTTTGTCTCCTTTTGCTCCGTTGGCCTGGGTAGCTACTTGCGCGCCCATATTTGCCATAGCTACCCAGGCCCTTTATCTTGCCGTCAGACTTGATCTCTCTCTCTCTTTCCTCACTCTTCAATGTAGTCGTTTCGTTCGTCTTGGTCTCTTGTCTCGTCGTCTACTAGTATAATAAATGTCGTTCCCACTAACTTGTTCCCGTTGTAATGTCTGGATACGTTGTCAGTCGTCCTGTTTCGAACTCAACATTGGCGCCCGATTATTGATCGACCCACGACCCTGAGATCATCCCATGCCCAGCCGTCCTCAACCGCCATTCGTTTCGTCTATGTCAACCTCGTCTCGTCCATGTCAGTCTCGTCTCTCCCACGCCAACCTCGTCTCGTCTCTATCAACCTCGTCTCTCCTACGCCAACATCGTCTCGTCTATATCAACCTCGTGTCGTTCAAGCCATGCAGGTCAGCTACCTTTCTCTCTTTCTTTCTTTTTTGTATGCGTTCCTTCTTCGTCAAATTTATTTTCGTGAATTTTTTTGGAGTGTGTGTGCGCGCGGGTGTCCTTCATTAATATTAGGGGTCCGATCATGGTGAGCCACGCTCTCTTATTTATGTCGTATATTTTAAAGTGTAACTAGGCTCTATTAGCCGTGCAAAATACTAGTCATCAGAATACAATTCAAGTCCCTCGTCGAACTCCAATAGTTATTTTTTGGGCCATGTTTTGAAGGGGCGTTTGGGCCCGTTGTTATTGGCAATGTACACACTATAGTATGAGTAGTACAGGAACGTTGACGGTTGTAATGATCTGTAGTGCATTTTTTAGTCCACACTTTTGTGAGGCCCGTGCGTTGTGTGTGTGTGTGTGTGTTTTCTCCATCAGTCATTTTTTTTTAAAATCTTTTTTCTCTCTTTTTTTTCTCTCCGCGAGGACGCGGGATTTTTTTTCATGGAGGGGTGGTATGTTAGGTACCTCCTCCCGTACCTTTTCTAGCTGGCCTGCATGCACTTGCGTACGCACCTTTTGTCTCCTTTTGCTCCGTTGGCCTGAGTAGCTACTTGCGCGCCCATATTTGCCATAGCTACCCAGGCCCTTTATCTTGCCGTTCAGACTTGATCTCTCTCTCTCTTTCCTCACTCTTCAATGTAGTCGTTTCGTTCGTCTTGGTCTCTTGTCTCGTCGTCTACTAGTATAATAAATGTCGTTCCCACTAACTTGTTCCCGTTGTAATGTCTGGATACGTTGTCAGTCGTCCTGTTTCGAACTCAACACATGTATGCTCACGTTGTCATAGCGACCAGCGCAGTGATGACGCACATTCTGTTTAGCTCCGTGAGAGAAGGTCGATCACTGCAGAATTTGGTCATTTTCGATTGTCTCATTGTATTCACGATGTGAAAGAAGGGCTGTGTTCAATGCTGTTAGTGCCGTGAACTGTTTATTGGCCTTCTCCTGCATTCCCCTAGGCTGACTGTAGCCTAGGACATGGTTCCTCTAGGAGAAGATGCTTGGTATTCGCCATCTCTCCGGAGAATCTTTCAGCAAACTTTCGAAAGGTATGACATTATTTCGTTCTTCAATCTCCACCACCCGTCGTCTCACCTGGCTTCAGAAGATGTTACAAGAGATGAGACAGTCGCCAGGAAGAAGCATCACATCCAGCTTCAGGAAGTGGGAAAAGAAAACGGCATGGTCCTTGGTTGGGGTAAATGCTGAACGTCTGATTCGTCCCAACCAAGATTTCAGCACTTTGTTCCTCACTTTTCGCCAGTCTGCTGATGTCTTCGCGCTCCAGCTTTCTCCTGTCGGTGTCGCGTGACTCGCGTCCCAGCACACAACCGAGAGGACTACTAATAAACAGTTCACGGCACTAACAGCATTGAACACAGCCCTTCTTTCACTTCGTGAATACAATGAGACAAATTGAAAATGACCAAATTCTACACTGATCGACCCCCCCCTCTCTGACACGGAGCTAAGTAGAATGTGCCTAATGTTTTTTTTAACTGAATACCACAGAACCATCCGAAGCTACACAGCGGGGACGGTGGCATATTGGATGGAAGTGGGGGCGGGGCAAAAGTAACTCCTCCGACCAAAGGTCTCGGATTCATGCGCTCCGATACGTAGGAGAAAAGAACATGTGCATCCAAGAGGGGGAAGCACCTTTGCAAACGATAATCATGATAATGGGGAGAATTTGGGATTGAGATAGGACATAACTAGAGACCAGCTAGGTTTAGGCTGAGCGAAGGGGATAATGAAAGAGGGGTAGAAGGGAGCTGGACTGCGTCATCACTGCGCAGATCGCTATGGCAACGTGAGCATACATTTGGCGATTTGGCAAGTTTGGCTTATCGTGTGCAAGCGAGAGCTATGTCATTCGAACCGATATCAAAATTAATTGTCTTTCATCTGAACCCTACTTGAAAAATCGATGCACTTGTCCAAAGAAAGAGGGAGCAACGGCGAGAGCCTAGAGGTGAGACACTGAGAGCATGCCTCTATGAGGGGTGAGCCAAGTACTGCCCTGTAGGCGTGTGTTCGCCGCCAGGCAAGCGATGACACATACATGTACGCAACCTCCGTGACTGTCGCATGAGCTGCCGCGAGACCAAGGAGGTAGGTCCAGTGGCCATGGTGGCGAATCGTTCACCTGACCTCACATTGTGAGAATCAACACTGCTTGGAAAGTAGCAGTTCGAATGTCTATTGCAGTATTGGAGAGAAAATAAAAATATAAAAGCGCTGTCATGCTACCGTTATCGCATACAGTAGCTACCGGTGTGCGATGCCAGACGTGAGTGCAGGCAGGTGCGAGAGGAGGTAGGGATCCTCGCGCCTTTTCGGGACTGTCACTTGGTTGTTTATTGGGACGAGTGATCGCGTGGTCTAGCTCTAGAATTTTGCAGACCAGACAGTTGGTTTGAGACGCCACCGCGCTAAATCGATCCCTGGACAGGTACTAGCGGTAGCTCCCTGTCGACCTGTCCTGGCCGCAGACCTCATCTACACTCGTAGACTACTACAAGTATCTCCACGATCACGGAAAGTCGTCATGCCATTCACACAGTCATAACTGCTCCGATCCGGGACCTATCGACTAGCGCAGGTCTTCTCTCTGTTTGCAAAGCTCCACACAACCCCCCCCCCCCCCCCGCCACCTCCCACCAGCGGCCGAAGCGCCACCAAGCAGCTAGCTCACCTACACTGCATGCTACAGCCTACTGACAGTCTGTAGTAGTAGTACAATGTCATGCTACTGCGGTGTCCTCATGTAATTAATTTGGTATTCAGATCAAGTGCAGCGGTCGAGGAGGCAGCTCATTGAAAAAGGTAGAGAGAAGAGTTGACCACCTTCCGAAAATCCTTTCGACTTTGAAGTTTCGTGCACCGTCTTTCAGCAGACACGTTTTTTTCTAACCTCGTTCGTTCGGTAACTCAAGTACGCCGTTGGAGTCTCGCAGTCTAGCCCAGCTTGGTTTGAAACAGCGGTAAGCACGATCGAGTGCGTTCTTCCTTCCCCGTTTTTCACCCTTCGGCTGTGGGTCGATGTGAAGCTAGCACACTCCTAATGGCTTCATTAATTATATTTGGCGACGCAATGGTTGTTTTCAAATGTACGTTCCGGTTGGCTTCGCCACAAGAATAGTGATTGAATGAATTGTCATTTTGACCATCAATATTTTGACCCTGCCATGGGTTCAGAATCACCTGTGTTTGAGAATGTGTTGGTCTACCCAAGGGAATGAATCGTGTGAATGGTGCATTTCCGAAGTTAGTCGCCGCTTGCGTTGGAGTGTAGGTCGATGTTTTCTCCCCTTCGTTTGATTGTATTTGATGTCGTGCACTGCAAACAGCTCGGTGAAGAGAATCTATGCGTGCGGACGCCTCGTGCTAGGGCGTTTGGGCGCAGGAAACCGCGGGTGCTGGCAGTCGCATCCTGCAGCAGGAAATTTGTCCGAATACTTGTACCTGAGCAGCCGTCCCATCGGATCTCGAAGGACTAGGTGAGTTTCGTTCATGGCATCATGTACTGTTATCCCCCAACGGGATGATCGCTGTGGACGTAATGCGTATTGATTCAGACGCGTTGTGGCGACACAACTGTTTCTACCGTTTTACTTCTAAGAGACATGGTTAGCATTTTACCGTTCACGCTATTTTCGACGGGCGGCCTGTACCGTTTTTGTGTGTGTAGACATGGCATTTTACCGTTCACGCGCTAGATCTAACGGTGCTCGTACCCAACACCCAAAATACCGTCGGTTTGGTACCATTTCGACGATAGAAAGCTCTGTTTAGCGGGGGAACGAAACGGTAAGATTCCAACTAGGATTACGTCACAAGGCGATCGTTGTATCAGGAGTGAGGACTCAGAAGCCGAACTGCTAACCGTGTCTCGAAAAAACACAACAAAAAACAGTAGACTTGCCCTCTACAGGCCGACCATCGAAAATAGCGTGAACGGTAAAATACTAAAATGCTAACCATGTCTAATGTCTCAGTACAAAGCCCAGTAAATATTTCCATTGGTCCCTAAGAGGCATGTTAGATCTGGACACGCTAAGTTGTCTGGGTGCTAGCCCAAAATGCGTATGTAAGGCGAGACCAAAATAAAATCGAGATTCCCAGGCAGGACCCATGTGAAATTGGTGCGGGCGGGCGAATTTAATTTTGTATTTTTTTCCCATGAATGATTCAATATGTACATGTACATGTGTGCATGACATGTTGAACTTTTTTTACAGCATTTTCGGATAATTTTTATTCAATTCTTTTACAGACAACAGGTACGTGGTTTACCCGTTCAATTTCAGGGCTCACAGCAACCATGCCAAACCCTCGATTACGTGGGAGGTCATCTTGGATCTGATCACCATAGAAACAAACTCGCGTGACCGCTAAGCGCAGGCGTAGAACGCAGTCGCGCAAGGAGATTTTGACTTGCTTGGGCTTAGTTGCTGTGACAAGGACTGAGTCGTGAATGGTGAAGGAGATGGCCGGAGACTGTCTCACTATCTCTATTTCATTTCGGTAGTTCTTGTTTCCTTCCAAGTGGATTATTTCGCGAGTAGTGTTGGCCTTCATTCAGACTGTCCGCACACGGAGTCCTGCGAAAAGTAGCCCAGAGCAGAATCCTGCAGTCGTTGACGAAAGAGTTCAACATCTACAGCCGGGCAGCTACGCCGCTGATGCACAGGCGCGGGTGACGGGAGGGGGAAAGGACTAGTATTCCTTGACGGCATGGAGCAATGACTCACGTCGTGTTCTAGTTTTAGTTTCTCCGCCGTGAAGTCCTGTTGTGTAAACGTAAATATACGGCTGGTCTGCGAAGAGCCGTGTAGCGCAGTGGTGACGATGTGGAGTTGTGAATTATTTGATTCGCCACTCCGTTTCGTTGCAAGAGAACAAGTCCAATGGCTTCGCCGTTGTGCTGGCCATGTATTTCTTCGGTCTGCCATAACCATGATAACTCCTGGAGGACACAGCAATGAAGCGCCAGGCGAGTAGCAAAAACATTTCAAAAAATTGCTTTGCTGCTAGTGTTGTTTCCGCATTCACAACAAGTGCAGTGCGCGCGGTTCTTCCTCGCGGCTGCACTGCAGATAGGGTTGCCTTTGAAATGTTCGTCTGTACCCGTCTCTTGCCCGATTTTGATGGCCAATAGCTTAACATTTTCAGTAGGAAAATTAGAAGAACTTCTCCGAGAGACTTTTCAATTTTAGTACAATAATCCAAATCAGAATCAGGCTGCGCCAACTGATACTTTGGCTCCATATGTGCGCCAAACCGTATCGATTAAAACAAAAAACTCTCGGACAAATCCTTACAATGGGTATTGAGAGTATGTTCCTAGAGTTTCAGAGGCCTAGGCAAAAGCATTGGTACAAATGAACATTTTGAATGCACCCCACTTTCAAGTTTTCAGAGATATCTGCCTGATCGCATGTACACGATTCTGGCATGCTGGCTGGCTTGTGTGACAGCGGCCTGTCCAAAATGGCGCCCACGCTTTTGTGTGATGCTGTGAGCCCTGAATTTTTCTATATTTCGGCCAACGATGGCCCTGATCTGTACATCAGGGAGTCGTACAAGCTCGGGTTTGTGTCACTCCACGTCACAGATCTACTCACACGAGCAGTACTGTACATGTATGAACTGTTCAAAAAGAATTGGCTTTGGCTCGATTTTGGTGCGGGAGGTAGGGACCGGCGGATTCTGCTCGAAAAGGTGGCAGATTCTGCTCGAAAAGTAGTGAAATTGGCAGAACCATACAAACTTTATGGCGGGCAATTCCTCGAATTCTGCTCCATTTTTTTATCCACATACCAAACATGCATGAAACTTACCAGAAAAAGTACCGAATTCTGCCAATTTTCCTGCCGGCAGAATCCGCCGAACCCTAGCAGGAAGGCCCGGGAATCTCTATTTTTTTGGTCTCGCCTAAACGTGGTACAAGCACAGAATGCACTAATCTCCTGAACTCTCAGACTCTACATGCATGTACAGTCAACTTCGCTAACAACGACTGCGGATATAACGACAATTCGCGAATAGCGACAGACTTTTCATGCCCAGAGCAAAGTCCATTCTACCTGTATACATACAGTCAACTTCGCTTATAACGACATTCGGCGGGGCATCAAAAAAGTGTCCTTATTCGCGAAGTGTCGTTATACCCGAAGTCTCATTATATGTATTACAGTTGGATGGTACTTCGCTCTGGGCATGGAAGGCTGTCGTTATTCGCGAATTGTCGTTATATCCGCAGTCGTTATTAGCGAAGTTGACTGCATAATGAGACTTCGGGTATAACGACACTTCGCGAATAAGTACACTTTTCTGATGCCCGGCCGAGTGTCGTTATACGTAAAGTTGACTGTACAGGGTTGCTCAATGAAATCCAATCGCGTCACTCAAGTACACGCCGGGCGTTCCATGGACCTGGACGTGTGAACACTAGTCTGTGAAATGGTGCAAGGCGCAAACTTGAGAGTTCATGACTAGATTTCAGTGAGCAGGACTGTACACGCTTGTATTGGGCACTCTAGCATCAGAGATGCTGTATTCTACCGTAGGATCCCACAGATAGGCTCACTATCTCGTTGGAGAGTTCTTGTATGATGCACGTTGCCATAGCGACCAGCGCAGTGATGGTGTTCATTCTGCTTCCATTGTGAATACAATAAGACAATTGAAAATTACAAAATCCTGTAGTGATTGACCGTCTCTCTCGCGGAGCTAAGTGGAATGTGCGTCATGACTGCGCTGGTCGCGATGGCAACGTGGATCATGCAATTGGCGATTTGGCAAGCATGGTTCACTGTATGTAAGCGAGAGATATGTCATTCGAACCGACGTCAAATCGACGTCAAGTTGTCTTTCACGCTGAACCCTAATTCACAAATCGATGCATTTCCCCTGAAATTCATGTTGATTGTGTTGGTAATCGGATGGCCCAAGCGAAAACAAGTTGTACTGCCATGCGTAACTGTCAGTTCCAGTGCATGAGTGCAAGGCGGTACGTGAGAAAGTTGAATTACAAAGGCAGCGTGCCCTGCATTGATCAATGATCCTAGTTCAACACTCTCCGTCATGGACTCTGGTTTTAGCAGTATTAGCTGGTTTATATTCCTGCTGATTTTCTCGCTACTTCTGAGTCATATTACTGCATGTCAGGAAGCCTATGTCCAGGCGTAGAGCTTGAACATGATGACGTCGGAAGTCAACAAGTAACAACTTCTGGGTGGAATTGGACTCACACTTACCATAGCGAAGTACAGTATGCAGTGGGAAGGACCCTTGTGTTGCATGTGTAACTGTTTTCTATACCAGGAGTGGGTCTCCGACCAGGAGAGCACAGGTCTGTTACTACCAGAAAATGCTTCAGCCTTGTGTAAGAAAACCACCCATATGACATGTGTAGGTATCTGCACATAATCTGAATCCAAGTGAATCCAAAATTCAGTGTTATCATGACACTGGGTGATAGTACTTTCAAGACCTCTTAGCCAACCCTACAGCATATCTGAACCTTATATAATCCCGCCGGAGATCTGTATGTATGTGCATGTATGTGCATGTATGTCACAAATCTTCGTTGCAATGCATCCAGGACACAATCTTGTGTAAATGTGTATGTGTTGTCCCTGCCCTTTTGGAGGGTATGTGCCCCTTTTGGCACGCGTGTGCTGGGTCCGCGTGGTCGGTGTGCGGACCGCGCGCGGACTGCGCAGGTTTCGCATGCCTTTCATTTGGATGCATTCTTGTTGTTCTGGTTTTGCCTTCTTCTTGAGACTCTCTTTGGAGTAAAGACAAATATCAGTCCTCGGTTTGTGGTACATGTGAGAGAGTAATCGGAAGGGCTATCATCAGGTCGTAAAAAAACCGACGACAATTGGCGCCCGGCTAGCGGCATCGTCCCCACGACCCTGCGATCTTCCTGTCGTCCGCGGTCTTTCCGGTTTCTTTTTTTCTTCACCTGCCTCCTGCTTTCTTTGGCGATCCCCGTGTTCTTCATGTCTCGGCAAGTCTCCTTTGCGCGTTCAAGCTGGTCGCCAGCTAGGCAATTCAGGTAAGCCAAAGCAGCTGCTTTTAATTTACTGCTAGACATTGTTGGGGCATTAGTTTGTAAAGCCTGTATTGTGACATTTGTTTAGTGTTGGCCTGCTTGTGTCGTACGTGGTCCTGCTCTGGGTCCCTGTTCCCTCCGGGAGTAGTTTTTGTTCCTCCGTGTTTCATTACCTGGAGTAATTGTGACCTCATGTCTAAGGTTACAGTAGAAGCGCCTGGAAGATGGCTGATGCCGAAACCGTTCGGTGGTTCCTCGGGAGAGGATCTCCAGGCCGTCCTGAACGATTTAAGGTTATGTTTGCAGGCTAATAATTATATCCCAGTTACCCAACCCCATGACACGATTGATGCAGCCTCCCGGGGGAGTTTTGAATTAATGGCCCGTGTTGTGTTGTGTAAGAGCCTCACTGGCAGTGCGGCTCTCATGTTGCAATCCTTGTCGGACACGCAGCGGGAGGATCGCGCGGAGATCGAGACCGCTCTGCATGCTCGCTTTGGTGACACGGGCAAGGCGTTGCTCCGCCAAACTGAGCTTCAGGCTCGGAAATGCCGGGCGGGTGAGACCCTAACTGAATTGAGCGATGCCATCCAGGTATTGATGGCTAAGACATATCCGGGGGCGCCTGGTACAATTCTTAACACTGTGTCTATCCGTGCTTTTTTGGACGCTTCGTCTCCCGACATGCGCCGTCGTGTGGGGGACCATGAGCCGCAGACGCTAATACACACCGTTCAAAAGGCAGCCGTCCTGGAGACGCAGGACCAGTTGCACCCGGCCGCTGAACCTGTGTTCATCGCGTCGGCCACGCCTGAAATCACGGCGCGCCTGGATAGTTTGGAGAAACTATGTGCAACGCAAACCAGGCTGCTTGAAAACCTCTGTGCGCAGCGCGAGAGTCCAGCTCCCGACCGCTGGTCACGAGGTCCACGCTGTTTTTGTTGTGGTCAACTTGGTCACCTCCGCTGCGATTGCCGCTCAAATCCAATTGACCGCGGGAGTAATCCTCGTGAACACCAGGGTAACACTAGATCCTTAAACTAGATGACGTGGCTGGTGCGGGTCGTCCCGCCGCCTCACCTAGGTGTGTTGATTCTACCGAGGAAATAGCTGTAGCCCTACCTATTTTTGTAGAGGACGAGAATGAGTGTGACCCTGATACATGTATGCATGTGTGCATGAGTGACGCCGACCCCGCTGGGTCGGTGGTGGTTCCGCCAGGTACGATTCCTGAGATTGTGATAACACCAGATATTGAGCCTGTGTTGTTTTCTAATACTGCCTCTCTGTCTGTTTGTGATGTGTGTGCTTTCGAGCATACTCCGGCGGAATCTCACTTATGTACTCCGGCTGCCGCTCCGCTGTCCACCCCACCGTCTATTACGGTCGAGTTATCGGATTTCCTCCCGGTAGGAGGGGGGGGGGGGCTGTCATGGCTAACACTGACACGGTTCCGTTCTACAACCACCGCGCCGGCAGCAGTGTCTTTGCACAAGGTATGTTGGCCACCGGTAGGGCTAGTTCAGCTGTGTCGTGTCTGGTGGACACAGATGCGGCCATCACATTGGTGAATTTTGCTGTTGTGGAGAATGCAGGACGGTTATTACGTCCTGCCTCTGAGTTGAGTGTATCGGCACTCTACACTGCGGGTGGGGGTACCCTAGACTTCAAGGGCTGTTTACCCCTGACAGTTTGCCTTTAGCAACATTACGCTTTCCGCCCTGGTACTGGCTGTTGCTGGTCTAACCGAGGAGTGTTTGTTGGGTGCCGACATTTTGGCAGCCCATTGTTTTACGCTACATTTAAATGGTTCACCCCGTTTGACCTTAGAGGGGCATACGGTCCCATTGTCCAGGGAACGGTGGTATGTAGTACGGAGTAGTTCCGTCAGGTTCGGGGGTGACGTTCGAGGCACGATGTGGTTAGGGTTTTCAACCCTGTTACTCCTATTAGCCAGTGTATGCGGTTCGGTTCAGGTTTTGTTGCTGTTTAAGTTAGCCTTGGCTTTCACTTTTGCTGTTGCGTTTGTAGTCCAGGGTGGGGTCACGTGGCCCCGTGTGTTCTCGTCCCCCAGTTGCCGTCCCCAGGGCCACCCCGCCTGCTGCTCCGCCAGAACACTATTCTGTCTCCTTGGCGGCTGCCGTGGAAATCCCCCCATGGTCTCAGTTCATTTTGCGGGGAGAGGCTACAGCTCCTCCGGACATGGTTGGTCTGGTGGAGACTGTAGTCGATTACAATTTGGGCTATGCCCTGCCCCGTGCTGTATGTTCTGTCTCTGCGTCTGGTAATATTCCCGTGTGTTGTGCCAATGTGTCGGACGTGCCGGTGTGTCTGGAGCGTGGTGTGTGTTTAGGGCAGTTCGTGCCGGTGGAAGGCCCTCGATCGGATGTTCCGACAATGGTGGGTGCGGCAGTGGATGTGCAGTCGGCGTCTTCCACTTCTTCCACATCTTCTCCGGCGGACCGGTTTGATCTCTCTCGCTTTGCGGGCACGGCACTGAAACGCCAATCTCTGGTCAGTCTCTTGAACAACTTTGGGGATGTGATTGCAAAAGGCGACTGTGATGTTGGGGAAACCCCTATTCTCGAACATGTTATTGATACAGGGACCACACACCCAATCCACCAAGGCCCTCGACGCCTTCCCCCGCCCAGGGTTAGGATTGTTGCCGAGGAGGTGGAGAAGATGTTGGGAAAGGGTATCATCTCCCCTAGTGTGTCCCCTTGGTCTAGCCCCATTGTATTGGTTAAAAAGCCCGACGGTTCGGTCCGGTTTTGTGTAGACTACCGTAAACTGAATGACGTCACCCACAAGGACCCCCCCCCCCATTATCTCGGATTGATGATACACTCGATAGGTTGGATGGGGCTCAGTTTTTCTCGACACTGGACTTACAGTCCGGCTATTGGCAAGTTCCGGTGGCGGGGAAAGACCAGGAGAAAACAGCTTTCATCACGCCACACGGTCTCTATGAGTTCAAACGTATGCCTTTTGGTCTATGTAATGCTCCGGGCACATTTCAACGCATGATGTATGCTGTCCGGTGGGGTCTTTCTACCCTGTATTGTTTAGTTTATTTGGACGACGTCATTGTTTTCTCACACACATTTCGAGACCACTTGGTCAGATTGGAGGCGGTGTTGACCGCGTTGCGATATGCCAAGTTGAAGATTAAACCAAGGAAATGCCATCTCCTGTTAGGAGAGGTTCATTTCCTTGGCCATGTGGTTTCGGCAGAGAAGATCTCAACTGATCCGGAAAAGGTCCAGGCTGTACGTGAGTGGAAGGCGCCAACCAATCTAAAGTCCCTTCAGGCCTTTCTCGTATATGAGTCGTACTATCGCCGATTTATTCCCCGCTTTGCCGCGATCGCACATCCACTGCATGATCTGCTCCGTAGGGACGTTTTGTCTGCGTGGTCAGCTGAACATCAGGTCGGTCCTGCTCGGCCGCTGAAAAAAATTATGCCATAACTGAATTGGAATTGCTAACGGTGGTTTGCGCATGTCGTACATTCAGACCGTACATTCTGTTGCGCCCGTTTTTGCTTCCGACAGACCACGGTAGTCTGCGTTGGCTGATGCACTTTAAAAATCCGGAGGGTCAGATTGCCCGTTGCCTCAGCATGTTAGGGAGTCTCACTTTACCGTGGAACACCGGCCGAGAGCGCAGCATGGGAATGCAGATGGATTAAGTCGGCAGTTTGACACTGACCTGTCAGTTAATGTAGTGTCGTTTTCTATGCCTACCGCTTGTGACATTCGCCAGGCTCAACAAGATGATGCCGAGCCACGTGTCGTGATAGACCAGTTGGCTGCCACTCAGTTCGTTCAGGTTGGCGATAGTTCTGTAGTTCGTACTCTGCTGACTCAGTCCGAGCCCCTGACCATGGTAGACGATGTTTTGTACTGTGACACGTTGCCATCGCTTGCCCTCCAGTTAGTGGTTCCAGTGGTTTTGCGCCCCCAATTTTTGGCCGAGGCGCATGCCGGTCAAACACCTGGCCATTTTGGTTCAGACCGCACATTGGCTCGGCTTCATAAAGTCGCATACTGGCCGGGAATGTCGGTCGATGTCTCGGTGTTTTGTAAATGTTGTACAGTGTGCAAGCGTGGCCAAGATTCGCCTAGGGCTGCAAAAGCCCCGCTCGGCACTGTGCGTGTGGGTGCCCCGTTTGAGGTCATCGCCATGGATATCATGGGACCCCCACCTCTCACTGCTCGTGGTAATAAATATACCCTAGTGGTTGGGGTCTTGGGGACCATTTTTCTAAATGGGTTGAAATTCTTCCCCTGCAGGACATGAGAGCTGAGACGGTGGCGGACCTTTTGGTCGAACGGGTATGAAGTTTGGTGCTCCTAGCCAGTTGCACTTGGATCAGGGCCCACATTTTGAGAGCCGTCTTATGTCATGCCTGTATCAGTTGTTGGGGGGGGGGGGGTGTAAATCACACACGCCCCCGTACCGGCCTCAGTCCGATGGCTTGGTAGAGCAGGCCAATCGCACTATTCAGATTGCTCTTCGGGCGTACGTCGTGGGTGATCAGGCCTCGTGGGACAAACATCTTTCCCTGGTGCAATTTGCCTACAATACAGGGGTCCACCGCTCTACCGGGTTTACTCCCCATCTTGTCCTGTTTGGGAGGGAGGCCCGTCTACCCTTAGACTTGTTCTTACCTCCACCTAATACCCCCGTCGAAACCCCTTTGCCTGTGTACTTGTCCAATCTTCGGTCGTCTTTGGGTCAGGCTTTTGGCGTTGTAAGTGACCGCCTTGTAGCCCAGAGAGTGGCTAAGGCAGCGTACGATCGCCGAACTAAACTACCCAGGGTAAAACCTGGGGACTATGTTTGGCTCCACGCTGTTCCGCCCCCTGGGTCCAGCCCTAAGCTGTTCCGCCCCTGGACTGGCCACTGGCAGGTGGAAGTGGTGAAGGGAGTTGTGTGTGCTATTGTCGGGGTGGGTCCTCCTCCTTCACCCCGACATTCTAAGCACCTGACTGCGCATGTGGATAGGTTGTGGGTGGTGCAGGGTAAGGTAGTTGTTTCCCCAGGGGTTCCAGCTACCGGGCCCGCCACGCCTGAAAGACCGGCGGTTGCCTCCATGGGTGGGCCTGCTCTGTTTCTGCCGGCCCCATTTGCGTGGTCGATCCCCGGGTTCGTTCAGCCCCCGGGTTACCTCCCCACACCTCCCCCATCTCCGGTGGCTGTGCCCCCTGCTGGTGCTCAGGGTTCCCCTCCCTTGGTGGGTAGTCCCCCGGGCACCCCTGCCCCGAGTCCTCCTGATTCTCCTCGCCTGGGTACCTCTTCCTTGCCGGGTAGTCCTTTGGTGACCCCGACGCAGAGCCCTCCGGTTTCTCCCACCCATCCTACTCCGCCCGGGATACTACATCCTCGGCGGACGTGTGCCCTGCCCCTGGGTGGCTATGCTGCCCTTGAGGAGGGTCAGTTAGACCTCTCGTGGAGGGGTTGATAATGTAAATATTTTATACCATGGATACTCCCAGTTGGTTTTGTTTCGTCTTTCTCTTCTCTTTTTTCTTGTCTTTTTTGCTCAGTGTCGCCCTCGCCGACCCGGCCATGGTGTTGGACCTAATCGAGGAGTGGGAAACGTTTTTCGATTCGCTTCCCGAAGACCTGCGTCCGACTTCCTTTCTGACCGCTCCCTCGCCGGTGATGTCTGCAGCGCCAGCGGTGCCTCGCCGCCGACGGTCTCAGCGCGCTCGCCGGAGGCCCTGGGCACACCGAGCGGCGCAGCGTCGCGCCGCCCTCGCTGCTCTGTCACCGGCTGGTAGGGTGCCGGACAGTGCGCCTTCTCCTCCCCCTGTGGGGTCGGAACTGGTCTCCCTCGTTGAGGTCCATTGTGTTAACGAATTACCATAATTTTCCTCATTCTGTATTTTGTTCGTCGTTTATTTTGGGTGAGTGGTGTCCTAGGTTGGTGCTGTTCTGGAAAAGATCCCTACAAGGATAGGGCATTAATAGGTGGAGCAGCTCGTCAGCCGGGGTCCGCTTTGAAAATGTTGCTTTCAGGTTCCTTCATTGTTGCACAGTTTCGCGGGGCTCCCGGCTGGTGTCAACCCTCCTGGCCTACTCGTCACTTGCCCAACGGTCTCGTCTGTGCCTCTTTTGTATTCGCCTATCTATGATGTACATATTTCATTTCTTTCTTCTTCCTGTCTTCTTCTCCTGTCTGTCTTCTCTTTTTTGTTTTCTTCTCTCCCATCCTCAGGTGAGGAAGGATTTTTTTATGTGGACGTATGTTGTCCCTGCCCTTTTGGAGGGTATGTGCCCCTTTTGGCACACGTGTGCTGGGTCCGCGTGGTCGGTGTGCGGACCGCGTGCGGACCGTGCGCGGACTGCGCAGGTTGCCCATGCCTGCATTTGGAGGCATTCTTTTTGTTCTGGTTTTGCCTTCTTCTTGAGACTCTCTTTGGAGTGAAGACAAATATCAGTCCTCTGTTTGTGGAACATGTGAGAGAGTAATCGGAAGGGCTATCGTTAGATCATAAAAAAACCCGACGACATATGCATAGTGCAAAGGGGGGTCAATGGTACTTCATGTTGCTACAGATTGTCCCATCTTGACCAGTGATGGGCTGGTCTGCAGCCAAATTAATATTGATATCTCATCAGTTTACTATTTTTCTTGTCATTGTCAGTCTCTGTTTCTCTTTGTGTTTATCTGTCTGTCTCTCTCTCTCTCTCTCTCTCTCTCTCTCTCTCTCTCTCTCTCTCTCTCTCTGTGTCTCTCTCTCTCTCTCTCTCTCTCTCTCTCTCTCTCTCTCTCTCTCTCTCTCTCTCTCTCTCTCTCTCTCTCTCTCTCTCTCTCTCTCTCTCTCTCTCTCTCTCTCTCTCTCTCTCTCTCTCTCTCTCTCTCTCTCTCTCTCTCTCTCTCTCTCTCTCTCTCTCTCTCTCTCTCTCTCTCTCTCTCTCTCTCTCTCTTTGTATGTGTCTTTCTCTGTTTCTCCATGGATATCTGGGATCTCTCTTTCCCCTCTCTTTGTGTGTGTCTTTCTCTGTTTCTCCATGGATATCTGCGATCTCTCTTTCCCCTCTCTTTTTATGTGTCTTTCTTTGTTTCTCCATGGATATCTGCTATCTCTCTCTGTGTGTGTCTTTCTCTGTTTCTCCATGGATATCTGCTATCTCTCTTTGTGTGTGTCTTTCTCTGTTTCTCCATGGATATCTGCTATCTCACTTTCTCACTTGCTCTCATTCTCACTTACTCTCTCTGTCTTACTGTTTGCAGCTACCCGTGCCACTCAACATTTCCAAACACTCACTGTTTCCATTGGTGGCAAGTCAGCACACAAGCACTAGTACTGTGGCCAGTATTGTGGCTAGTACTGTTGTTGGTACTCTGGCCCAGGTAAGACAGTATTATTATACTTTAGAATTCTCGTTATCGGTGCATATTGATGCTAGGGCACTTAGTAACGATGAATCCAAGACCCTAGGTCGGAGGAGTTACTTCTGCCCCGCATGGTGTGTGTTTTTTTGTAAAAAATAAAAATAAAAAAATAAAAAAACCACTTCCATCCAATATGCCACCGACCCTGCTGTGCAGCATCTGATGGTTCAGTGGTATATGAAGAAGGAAGTAACCTGTCTTCAAGTACAGCACTGCTCAATGAAATCCGTCTATGTGGATTAATGCCCCGCCAGGCTATTCGCAGCCCTAGACCTGGAAACGCTCGGATGTGAACTACTGCAGGGTGCTGACTTAGTTCACTCGATGGGATTTCATTGAGCAGCTCTGAAAATGTTGACGACAAAAACTCAGAACAGGTATCCGTTTTAGAAGGCAAGGCCATTTTCTCATTTTCGCATTTTTTTTGGTGAAGTTTTGATGAAAAGAAACTAATGTACAGTAAAACCTGTCAAGACGACCACTCGGATAAGGTGACCACCTGTCCTAGAAGACCACTGCAACCAGGACCAATAGATGCTATTTCCAGTCAAATGACCCTGGATAAGGAGACCACCTGGGAAGAGGGACCACATTTTGAAGGTCCCTTGAGTGGTCGTCTTAGACAGGTTTCACTGCATTATGTAAGTAGACTCAAAAGAGTACTATGTTGACAGGAGTGCCCGGTAGAAGAGTACTATGTTGACAGGAGTGCCCGGTAGAAGAGTACTATGTTGACTGGAGTGCCCGGTAGAAGAGTACTATGTTGACAGGAGTGCCCGGTAGAAGAGTTTTTTTGTTTTTTTTAAATTTTTATTATATACCCGTTAGAAGAGTACTATGTTAACTGGAGTGCCCGGTAGAAGAGTACTATGTTGACAGGAGTGCCCGGTAGAAGAGTACTATGTTGACAGGAGTGCCCGGTAGAAGAGTACTATGTTGACAGGAGTGCCCGGTAGAAGAGTACTATGTTGACTGGTGTGCCCGGTAGAAGAGTACTATGTTGACAGGAGTGCCCGGTAGAAGAGTACTATGTTGACTGGAGTGCCCGGTAGAAGAGTACTATGTTGACAGGAGTGCCCGGTAGAAGAGTACTATGTTGACAGGAGTGCCCGGTAGAAGAGTACTATGTTTACAGGAGTGCCCGTTAGAAGAGTACTATGTTGATAGGAGTGCCCGGTAGAAGAGTACTATGTTGACAGGAGTGCCCGGTAGAAGAGTACTATGTTGACAGGAGTGCCCGGTAGAAGAGTTCTATGTTGACAGGAGTGCCTTGTAGAAGAGTACTATGTTGACAGGAGTGCCCGGTAGAAGAGTACTATGTTGACAGGAGTGCCCGGTAGAAGAGTACTATGTTTACAGGAGTGCCCGGTAGAAGAGTACTATGTTGACAGGAGTGCCCGGTAGAAGAGTACTATGTTGACAGGAGTGCCCGGTAGAAGAGTACTATCAAGAGTACATAACCCCCCAGAGTGTGCAACGCCTGATCCAGCTCTGCATAGGGTCTTGGTCGAGCGGAATCGTATCTTTGCGTCATATTACCGTACACATCTGAGGGGAACCCGGGGAGAATTTCCCCTGAAATTCATGTTGATTGTGTTGGTAATCGGATGGCCCAAGCGAAAACAAGTTGTGCTGCCATGCGTAACTGTCAGTTCCAGTGCATGAGTGCAAGGCGGTACGTGAGAAAGTTGAATTACAAAGGCAGCGTGCCCTGCATTGATCAATGATCCTAGTTCAACACTCTCCGTCATGGACTCTGGTTTTAGCAGTATTAGCTGGTTTATATTCCTGCTGATTTTCTCGCTACTTCTGAGTCATATTACTGCATGTCAGGAAGCCTATGTCCAGGCGTAGAGCTTGAACATGATGACGTCGGAAGTCAACAAGTAACAACTTCTGGGTGGAATTGGACTCACACTTACCATAGCGAAGTACAGTATGCAGTGGGAAGGACCCTTGTGTTGCATGTGTAACTGTTTTCTATACCAGGAGTGGGTCTCCGACCAGGAGAGCACAGGTCTGTTACTACCAGAAAATGCTTCAGCCTTGTGTAAGAAAACCACCCATATGACATGTGTAGGTATCTGCACATAATCTGAATCCAAGTGAATCCAAAATTCAGTGTTATCATGACACTGGGTGATAGTACTTTCAAGACCTCTTAGCCAACCCTACAGCATATCTGAACCTTATATAATCCCGCCGGAGATCTGTATGTATGTGCATGTATGTGCATGTATGTCACAAATCTTCGTTGCAATGCATCCAGGACACAATCTTGTGTAAATGTGTATGTGTTGTCCCTGCCCTTTTGGAGGGTATGTGCCCCTTTTGGCACGCGTGTGCTGGGTCCGCGTGGTCGGTGTGCGGACCGCGCGCGGACTGCGCAGGTTTCGCATGCCTTTCATTTGGATGCATTCTTGTTGTTCTGGTTTTGCCTTCTTCTTGAGACTCTCTTTGGAGTAAAGACAAATATCAGTCCTCGGTTTGTGGTACATGTGAGAGAGTAATCGGAAGGGCTATCATCAGGTCGTAAAAAAACCGACGACAATTGGCGCCCGGCTAGCGGCATCGTCCCCACGACCCTGCGATCTTCCTGTCGTCCGCGGTCTTTCCGGTTTCTTTTTTTCTTCACCTGCCTCCTGCTTTCTTTGGCGATCCCCGTGTTCTTCATGTCTCGGCAAGTCTCCTTTGCGCGTTCAAGCTGGTCGCCAGCTAGGCAATTCAGGTAAGCCAAAGCAGCTGCTTTTAATTTACTGCTAGACATTGTTGGGGCATTAGTTTGTAAAGCCTGTATTGTGACATTTGTTTAGTGTTGGCCTGCTTGTGTCGTACGTGGTCCTGCTCTGGGTCCCTGTTCCCTCCGGGAGTAGTTTTTGTTCCTCCGTGTTTCATTACCTGGAGTAATTGTGACCTCATGTCTAAGGTTACAGTAGAAGCGCCTGGAAGATGGCTGATGCCGAAACCGTTCGGTGGTTCCTCGGGAGAGGATCTCCAGGCCGTCCTGAACGATTTAAGGTTATGTTTGCAGGCTAATAATTATATCCCAGTTACCCAACCCCATGACACGATTGATGCAGCCTCCCGGGGGAGTTTTGAATTAATGGCCCGTGTTGTGTTGTGTAAGAGCCTCACTGGCAGTGCGGCTCTCATGTTGCAATCCTTGTCGGACACGCAGCGGGAGGATCGCGCGGAGATCGAGACCGCTCTGCATGCTCGCTTTGGTGACACGGGCAAGGCGTTGCTCCGCCAAACTGAGCTTCAGGCTCGGAAATGCCGGGCGGGTGAGACCCTAACTGAATTGAGCGATGCCATCCAGGTATTGATGGCTAAGACATATCCGGGGGCGCCTGGTACAATTCTTAACACTGTGTCTATCCGTGCTTTTTTGGACGCTTCGTCTCCCGACATGCGCCGTCGTGTGGGGGACCATGAGCCGCAGACGCTAATACACACCGTTCAAAAGGCAGCCGTCCTGGAGACGCAGGACCAGTTGCACCCGGCCGCTGAACCTGTGTTCATCGCGTCGGCCACGCCTGAAATCACGGCGCGCCTGGATAGTTTGGAGAAACTATGTGCAACGCAAACCAGGCTGCTTGAAAACCTCTGTGCGCAGCGCGAGAGTCCAGCTCCCGACCGCTGGTCACGAGGTCCACGCTGTTTTTGTTGTGGTCAACTTGGTCACCTCCGCTGCGATTGCCGCTCAAATCCAATTGACCGCGGGAGTAATCCTCGTGAACACCAGGGTAACACTAGATCCTTAAACTAGATGACGTGGCTGGTGCGGGTCGTCCCGCCGCCTCACCTAGGTGTGTTGATTCTACCGAGGAAATAGCTGTAGCCCTACCTATTTTTGTAGAGGACGAGAATGAGTGTGACCCTGATACATGTATGCATGTGTGCATGAGTGACGCCGACCCCGCTGGGTCGGTGGTGGTTCCGCCAGGTACGATTCCTGAGATTGTGATAACACCAGATATTGAGCCTGTGTTGTTTTCTAATACTGCCTCTCTGTCTGTTTGTGATGTGTGTGCTTTCGAGCATACTCCGGCGGAATCTCACTTATGTACTCCGGCTGCCGCTCCGCTGTCCACCCCACCGTCTATTACGGTCGAGTTATCGGATTTCCTCCCGGTAGGAGGGGGGGGGGGGCTGTCATGGCTAACACTGACACGGTTCCGTTCTACAACCACCGCGCCGGCAGCAGTGTCTTTGCACAAGGTATGTTGGCCACCGGTAGGGCTAGTTCAGCTGTGTCGTGTCTGGTGGACACAGATGCGGCCATCACATTGGTGAATTTTGCTGTTGTGGAGAATGCAGGACGGTTATTACGTCCTGCCTCTGAGTTGAGTGTATCGGCACTCTACACTGCGGGTGGGGGTACCCTAGACTTCAAGGGCTGTTTACCCCTGACAGTTTGCCTTTAGCAACATTACGCTTTCCGCCCTGGTACTGGCTGTTGCTGGTCTAACCGAGGAGTGTTTGTTGGGTGCCGACATTTTGGCAGCCCATTGTTTTACGCTACATTTAAATGGTTCACCCCGTTTGACCTTAGAGGGGCATACGGTCCCATTGTCCAGGGAACGGTGGTATGTAGTACGGAGTAGTTCCGTCAGGTTCGGGGGTGACGTTCGAGGCACGATGTGGTTAGGGTTTTCAACCCTGTTACTCCTATTAGCCAGTGTATGCGGTTCGGTTCAGGTTTTGTTGCTGTTTAAGTTAGCCTTGGCTTTCACTTTTGCTGTTGCGTTTGTAGTCCAGGGTGGGGTCACGTGGCCCCGTGTGTTCTCGTCCCCCAGTTGCCGTCCCCAGGGCCACCCCGCCTGCTGCTCCGCCAGAACACTATTCTGTCTCCTTGGCGGCTGCCGTGGAAATCCCCCCATGGTCTCAGTTCATTTTGCGGGGAGAGGCTACAGCTCCTCCGGACATGGTTGGTCTGGTGGAGACTGTAGTCGATTACAATTTGGGCTATGCCCTGCCCCGTGCTGTATGTTCTGTCTCTGCGTCTGGTAATATTCCCGTGTGTTGTGCCAATGTGTCGGACGTGCCGGTGTGTCTGGAGCGTGGTGTGTGTTTAGGGCAGTTCGTGCCGGTGGAAGGCCCTCGATCGGATGTTCCGACAATGGTGGGTGCGGCAGTGGATGTGCAGTCGGCGTCTTCCACTTCTTCCACATCTTCTCCGGCGGACCGGTTTGATCTCTCTCGCTTTGCGGGCACGGCACTGAAACGCCAATCTCTGGTCAGTCTCTTGAACAACTTTGGGGATGTGATTGCAAAAGGCGACTGTGATGTTGGGGAAACCCCTATTCTCGAACATGTTATTGATACAGGGACCACACACCCAATCCACCAAGGCCCTCGACGCCTTCCCCCGCCCAGGGTTAGGATTGTTGCCGAGGAGGTGGAGAAGATGTTGGGAAAGGGTATCATCTCCCCTAGTGTGTCCCCTTGGTCTAGCCCCATTGTATTGGTTAAAAAGCCCGACGGTTCGGTCCGGTTTTGTGTAGACTACCGTAAACTGAATGACGTCACCCACAAGGACCCCCCCCCCCATTATCTCGGATTGATGATACACTCGATAGGTTGGATGGGGCTCAGTTTTTCTCGACACTGGACTTACAGTCCGGCTATTGGCAAGTTCCGGTGGCGGGGAAAGACCAGGAGAAAACAGCTTTCATCACGCCACACGGTCTCTATGAGTTCAAACGTATGCCTTTTGGTCTATGTAATGCTCCGGGCACATTTCAACGCATGATGTATGCTGTCCGGTGGGGTCTTTCTACCCTGTATTGTTTAGTTTATTTGGACGACGTCATTGTTTTCTCACACACATTTCGAGACCACTTGGTCAGATTGGAGGCGGTGTTGACCGCGTTGCGATATGCCAAGTTGAAGATTAAACCAAGGAAATGCCATCTCCTGTTAGGAGAGGTTCATTTCCTTGGCCATGTGGTTTCGGCAGAGAAGATCTCAACTGATCCGGAAAAGGTCCAGGCTGTACGTGAGTGGAAGGCGCCAACCAATCTAAAGTCCCTTCAGGCCTTTCTCGTATATGAGTCGTACTATCGCCGATTTATTCCCCGCTTTGCCGCGATCGCACATCCACTGCATGATCTGCTCCGTAGGGACGTTTTGTCTGCGTGGTCAGCTGAACATCAGGTCGGTCCTGCTCGGCCGCTGAAAAAAATTATGCCATAACTGAATTGGAATTGCTAACGGTGGTTTGCGCATGTCGTACATTCAGACCGTACATTCTGTTGCGCCCGTTTTTGCTTCCGACAGACCACGGTAGTCTGCGTTGGCTGATGCACTTTAAAAATCCGGAGGGTCAGATTGCCCGTTGCCTCAGCATGTTAGGGAGTCTCACTTTACCGTGGAACACCGGCCGAGAGCGCAGCATGGGAATGCAGATGGATTAAGTCGGCAGTTTGACACTGACCTGTCAGTTAATGTAGTGTCGTTTTCTATGCCTACCGCTTGTGACATTCGCCAGGCTCAACAAGATGATGCCGAGCCACGTGTCGTGATAGACCAGTTGGCTGCCACTCAGTTCGTTCAGGTTGGCGATAGTTCTGTAGTTCGTACTCTGCTGACTCAGTCCGAGCCCCTGACCATGGTAGACGATGTTTTGTACTGTGACACGTTGCCATCGCTTGCCCTCCAGTTAGTGGTTCCAGTGGTTTTGCGCCCCCAATTTTTGGCCGAGGCGCATGCCGGTCAAACACCTGGCCATTTTGGTTCAGACCGCACATTGGCTCGGCTTCATAAAGTCGCATACTGGCCGGGAATGTCGGTCGATGTCTCGGTGTTTTGTAAATGTTGTACAGTGTGCAAGCGTGGCCAAGATTCGCCTAGGGCTGCAAAAGCCCCGCTCGGCACTGTGCGTGTGGGTGCCCCGTTTGAGGTCATCGCCATGGATATCATGGGACCCCCACCTCTCACTGCTCGTGGTAATAAATATACCCTAGTGGTTGGGGTCTTGGGGACCATTTTTCTAAATGGGTTGAAATTCTTCCCCTGCAGGACATGAGAGCTGAGACGGTGGCGGACCTTTTGGTCGAACGGGTATGAAGTTTGGTGCTCCTAGCCAGTTGCACTTGGATCAGGGCCCACATTTTGAGAGCCGTCTTATGTCATGCCTGTATCAGTTGTTGGGGGGGGGGGGGTGTAAATCACACACGCCCCCGTACCGGCCTCAGTCCGATGGCTTGGTAGAGCAGGCCAATCGCACTATTCAGATTGCTCTTCGGGCGTACGTCGTGGGTGATCAGGCCTCGTGGGACAAACATCTTTCCCTGGTGCAATTTGCCTACAATACAGGGGTCCACCGCTCTACCGGGTTTACTCCCCATCTTGTCCTGTTTGGGAGGGAGGCCCGTCTACCCTTAGACTTGTTCTTACCTCCACCTAATACCCCCGTCGAAACCCCTTTGCCTGTGTACTTGTCCAATCTTCGGTCGTCTTTGGGTCAGGCTTTTGGCGTTGTAAGTGACCGCCTTGTAGCCCAGAGAGTGGCTAAGGCAGCGTACGATCGCCGAACTAAACTACCCAGGGTAAAACCTGGGGACTATGTTTGGCTCCACGCTGTTCCGCCCCCTGGGTCCAGCCCTAAGCTGTTCCGCCCCTGGACTGGCCACTGGCAGGTGGAAGTGGTGAAGGGAGTTGTGTGTGCTATTGTCGGGGTGGGTCCTCCTCCTTCACCCCGACATTCTAAGCACCTGACTGCGCATGTGGATAGGTTGTGGGTGGTGCAGGGTAAGGTAGTTGTTTCCCCAGGGGTTCCAGCTACCGGGCCCGCCACGCCTGAAAGACCGGCGGTTGCCTCCATGGGTGGGCCTGCTCTGTTTCTGCCGGCCCCATTTGCGTGGTCGATCCCCGGGTTCGTTCAGCCCCCGGGTTACCTCCCCACACCTCCCCCATCTCCGGTGGCTGTGCCCCCTGCTGGTGCTCAGGGTTCCCCTCCCTTGGTGGGTAGTCCCCCGGGCACCCCTGCCCCGAGTCCTCCTGATTCTCCTCGCCTGGGTACCTCTTCCTTGCCGGGTAGTCCTTTGGTGACCCCGACGCAGAGCCCTCCGGTTTCTCCCACCCATCCTACTCCGCCCGGGATACTACATCCTCGGCGGACGTGTGCCCTGCCCCTGGGTGGCTATGCTGCCCTTGAGGAGGGTCAGTTAGACCTCTCGTGGAGGGGTTGATAATGTAAATATTTTATACCATGGATACTCCCAGTTGGTTTTGTTTCGTCTTTCTCTTCTCTTTTTTCTTGTCTTTTTTGCTCAGTGTCGCCCTCGCCGACCCGGCCATGGTGTTGGACCTAATCGAGGAGTGGGAAACGTTTTTCGATTCGCTTCCCGAAGACCTGCGTCCGACTTCCTTTCTGACCGCTCCCTCGCCGGTGATGTCTGCAGCGCCAGCGGTGCCTCGCCGCCGACGGTCTCAGCGCGCTCGCCGGAGGCCCTGGGCACACCGAGCGGCGCAGCGTCGCGCCGCCCTCGCTGCTCTGTCACCGGCTGGTAGGGTGCCGGACAGTGCGCCTTCTCCTCCCCCTGTGGGGTCGGAACTGGTCTCCCTCGTTGAGGTCCATTGTGTTAACGAATTACCATAATTTTCCTCATTCTGTATTTTGTTCGTCGTTTATTTTGGGTGAGTGGTGTCCTAGGTTGGTGCTGTTCTGGAAAAGATCCCTACAAGGATAGGGCATTAATAGGTGGAGCAGCTCGTCAGCCGGGGTCCGCTTTGAAAATGTTGCTTTCAGGTTCCTTCATTGTTGCACAGTTTCGCGGGGCTCCCGGCTGGTGTCAACCCTCCTGGCCTACTCGTCACTTGCCCAACGGTCTCGTCTGTGCCTCTTTTGTATTCGCCTATCTATGATGTACATATTTCATTTCTTTCTTCTTCCTGTCTTCTTCTCCTGTCTGTCTTCTCTTTTTTGTTTTCTTCTCTCCCATCCTCAGGTGAGGAAGGATTTTTTTATGTGGACGTATGTTGTCCCTGCCCTTTTGGAGGGTATGTGCCCCTTTTGGCACACGTGTGCTGGGTCCGCGTGGTCGGTGTGCGGACCGCGTGCGGACCGTGCGCGGACTGCGCAGGTTGCCCATGCCTGCATTTGGAGGCATTCTTTTTGTTCTGGTTTTGCCTTCTTCTTGAGACTCTCTTTGGAGTGAAGACAAATATCAGTCCTCTGTTTGTGGAACATGTGAGAGAGTAATCGGAAGGGCTATCGTTAGATCATAAAAAAACCCGACGACATATGCATAGTGCAAAGGGGGGTCAATGGTACTTCATGTTGCTACAGATTGTCCCATCTTGACCAGTGATGGGCTGGTCTGCAGCCAAATTAATATTGATATCTCATCAGTTTACTATTTTTCTTGTCATTGTCAGTCTCTGTTTCTCTTTGTGTTTATCTGTCTGTCTCTCTCTCTCTCTCTCTCTCTCTCTCTCTCTCTCTCTCTCTCTCTCTCTCTCTCTCTCTCTCTCTCTCTCTCTCTCTCTCTCTCTCTCTCTCTCTCTCTCTCTCTCTCTCTCTCTCTCTCTCTCTCTCTCTCTCTCTCTCTCTCTCTCTCTCTCTCTCTCTCTCTCTCTCTCTCTCTCTCTCTCTCTCTCTCTCTCTCTCTCTCTCTCTCTCTCTCTCTCTCTCTCTCTCTCTCTCTCTCTCTCTCTCTCTCTCTCTCTCTCTCTCTCTCTCTCTCTCTCTCTCTCTCTCTCTCTTTGTATGTGTCTTTCTCTGTTTCTCCATGGATATCTGGGATCTCTCTTTCCCCTCTCTTTGTGTGTGTCTTTCTCTGTTTCTCCATGGATATCTGCGATCTCTCTTTCCCCTCTCTTTTTATGTGTCTTTCTTTGTTTCTCCATGGATATCTGCTATCTCTCTCTGTGTGTGTCTTTCTCTGTTTCTCCATGGATATCTGCTATCTCTCTTTGTGTGTGTCTTTCTCTGTTTCTCCATGGATATCTGCTATCTCACTTTCTCACTTGCTCTCATTCTCACTTACTCTCTCTGTCTTACTGTTTGCAGCTACCCGTGCCACTCAACATTTCCAAACACTCACTGTTTCCATTGGTGGCAAGTCAGCACACAAGCACTAGTACTGTGGCCAGTATTGTGGCTAGTACTGTTGTTGGTACTCTGGCCCAGGTAAGACAGTATTATTATACTTTAGAATTCTCGTTATCGGTGCATATTGATGCTAGGGCACTTAGTAACGATGAATCCAAGACCCTAGGTCGGAGGAGTTACTTCTGCCCCGCATGGTGTGTGTTTTTTTGTAAAAAATAAAAATAAAAAAATAAAAAAACCACTTCCATCCAATATGCCACCGACCCTGCTGTGCAGCATCTGATGGTTCAGTGGTATATGAAGAAGGAAGTAACCTGTCTTCAAGTACAGCACTGCTCAATGAAATCCGTCTATGTGGATTAATGCCCCGCCAGGCTATTCGCAGCCCTAGACCTGGAAACGCTCGGATGTGAACTACTGCAGGGTGCTGACTTAGTTCACTCGATGGGATTTCATTGAGCAGCTCTGAAAATGTTGACGACAAAAACTCAGAACAGGTATCCGTTTTAGAAGGCAAGGCCATTTTCTCATTTTCGCATTTTTTTTGGTGAAGTTTTGATGAAAAGAAACTAATGTACAGTAAAACCTGTCAAGACGACCACTCGGATAAGGTGACCACCTGTCCTAGAAGACCACTGCAACCAGGACCAATAGATGCTATTTCCAGTCAAATGACCCTGGATAAGGAGACCACCTGGGAAGAGGGACCACATTTTGAAGGTCCCTTGAGTGGTCGTCTTAGACAGGTTTCACTGCATTATGTAAGTAGACTCAAAAGAGTACTATGTTGACAGGAGTGCCCGGTAGAAGAGTACTATGTTGACAGGAGTGCCCGGTAGAAGAGTACTATGTTGACTGGAGTGCCCGGTAGAAGAGTACTATGTTGACAGGAGTGCCCGGTAGAAGAGTTTTTTTGTTTTTTTTAAATTTTTATTATATACCCGTTAGAAGAGTACTATGTTAACTGGAGTGCCCGGTAGAAGAGTACTATGTTGACAGGAGTGCCCGGTAGAAGAGTACTATGTTGACAGGAGTGCCCGGTAGAAGAGTACTATGTTGACAGGAGTGCCCGGTAGAAGAGTACTATGTTGACTGGTGTGCCCGGTAGAAGAGTACTATGTTGACAGGAGTGCCCGGTAGAAGAGTACTATGTTGACTGGAGTGCCCGGTAGAAGAGTACTATGTTGACAGGAGTGCCCGGTAGAAGAGTACTATGTTGACAGGAGTGCCCGGTAGAAGAGTACTATGTTTACAGGAGTGCCCGTTAGAAGAGTACTATGTTGATAGGAGTGCCCGGTAGAAGAGTACTATGTTGACAGGAGTGCCCGGTAGAAGAGTACTATGTTGACAGGAGTGCCCGGTAGAAGAGTTCTATGTTGACAGGAGTGCCTTGTAGAAGAGTACTATGTTGACAGGAGTGCCCGGTAGAAGAGTACTATGTTGACAGGAGTGCCCGGTAGAAGAGTACTATGTTTACAGGAGTGCCCGGTAGAAGAGTACTATGTTGACAGGAGTGCCCGGTAGAAGAGTACTATGTTGACAGGAGTGCCCGGTAGAAGAGTACTATCAAGAGTACATAACCCCCCAGAGTGTGCAACGCCTGATCCAGCTCTGCATAGGGTCTTGGTCGAGCGGAATCGTATCTTTGCGTCATATTACCGTACACATCTGAGGGGAACCCGGGGAGTCGCGGGTACTCTTGGATCAAAAACAATGGTGCCCTGCCTCGAGACCGGCCTTGCGCTGGTGTGAAGTGTACGCATGACATCAGAAGATCCGATTCCGCTCGACCAAGACCCTACACAGAGCTGGATCGGCGTTGCACACTCTGAGGGGTTATGTACTCTTGGTACTATGTTGACAGAAGTGCCCGGTAGAAGAGTACTATGTTGACAGGAGTGCCCGGTAGAAGAGTACTATGTTGACAGGAGTGCCCGGTAGAAGAGTACTATGTTGACAGGAGTGCCCGGTAAAAGAGTACTATGTTGACAGGAGTGCCCCGTAGAAGAGTACTATGTTGACAGGAGTGCCCGATAGAAGAGTACTATGTTGACCGGAGTGCCCGGTAGAAGAGTACTATGTTGACAGGGGTGCCCGGTAGAAGAGTACTATGTTGACAGGAGTGCCCGGTAGAAGAGTACTATGTTGACAGGAGTGCCCGGTAGAAGAGTACTAAGTTGACAGGAGTGCCCAGTAGAAGAGTACTATGTTGACTGGAGTGCCCGGTAGAAGAGTACTATGTTGACAGGAGTGCCCGGTAGAAGAGTACTATGTTGACTGGAGTGCCCGGGTAGAAGAGTACTTTGTTGACAGGAGTGCCCGGTAGAAGAGTACTATGTTTACAGGAGTGCCCGGTAGAAGAGTACTATGTTGACAGGAGTGCCCGGTAGAAGAGTAATATGTTTACAGGAGTGCCCGGTAGAAGAGTACTATGTTTACAGGAGTGTCCGGTAGAAGAGTACTATGTTGACAGGAGTGCCCGGTAGAAGAGTACTATGTTGACAGGAGTGCCCGGTAGAAGAGTTCTATGTTGACAGGAGTGCCCGGTAGAAGAGTACTATGTTGACAGGAGTGCCCGGTAGAAGAGTACTATGTTGACAGGAGTGCCCGGTAGAAGAGTACTATGTTGACAGGAGTGCCCGGTAGAAGAGTACTATGTTGACAGGAGTGCCCGGTAGAAGAGTACTATGTTGACAGGAGTGCCCGGTAGAAGAGTACTATGTTGACTGGAGTGCCCGGTAGAAGAGTACTATGTTGACTGGAGTGCCCGGTAGAAGAGTACTATGTTGACTGGAGTGCCCGGTAGAAGAGTACTATGTTGACTGGAGTGCCCGTTAGAAGAGTACTATGTTGACAGGAGTGCCCGGTAGAAGACTACTATGTTGACAGGAGTGCCCGGTAGAAGACTACTATGTTGACAGGAGTGCCCGGTAGAAGAGTACTATGTTGACAGGAGTGCCCGGTAGAAGAGTACTATGTTGACCGGAGTGCCCGGTAGAAGAGTACTATGTTGACAGGAGTGCCCGGTAGAAGAGTACTATGTTGACAGGAGTGCCCGGTAGAAGAGTACTATGTTGACAGGAGTGCCCGGTAGAAGAGTACTATGTTGACAGGAGTGCCCGGTAGAAGAGTACTATGTTGACAGGAGTGCTCGGTAGAAGAGTACTATGTTGACAGGAGTGCCCGGTAGAAGAGTACTATGTTGACATCAGTGCCCCGTAGAAGAGTACTATGTTGACAGGAGTGCCCGGTAGAAGAGTACTTTGTTGACAGGAGTGCCGCGTAGAAGAGTTCTATGTTGACAGAAGTGCCCGGTAGAAGAGTACTATGTTGACAAGAGTGCCCCGTAGAAGAGTACTATGTTGACAGGAGTGCCCCATAGAAGAGTACTATGTTGACTGGAGTGCCTGTTAGAAGAGTACTATGTTGACAGGAGTGCCCGGTAGAAGAGTACTATGTTGACAGGAGTGCCCGGTAGAAGAGTACTATGTTGACAGGAGTGCCCCGTAGAAGAGTACTATGTTGACAGGAGTGCCCGATAGAAGAGTACTATGTTGACCGGAGTGCCCGGTAGAAGAGTACTATGTTGACAGGGGTGCCCGGTAGAAGAGTACTATGTTGACAGGAGTGCCCGGTAGAAGAGTACTATGTTGACAGGAGTGCCCGGTAGAAGAGTACTAAGTTGACAGGAGTGCCCAGTAGAAGAGTACTATGTTGACTGGAGTGCCCGGTAGAAGAGTACTATGTTGACAGGAGTGCCCGGTAGAAGAGTACTATGTTGACTGGAGTGCCCGGGTAGAAGAGTACTTTGTTGACAGGAGTGCCCGGTAGAAGAGTACTATGTTTACAGGAGTGCCCGGTAGAAGAGTACTATGTTGACAGGAGTGCCCGGTAGAAGAGTAATATGTTTACAGGAGTGCCCGGTAGAAGAGTACTATGTTTACAGGAGTGTCCGGTAGAAGAGTACTATGTTGACAGGAGTGCCCGGTAGAAGAGTACTATGTTGACAGGAGTGCCCGGTAGACGAGTTCTATGTTGACAGGAGTGCCTTGTAGAAGAGTACTATGTTGACAGGAGTGCCTGGTAGAAGAGTACTATGTTGACAGGAGTGCCCGGTAGAAGAGTACTATGTTTACAGGAGTGCCCGGTAGAAGAGTACTATGTTGACAGGAGTGCCCGGTAGAAGAGTACTATGTTGACAGGAGTGCCCGGTAGAAGAGTACTATGTTGACAGGAGTGCCCGGTAGAAGAGTACTATGTTGACTGGAGTGCCCGGTAGAAGAGTACTATGTCGACAGGAGTGCCCGGTAGAAGAGTACTATGTTGACTGGAGTGCCCGGTAGAAGAGTAGTATGTTGACTGGAGTGCCCGTTAGAAGAGTACTATGTTGACAGGAGTGCCCGGTAGAAGACTACTATGTTGACAGGAGTGCCCGGTAGAAGAGTACTATGTTGACAGGAGTGCCCGGTAGAAGAGTACTATGTTGGCAGGAGTGCCCGGTAGAAGAGTACTATGTTGACAGGAGTGCCCGGTAGAAGAGTACTATGTTGACAGGAGTGCCCGGTAGAAGAGTACTATGTTGACAGGAGTGCCCGGTAGAAGAGTACTATGTTGACAGAAGTGCCCCGTAGAAGAGTACTATGTTGACAGGAGTGCCGCGTAGAAGAGTTCTATGTTGACAGGAGTGCCCGGTAGAAGAGTACTATGTTTACAAGAGTGCCCCGTAGAAGAGTACTATGTTGACGGGAGTGCCCCGTAGAAGAGTACTATGTTGACAGGAGTGCCCCATAGAAGAGTACTATGTTGACTGGAGTGCCCGTTAGAAGAGTACTATGTTGACAGGAGTGCCCGGTAGAAGACTCCTATGTTGACAGGAGTGCCCGGTAGAAGAGTACTATGTTGACAGGAGTGCCCGGTAGAAGAGTTCTATGTTGACAGAAGTGCCCGGTAGAAGAGTACTATGTTGACAGGAGTGCCTTGTAGAAGAGTACTATGTTGACATGAGTACCCAGTAGAAGAGTGCTATGTTGACAGGAGTGCCCGGTAGAAGAGTACTATGTTGACAGGAGTGCCCGGTAGATTGGAGTGTCCAAATAGGGAATACCTACTTTTTGACATACCTCAAACAAATCAGTGTTTGAGAAGGGAAATGTGTTTGGACCGTGCTGTGGAGTTCTACATAATCCGTGGTCTATGCGACTTCATATCGCTTGGGACCGTGCGCGGACTGCGCAGGTTGCGCATGCCTGCATTTGGACGCATTCTTGTTGTTCTGGTTTTGCCTTCTTCTTGAGACTCTCTTTGGAGTGAAGACAAATATCAGTCCTCTGTTTGTGGTACATGTGAGAGAGTAATCGGAAGGGCTGTCGTCAGGTCATAAAAAACCCGACGACATATGCATAGTGCAAAGGGGGGTCAATGATACTTCATGTTGCTACAGATTGTCCCATCTTGACCAGTGATGGGCTGGTCTGCAGCCAAATTAATATTGATATCTCATCAGTTTACAATTTTTCTTGTCATTGTCAGTCTCTGTTTCTCTTTGTGTTTATCTGTCTGTCACTTTCTATCTCTCTCTCTTTCCCCTCTCTTTGTGTTTGTCTTTCTCTGTTTCTCCATGGATATCTGCGATCTCTCTTTCCCCTCTCTTTGTGTGTGTCTTTCTCTGTTTCTCCATGGATATCTGCTATCTCTCTTTCTCACTTGCTCACTTTCTCACTAACTCTCTCTGTCTTACTGTTTGCAGCTACCCGTGCCACTCAACATTTCCAAACACTCACTGTTTCCATTGGCGGCAAGTCAGCACACAAGCACTAGTACTGTGGCCAGTATTGTGGCTAGTACTGTTGTTGGTACTCTGGCCCAGGTAAGACATTATAATATACTTTAGAACTCTCATTATCGGTACATATTAATGCTAGGGTACTTAGTAACAATGAATCCAAGACCCTTGGACGGAGGAGTTACTTCTGCCCCGCACACACTTCCATCCAATATGCCACCGCCCCTGCTGTGCAGCATCTGATGGTTCAGTGGTATATGAAGTAGGAAATAACCTGTCTTCAAGTACAGCACTGCTCAATGAAATCCGTCCAGGTGGATTAATGCCACGCCAGGCTATTCGCAGCCCTAGACCTGGGAACGCTCGGATGTGAACTACTGCAGGGTGCTGACTTAGTTCACTCAATGGGATTTCATTGAGCAGCTCTGAAAATGTTGACGACAAAAACTCAGAACAGGTATCCGTTTTAGACGGCAAGGCCATTTTCTCATTTTCTCATTTTCTCATTGGTGAAGTTTTGATTGAAAGAAACTAATGTACAGTAAAACCGGCGACCACTCGGATAAGGTGACCACCTGTCCTAGAAGACCACTGAAACCAGGACCAATAGATGCTATTTCCACTCAAATGACCCTGGATAAAGAGACCACCTGGGAAGAGAGACCACATTTTGAAGGTCCCTTGAGTGGTCGTCTTAGACAGGTTTCACTGTGTTATGTAAGTAGACTCAAAAGAGTACTATGTTGACAGGAGTGCCCGGTAGAAGAGTACTATGTTGACTGGAGTGCCCGGTAGAAGAGTACTATGTTGACAGGAGTGCCCGGTAGAAGAGTACTATGTTGACAGGAGTGCCCGGTAGAAGAGTACTATGTTGACAGGAGTGCCCGGTAGAAGAGTACTATGTTGACAGGAGTGCCTTGTAGAAGAGTACTATGTTGACAGGAGTGCCCGGTAGAAGAGTACTATGTTGACAGGAGTGCCTGGTAGAAGAGTACTATGTTGACAGGAGTGCCCCGTAGAAGAGTATTATGTTGACTGGAGTGCCCGGTAGAAGAGTACTATGTTGACAGGAGTGCCCGGTAGAAGAGTGCTATGTTGACAGGAGTGCCCGGTAGAAGAGTACTATGTTGACAGGAGTGCCTTGTAGAAGAGTACTATGTTGACATGAGTACCCGTAGAAGAGTGCTGTGTTGACAGGAGTGCCCGGTAGAAGAGTACTATGTTGACAGGAGTGCCCGGTAGATTGGAGTGTCCAAATAGGGAATACCTACTGTTTGACATACCTCAAACAAATCAGTGTTTGAGAAGGGAAATGTGTTTGGACCGTGCTTTGAAGTTCTACATAATCCGTGGTCTATGCATCATATCGCGGCCTTGACCTTCTGATCCCAAGCGCGACCAAGACAAGCGATGTCACACGCGAGGGTGTAAAAATCGGCCTGCCCCGTGGGAGACTGCAACAGGCCTCCCGGGGTCAAAACCTTTATGATCGTGTGTTGCAGCTGCTCTTGTTTCCTACCTTTACACTCAATGAGGTACTGTCGTGGACATGGAAATCCGGTCAGATGACCGGAGCCTGCACACTCAGTGTATACTGAACGATACGTGCATGTACCATATACGTACTCACGACTGCGTGTCCATCGCTCGTGGGCTGCCTGACCTCCGACCGAAATTCCAATGTCCACGACAGTATATGGGTGTACAAGCATGTGTATGTGTGTGATGGGGGGGGGGGGGGGGGGGACTGATGTTGGCATGCATCCTGTTCTTGGTTGTCATGTCTCTTTCCATCTCTCTCCCTTTCTCTATCTCTGGAGTTTCTCTGCCCGTTCTTGGCCAATTTCCATCTCTCTACCAATTCATCATTCTATATTTCTCTGTTTAGCTCTCTCCTCCTACAGATCATAACCACACAGTTGGTATGAGAGCATTTTCGCACGATGGATGGTGAGTGCTTTGTCGGTTTGTTTATGAGTCGAGACTCGAAAAGACTTTGCATTCCTTCCTAGTTATGTATGTAAATCACATCACCAAGTGTACGAGTCTCGGCTAGAAATTGAGTGGAATTTCATCTGACCCAAGATGCAGGATAGTCAGAGTCTGCTTACTGTAAAAGCCATTATTCCCGTAGCTATGCAGAAGACGTTACTTCAGTAACGTCTGGCGCTAGCCAGGGTCCACACAGCTTTAATTCCCCTAGCTATGCAGAAGACGTTACTTCAGTAACGTCTGGCGCTAGCCAGGGTCCACACAGCTTTAATTCCCGTAGCTATGCAGAAGACGTTACTTCAGTAACGTCTGGCGCTAGCCAGGGTCCACACAGCTTTAATTTGGTATTTGTGTGTTTGTTTGTTTGTGTGTTTGTGTCATGCCTGGCGCTATCCCGTATCTGTACCGTACCGTACCGTACCATCAAACACAGCTGGCCACATACAGCTGGCCGCAATATTCAAATAGGGCTTTCAAACGCAAGATCATAACGTGAAGCAACTTCGAAGAATGGGTATGAATGCGAAGTGTATGGGGGAATGCATGTAGGGCGATAGTACGGGTTCGAACCCATGATATGCCTGAAAAAATTGAATTGAAAAATTTATAACATCCCTATGCTTTTTTTGCCGTCATCAAGGCGGTAGACCGTGTCGTATTAGCCTCGATCGTACCTGTCCCGTACCTATCCCGTACCGTACCGTACCATCAAAGACGGCTGGCCACAATGCATATTCAAATAGGGCTTTCAAATGCAAGACCATAACGTGAAGCAACTTGGAAGAATTAGTATGTATGCGAAGTGGATCGGGGATGCATGCAGGGCGCGCGATAGTGCGGGTTCGAATCCCAGGTTATGTCTTAAAAAAAGGAATTTTTTAAAGAATTTTTAACATCCCCAGACCATCTGGTAAAAGGAGAGCGATCGCTCTCGCGCGCCTTCGCTCTCCTTATTTTCTTTTTGGGCGCACTTTTCGTCGCGCGCCTTGAGAATTTCGAGCGCATCCGCATCACTGTGAAGTGCATTCTGCAAACACTCAAATATTTCGTAACTCGGCTTTCCCTGAACGGAATCGAGTACTCGAAAGGTCTATTCGTATTAGAAGGTTCTCAGTTGTCGGCTCCAACTAATCGGAAGTCGATCCGAGGTCGAATAGCGGAGTTACGGCACTCGCAAGGTATTTGACGTACCGTTGCAAATTTTCACTTCCAATTATTATTATTTTGACCTAAAGGATTTCCCTCTGTTGCGTGACAGTCCGGGCATGCATAGACCTGTGCGACGTCAGGCACAGGTCTTGAGCGGTTAGCTACAGAAGAAAGTAGCGCTCCACGATGAATACTACAAAATTACCATGGATGCGAATTGTCTCAATTTCCTATTGCGCGTGTCATCGTCCGAATAATTAATTCATGAAGGGAAATTAAGGGTGTGGTCCGAACAGCTTTCATTTGTAGTGCGTACGGCGATTTTCCATAACGAATTTGGCAGCTATTGGGTATTGAATCCGATTAGGGTATGGCAAGATGTTGAAAAAACCCGTATTGTGCTCGCCTTGGATAGATATGGTGAGCGACTTTTTTTTTGGGGGGGGGGACTTCTCTCCCACCACTCTCCTTGAGAGGATAGCAAGAGTGATTGTTCACTCTCATGGATTTTCTTACACGAAGGTCTGATTCTGTTTCTCTATGTGTGTGTTATGCCAACATTTTCAGACGAGTCTCTTGACCAACAGCTCTCTGACATGACAGCATGGGAGAGTGACGTCTTCACAGAACTTCGGCCTGACCTGGTTTCCACGCTAACTCCAGGTGATATGCGTCGCCAGTGTGAGGCTAAGAAGTTGATTACGCGTGCACAGCGTCAGCTATTTGCATCAAACACTGGCCGTGCAGCGCAGAATGAGGAATTGCTCGATGCACTAAGCACTGGTGATGACGAATCCTTCCACACCTTCCTTAAATGCATCCGTAAAGTCGAGCCACCAGCCAGCGCGAGAAGGTTATTGGCCAAGCTGGAACCCGTCGACAAGTTCCAGCAGCCCGGCAGTACTGCTGAGGCCGCATTAGCGTCTGCAGGAGCATCTGCTGCTGATCCAGTGGGTAAGTAAAGAGCAGTAGGCTGTACAGGCAGAGGCCAGTTGGGACTTTTGCAGCTCCATAGTTTTTTTCCGTGGTTTTGGCAGCCCAGCTGGCATCAGGCCAGTCTGAAGGCTTGAAGTAGCTAGCTAGCAAGCAGTAGGACTAGGAGGAGTAGTGCGATGGCAGTAGGGCAGTAGCTTTCCAGAATGCCTGAGATTCATTGCAAAATTGATGAAGGGAAACTGAAGTTGTGGTCCGAACAGCTTCCATTTGTAGGGTGTACGGCAATTTTCCGGAATGAATTTGGCACCTATTGGGATTTGAATCCGATTGGGGTATGGCAAGATGTTGAAAAACCCGTATTGTGATTTGTGCTCGCCTTGGGTAGATGAGGTGAGCGATTTGGGGGGGGGGGGGGAGGGTGCTGGGGACTGCTCTCCCACCACTCTCCTTGAGAGGATAGCAGTGGATTCATCAGCAACTGTATTGAACCCTCAAGAGTCACACCAGGCAAGGTTTCCAATTGGAACAACAATGTCAGAACGTGCGCATGGAGCAAGAGCAGAGTCAGAACCAGGAGCAACAGCCACAGTACCAGCTGTACCAGCACTTCATCATTGCCATCATCCAAGTGAGTTTTGCTTGCGTTATAGTTGACATTCGAAGGGGACGCAACAGGAAGCAACGTAAGAAGCTACGGGAAGTTGCAGGGATGGTCATGGTCGCAAAGGACTCCATCGGCAATCAACGCCAGGAGCAGGACTGCAACCGTATTACTGTACACTGTGTATTACCGTATTACCGTACACTGTGTATTATTTATGTCTAATTAGGGATAGTCCAGGAGTGTGTCAGACGACGTGATAAATCAATTCCTATGGTTACCATTTGAATAATGAAAAACAAGAATTTAAAAGGCATTGAGTCAATTGATCATGGGCCACAGCTTTATGCCTCACGATGAGTTATGTCGGCTATTGCAATAGCTGCTGCATGTTACGCTGTACGGATGGCAAAGCCGTCTGCAGGTCACCATACATTTTCTACGTCCCGTCCCATCAGCTTTATGGTGAATGTGAAATTGACTTGAAAACATTGGTATGTACTGAGGTGTCATGGCACCAGCCATTCACCATGGAAACATTCTTGAATAAAATAAATGGAATTTGATGTATGAGTGTTTGCAAGCTTATACAAATAATTATAGCAACCTGAAATCACATAATCGGTTTGTGGATGCGGACATGTCTGTGGGCTGGTGTACTTGTGGCAGGTGTACAACCGCCTATTGCTCTGCAGCCCGGTGCAGCCTTAGCTTGCTCCTCCACTGGTAGATCACCATCATCAATGTCAGGTCCTTCTACCACGGCAGAGACTACATTTGGTCTGAGTCAGACCTGTATGAGTGCATCCACCCAAGCCACTACAACACATCCCATTGCTAGCTCAGCTAACACTAGCACTGGCAGCTTTACAGCTGATGGTAATGCTGCTGGGAGAGGAACTGCATTGCAGCAGAGTACACAGCAACCAGCGTCAGTCCACCTTGAAAACACGGCACAGCTGGCAGCAGCTGCAGCAGTAAGACATGCTTCTTCACTGCCTCTCGAGCCGCAAGCCAAGAGGGCCCTACTTAGCAGTGTTGGTAGAGCTTTCACCGAGGAAATGTCCAGGCATATTGACTATGTGTCTGCTTCAAGTATGGCTCATACCAGTCCAGGTAAGCGGTATGTACTTGGAAGCTTGTATACCTGTTATCTACAATGTACATGTGCCAGTGGAAGTCATTGACCCTGAAGCGGTTACTGTATGAAACATCATTTTGCACCAAGTTCAAACTTTGTATGTGGATCGCGTTTAGCATTAGGCTGTTTTATGATTGCAGCTGAATGCGCATTTAAGCCAGCCGTGTCACTTGGATACACTCACACCTCTCTTATCCGGGCAGTCTGGGACCGGACCATGCACGACCGATAACTTGGAAATATTCCTAACTCTGAATCACATAATATTTTGATGGGGAAGTGTCGGAGATATTGGATATGACTTCACTATTTCAACTAAACGTTGGCAACAGTGAAGTAATATTTCCTCTTTAGAGAGCATGTCTGAGAAAACCAGAACATATGTGCAAGTCGGTCTCTCAGATTTCGCTCAAATTTTGCAGGTAGGTTTGCTTTGGGGTGTAGATCGATATTCCAAAGCCCGCGCATAATCTTTTGAAGGGAACCATGAAATTGGCATACCCCTCAATATTGGCCCAATATTGGCACGATTTATGGGTCTACAAACGAGCCACGGCACAGCGTACAAGAACAAGCTACGAACAAAAGTCCATCAAGCCAACATTACCTCACCTTAGAAGAGTTCTTGGGGCAGCACCACTTAGCCACGCCAGCATCCCAGAAGACGAGGGCAATCATCCCTTGACGCCACAAATGATCGTCTTGAAAATAGCCAAATTACAAGCGCTGATAAAACAGCGAGCTACGTCCTCAATTAGCAAACACTATACACCAGCAGATAGTAGAACACCTCTTCTAGCACTGAGGACATGTCACCCATCATCCTTTTGGGGTTTTCTTGAAATAAACAATTTTGAATTTTTCCACTCGATTATTCTGAAATACGTCCAAACTCATAAGGGAAATTTGGACAACAAAGTACATAGAATGGCTTGTTAGGACATGGCAAATTGTTCTGTGAAGGTTTCGGAACAATTGGACCAGCCGTTAAGGAGTTAGAATTTCGGCCAGGTTTCCGGCCTTTTCCCATGGTTTACAATTTGCCCAGGAAGCCGGTATCGATTTTTTATCAAAACCCACGATTTATCCTTTCCTTTTTGGCCTTGTGGTTATGAATGCTGTCTGCTGACCATGAAGTTGTGAGTTCAAATCCCAACCTATCCTCAAGTCAAACTTTTTTTTCATTGTTTTCGTGATCAAGCTGGTACAAGACAAAGAAGATGGCTGCACCAAACGACTTGTTGTTCGAGGTCGCGCTTCCTGCCGAACTGACTGACACTTGACTGGCTCACGCCATGTGAACCCACCCACAACACTGCAATGGTGTGAGTGAAGAAGGAAGTCATCGCGCTGTAGCTTTTTGAGATTTATTTTAGTATTTCAAGATCGCCAATTTATTTGAATTTAGCAGTCAACGCCGTCTTCTATCAGCGTTCACAAGCGTCTGCTTTTCTCAAAATGTCGTCGAAGTCACACGGATAGCTTTGCCAAGTCATGGCCTTCGAAATGAGTCCGTGTCGATGTCGTTTTCGTCACACGGTGAGTAAATTGCATCGCAGCTCAAAGAAACTATTTTGGTCACAACACGGATTGGGACACATGCCGCTCGTCAACATTTACAACACTTTCGTTTCGACATGTCCTCTCTGACTCCGTTATCGATACGAGGAAGAACTCGTTTGTTGTAAACCAGACGTACATGTACATGACTGTATCAACGTGAGTGAGTTGTCATTTTTCCTGCTTTCGCGCGGAATATTTCTTCGAGTTCACAGTGAGTATTTCCAGGCAGCGCTCGAGTGCTCATACGGTAAGATGCCAAACTCCGCGGGCGATCGCCAGGATTGCAAATCTTTTTGAAACGGACTGTAGTCAGCAATTTACTCCAACACCACTCCCAACGCTGCAGAACAAAGTGAATTGTTGACTCTGACAAGGAAAAGCAGTGGTGATCACTTGTCACTCCAAACGACAAGCTTCTCCTTGCGCCACCAACATTTTTCGGTGCAATAGTTGATGGGGGAGGGGAGGGGGAGGGGAGGGGAGGGAGAGAGAGAGAGAGAGAGAGAGAGAGAGAGGGAGAGAAAAAGAGAGAGAGAAAGAGAGAGAAAGAGAGAGAGCTAGAGAGAGAGAGAGAGAGAGAGAGAGAGAGAGGGAGAGAGAAAGAGAGAGATATGAGGGTATCGAGCACTCTCTGCACAGTGGAAGTATTCTTGTGGGTGACTTTACTCATATACATGCTCTCTAACTTTAGTTGAAAAAACTGGTGACACGTGACTGTTTCAATGTGACTGCTCTAATTTGCCCTGCTGTATGTTTCAGATTCCCAGGCCTCTCTGCGGCAGAAGTCTCAGTTCCTCCTGGACAGCCCCGAAATGTCTGAAGGTGACTCAGGGTTGTCCGGCTCTGCTGCTAGCTCAGACACCGAAGGTAAGGTATGTAGGGCATGCCTTACATGGGCATTTAGGACAAGTTGGATTGTGCAAATCCGTGGGCCTGGGATCCGGATTCGCAATCTTTGGACCTGTTTGATTGTTAGAATCCGGATCCAGGTGACATGGATTCGGATCTGGTCAACCCACCCCCCAAAGAAGGATTGGACAGAGTCAACGGATCCATTCTTGCTCTGAACCCAAACTTGCACCAGGTGAATATTGATATCAATTAGCCATTCTACGATATCAGCCCTATTTGACGAGAGTGTTTTATTCGATACTGCTTTTCGAAGGAACTGAGTACCAACGGAAGTGTCACATTAAAACCAGGTGATGTCTGACTGGAACTAAGGCTGACCAGAAGCTAATCATATGCTGGTATATCACGGCTCAGATTCGCCTTGTGTGACCAAGAATTCACCTTGATGCTAGATTCTTGGATCAGGAATATTTTTATTCCCAATATTGTACATCAGCTACTCAGGTTTGCAATAAATTAACGGCGAATGTATGTTGTTGTGCTTTCTTCCACATCAATTACTAAACTATGTGTATGACCAGAGTGGACAGAAGATGATCTGCGCAATGCTCGAGTCACGGTTTTTATGGACAGCAAATTCAGGACATCTGCTGACTGTGATGGAATTATATTGGACAGTTTATCTAAACAGCACTTCAATGAGACTAATATCAGAATCAAATCGACGAGCAGAAGAAGTGCTCCTGCGCTCACACATGTTGAAGGAAAAGGTTTGTAATATCCTGTTCTCTACCTTTTTCATGTACATTTGAATGTGTACAGCTAAGTAGGACAAATTCTACTACTGTACTCAGCCACAGGCTGGTAGACCAATACTAGTGTCTGCTCCAGGATGATTTCAAACCAACCATGTACATGTGTACCTGATGTTTAAGTATGGCTACTGCATGTGCACTGATTGATGCATGGCTGGTGATAGTAGATATACATAATCATCTTGCACATCAGTCAGGTATCTGCAGAGAGAGAAAACTGCATGATGGTGCTTTGAAATCGCTATGACTGTACTTCAAGTGCAGTCGACGGGAAAGCACAAATTCTAAGCATTGCAAGTGTAGCGTTGGCACGCTGGTGACTTCAAAGCGTATACGTTGTAATTTCCGATATTATTTGCCATACATATCCCGGTTGACGCTCTATGTTCTTTCGTCGAGGTTGTCCCGGCGCGACCATGCATGCCGCCTGTAACAGGTTTAATCAAACTTGAAAAGTAAGAGGCCTGGTTGAGCGTGCCTCGACCAGTTATATGCAGAATGTGATAGTATACATGTGGCAATGGCGCCAATGAAGGTGCTAATAGACAGGCGTAAGACGCACGAGGTGCGAGGGAGTGTAAAGTTATAGAGATCAGGGGAAAACTGTTACATCATCCCCCTCCTATGGAGAGGAAGGAGCTTATAACCCAAATGCTCAAGTGGAATAGAGTACAATAAGCGCAAACACGTGCGAGACGAAAAAAGGCTTCGCACTGAAGCAACACAATAAGACGACTGAAACTCCATGCAAATAAAGTGTAATAAGCTCAACAAATGTGTAAGGTGAAACTAGAAGTTCTGCAAAACTCAGCGGGCAGAAGCCAAGGTTTTGTACTTCTGAAGTGGAACAATGTCATTACCAGATTCATCCAACAAATAATGTTCAGGCTCCCAAGTGGCATCAGAGTAGCCTTGCCACTTGACTAGGTACTGAAGCTGATTCTGCCGGCGGCGGTGACTGAGAATGTTCTCCACCACATAGCGGGCATGACCATCAAGGTCCGTGATAGGCGGAGGCGTAGGCTGTCTCCTATTAGGAATAGCGTTCTTCTCGTAGGCACGGAGTGCCGACACATTAAATACCGGGTGACAGCGGCTGGTATGAGGCAACTTGAGCTTGTAGGCATTCGGGCCGACCACATGGGTTATAGGAAAGGGGCCAAACCACTTGGGGCGTAATTTATGGGATGGTCGGTCCCGAGCTTCAGGAGTCAGGAGGAAATCCCGGTAGACCATTACCAAATCTCCCACCTTCAGCTTTCCCTCGACCCTTGTCCGATCTGCATAGAAGGCCTGACGAGCTTGAGCTGCCACTAGCGCATCTTGTGAGATCTTGACCGCGTCTTGTCTTGCTTGCAACCAATCAGCTGAATCTCTGCCTCCCTGAATAGGGTTGAGGAAGTCGGGTGGCGCTCTGGGATTTAGACCGTAATTTAAGAAGAACGGTGTGTTTCCTGTAGATGATTGAGTAGCGCTGTTGATAGAAAACTCACAGAGAGGTAGGAGCATATCCCAGTTATCTTGTTTATGATTTACAAAAGCCCTCAGCACATCCTCTACTATTCTGTTTACTCGTTCAGTTAGGCCATCTGTCTGAGGGTGATTGGCAGTACTAAATGCTAGTTTCGTTCCTAAGCGATCAAACAATTCCTGAAAAAATGCTGCCGTAAATCTTGGATCACGATCACATACAATACTAGAACTCAAACCATGAAGTCGAAATACATGTTGAATATACAGATCAGCACTTCCTTTAGCGTCAATAGTAGAGGAAGTAGGTGCTAAATGTACACACTTTGTCAAGCGGTCTACAAATACATATATTGCATCATGACCTGTATCGGTCCTAGGCAAACCCATGATAAAATCCATCGAGATATCCGCCCACGGCTGACTGGGCACTGGTAAATTCTGCAAGAGACCAGTTTTTAGCTGGCCGCCTTTAACTCGTTGGCAGACGTCACATGACTTGACAAATGCCTTTACATCCAGTCCCATTCTGGGCCAATAGAAATATCGAGAGAGTCTGAAATAGGTGCGATCTCGACCGGGATGCCCCGCAGTCACACAGTCATGGTATTCTTGAAGCAGGGCGAGTCGGAGTTTGCTACTCTTTGGAATGCATAACCGGTTCTGTGGTGAAGATCTGAGATAAAGATAACCGGGTGTTTCATTTAGAAGGTAACGGTCGTGCAGATTGTCATGGCTTGAATTTTTCAGTCTCCTGATAATGGGAGCAAGATCCTTGTCGCACTTGTAACCGCTGACAATTAACTGCGCTAAGTCTGGATTAATCTCTAGGGTATGCTCTATGGCATTCAACTGAATGTTAGGAGGATAGGATGACCCGCCTATTTCAGAATCACTGAACAGATCTGGACGGCGTGAAAGCGGGTCGGCAATGTTTTTCTTTCCTGGTTTGTGAAAGACCGTAAAGTCATAGTCAGCTAAAAACTCTACCCATCTTGCCTCACGCTTGGTGAGAGTCGGTTTGGTTCGTAAATAGACAACACCCATATTATCAGTCATCAGGTCAAAGTGGCGGAATAGATAGATTCTCCAGCACTTTAATGCAAATACCACAGCCAACGTTTCCCTCTCGGCCGCAGTATAGTTGCGTTCTGCAGCTGACAGTTTCCGACTACAATAGGCTACGGGATGCAAATCCATATCTTCTCCCTGCTGCAGGAGCACACCCGCCACGGCAAAGTCACTTGCGTCAGTTTCTACCATGAAGCTTTTCTCAACATCGGCCAGTTGCAACACTGGCGCCTCGAGTAATGCTGATTTTAGAGACTCGAATGCCTTCTGTCTAGCAGCGCTCCATTCAAAGCGTGAATTTTTTCCGGTGATTTCTTCTAATGGACGAGAGATGGTCGAGTGTCGATCTATGAACCTTCGGAAATAGTTTGCAAAGCCAAGAAACTTCCTCACATCAGTTACTGACGACGGAGTTGGCCATGTTTCCACAGCACTTATCTTCTTGGGATCAGGGGAAATTGATGTGCCGTTGATTTTATGCCCCAAGAAGAGAACTTCTCTCACGCCGAATTCGCATTTAGACTGTTTGCAATACAGCTCACTATTTCTAAGTGTTTCTAGAACTGTTTGAAGATGATGCTGATGATCTTCCCAGGTCTTGCTGAAAACTAGAATGTCATCCAAGAATACTACAACGAATTTTCGGAGATGCGGTTGCAGAATAGAGTTCATGAGTGACTGAAAGGTGGCCGGGGCATTAGTCAGCCCGAATCCCATGACTCTAAATTGGAAGTGGCCGAACGGCGTATTAATGGCCGTCTTAGAAACATCCGAGTCTTGAATTCTGATTTGATTGTAGCCTGACCGCAAGTCCAACTTGGAGAAATATGCACTGCCCTGGATCGTGTCGAATAAGTCATCAATATTAGGAAGACAAGCTTTGTTTTTGATCGTAATTCTATTCAATTCTCGCCAATCGCACACCATTCTCAGAGTACCATCCGACTTTTTCACAAAAAACACAGGTGCACCGTATGGCGACTTACTTGGCTCAATGAATCCCTTCTCAAGTAATTCTGATAGCTGTGACTGGAGCTCGTCCATCTCTGGTTTCGGCAGGCGGTAGGCGGGTCGAGACGGTGGTCTGGCTCCATCTTCTATCTGGATTTCATGGTCGACTGGTCTCTTCGGTGGAAGCTCATTCGGCAGCTCGTCTGGAAATAAATCCTGGTACCTCTTGAGCAGGTTCTGGATGTCTTGTTGCTCTGATTCCTGGAGTTGTGGCCCGGAACGATTCTCCTCGTTTGCAGCAGTGACCCATGCAAGAAACCCCTCGGCTCCACTCCTCAGGGCATGACGAGCTTGTCGGCCACTGATAAACATGCTTTCCACAGATGGCCGGTCGGCTGTCGGCGGGTTAGCTGAAGGCAATTTGGCAACAAAGGGCTCACCGTCCAACTGAACTTCGTTCGTACGGAAGTTGATGCTGGGGTTGTTCCTTGTAAGCCACGGCTTGCCAAGAATAGCGTCGTAGCGAGTCAGGGGATACACAGTAAAGTGCTGTTCCTCACTGAAGCCCCCGACTGTCACCCTTAGCGTGCGTGTGGAAATCTGCGGGACCTCGCTGGTCGAGCCGTCCGCCAATGTTACGCTCAGCACTGCTGAGCTTGCATCCGTGTCAAGATGATGCTTTCGAACAAAACTGTCTGCAATGAAGTCATGCGTTGAACCGGAATCTATCAGCATCACTGCACGGCGACCGCCGATCTTTCCCTGTATGCGCAGTAGGTCGTGTTCAGGTTCATTGCCGACGCTGACGTTGCTGACATGACACCTTTCTGCAACGGGACAATTTCCTACAGCTATGGGTGTCTCCGGCTCCGTAGGTTCCTGGAGAGCAACGTCTTCAACCTCCAGAGCTCCGAACCGGTTAGCGACTGGTACCGGCGTGGGCGCTTGGGTCGTCGCCAGTAAGCGCACCCCCTTTCTTACTGGCGACCAGCGTTTGGGTAGCGCTGTCCACCCTCAGTACAGTCTTTAGCGAGGTGGCCTGGCTTCCTGCAAGCAAAGCAGTGTCCCATTGCTCGCAGTTGGACACGCTCTTGGTCCGTCAGCTTGCGGAGGCCCTGACCACGGAAGCTGGGCACGGAACGCGACTCTCTACTGGCTGGTGGCCCCGACGCCGGTGGCCCTGACGACTGCTCCACGGTGTTTGCTGCCATGACAGCTTGCTCTAGGGTACGTGGATGCTCACGCATGACCTGTCGCTGGATGTGCGGCACTAGACCCCTGACGAACAGCAGCGCTCTGGTGTGGTGGTCGATTTCCGGCACTTGCAGGCTGAGGCGAGTGAAAGCAGCAATGTATGCGTCCAGCGACCCGCGCTGTGCTGCGGAAATTAGTCCCATACGCGATGTTTCCTCGTTGTGCCGTGGTCCGTACACATCGCCAAGTGCCGCTTTCAGAGCAGGCCAGTCGGAAAACACTTGGTTAGCTTCCAATGCCGATATCAACCAAAGACGAGCGTTTCCAGTCAAAAATCCTGCCGCGTAGTCGACCCTCTGTGCCGCATTTGGGAGTGCCAACGACCGTAGGGCCATGTCCATTGCAAACGTCCATTCTTTGAATGTAGCGGAATCTCCTCCAAACACAGGCGGCTCTTTCGTAAGGCGGGGTGTTGGCTCCCACGGTTCTGAGTTCGGATGTATCGTTCGGTTTCCTTGGCTAACGCGCTGAGCGGTCTTGATATCGTTTATCAGCCGAACGACGAGTACGAGGAGCGTAAGCAGAGCGACCAGAACACCTGCCAAAAGCAGAGTAGGAACCATCCTCTGCTACCAGTGTAACAGGTTTAATCAAACTTGAAAAGTAAGAGGCCTGGTTGAGCGTGCCTCGACCAGTTATATGCAGAATGTGATAGTATACATGTGGCAATGGCGCCAATGAAGGTGCTAATAGACAGGCGTAAGACGCACGAGGTGCGAGGGAGTGTAAAGTTATAGAGAACAGGGGAAAACTGTTACACCGCCAGTTTTTCTAATAGCAGCCAGTTGTTGATGTCCAGCTATCACCTACATGTAGTATTCGAATCACGAGGACGTGATTGTATTTGAGAGGGGAGGTGTAGCGTTGGCACGCTGGTGATTTCAAAGCATATAGCGTATAGTGTTTAGAGTATAGCATATCCCCGTACTGTATCCCCATACGTTAGCGTATCCCCGTACATTAGCATACAGAGTCTGCCTGTGCATTAAAGCTGCTGTTCACGATTCTTTTGAGCGAGTTAATTTCATTGCCAGTTATAGTTACATTTCAATTGCCAGTTACAGTGTGTTCACTGAGACCCTTGTGTATTCTTGCCTCCGAGAGACTGCGGCCCGCTACACAAGCAGTTGTTGTATCAATGCAATCAGTACCCAGACTCAGAAGTTACTAAAAGCGGTGCAGACCACACATAAAAGTAGCCATCTGCACGATGAGCTCAGCGCCACCCATGTGCCAACCAGAATTGCTGCTGGCTTAGGTGTCTGGGTGGGCATGTGCGTGTGCAGACCTACATTACTCACAATACATGTCTATATGGGTGTGATGTGTGTATGTGATCATTTGTCTGTTTGTGTGTGTGTATGTGAGCATGTGTCTGTTTGTGTGTGTGTGTGTGTGAGCATGTGTCTGTTTGTGTGTGCGGCCATGCATATGAATCTACATGTGTCCTGCAGGAGGAGATATTAGGACATTGGTCAAAATCATCATCAACGGACAACCTGACGACTACACAAAACAAAGGATCCGAAGTGAAGTGATTGAGGACCTGGAGCACCTTACCTTCTCCGAGGATCAAATTCAGGTCATCTACAAAGGCGACTGGGATTCCATCCAGGTCGCACTGTTGCTTCCAATGAGGACACTGGGTCATCTACTCTACCTTGCAGTACACTATCCTGGACTGCTGCGAGGCCTGGGTATACTTCAAATCATCGACATCTCCTCATTGACCATAATTGACTTTCGAGAGATAACAGGCATGTTGCTCTATTATCATGTGCTGTGCGGCTTTCTATATATGTGTGTGTGTGTGTGTGTGTGTGTATGCATAGGTGTGTGTGTGTGTGTGTGTGTGTGTGTGTGTGTGTGTGTGTGTGTGTATGCGTAGGTGTGTGTATGTGTGTGTGTATGCGTAGGTGTGTGTATGTGTGTGTGTGTGTGTGTGTGTGTGTGTGTGTGTGTGTGTGTGTGTGTGTATGTGTGTGTGTGTGTGTATGTGTGTGTGCACGCATGTGCGTGCGGGAGTCTCGCGCCGAGTGGAGGACAGCACACACCTGGACAGAGGGTGATGCATCTTCTTCGCACAGCATGTTTAGTGGTACAGTTGCTGCTGTCAACTGCTCTTTGTGTGAGAGGATTTTCTTGCGCCGCCAGGATCGTGCCAGGCACGGGTGCACTGCAGAGCTAGCAGTGCAACAACAGCGTGGATAATGCCAGTTTGATCGATGCGGCAGTTGGTTCTTAAGGTGGCTCGTACCTAAAATGAAAACTAGTCCTTTAAGAGAGCATGTCTGAGAATACCAAAGTATGTGTGCAAGTGGATCTCTCCGATTTCGCTCAAATTTTGCAGGTATGTTCCCTTTGGGGTGTAGATCGATTGTGCAAAGCCCTTGAAAAAGTTTCTGAAGGGAAAATAGCCAATTTACAACCGCTGCCAAAACAGCCAGCTACGTCCTCAATTGGCAAGAACTATACACCGGCAGATAGAAGAACACCTCTTCTAGCGCCAAGGACATATCCCCCATCTTCCTTTTGGTTTTTTTCCTTAAATACACCTTTTTGACTTTTTCCACTCGATCATGCTGAAATGCAACCAAAGTCATACCTGCGCCCCTCCGCGATGTTTCTGGTTATAAATTGGCTATTTTCAAGACGATCATTTGATCAGTGCAACCACGGTGGAGCAGTGTTGTGGTGCGCACTGTGTGTACTGCGATAGCTGCATTTGTTCGGTCCAGGGCAGGAATAGACACCACAGCTCAGGTTGTCCCCCTGCCATATGTCGGTATTGTGGTAACAGTTGCAGATGACCCGAATCGTGGCGAACTTTTGTTTTTGTGTCCTGGACGCCGTAGGATCATGTTCTCCTATTCTTTCTCCGTCGCCCATCCGGGGACCACGTTACCCTTGTGACAGAACAGGAGAGGTTTATGTGCACATGTGTGTGTGTGCCTGTGTGTACCCGTGAGTGTCGTTGTGTGTTCCCGTATAATGTGTATATGTGTGCGTGTCCGCTATGAGGAGTCTGGTTTATGTATGAAGATACTTCCTATAGTTGTTGAGTCTGTTACCATAGAACTGGGGCAACTAATGGCATGAAGAGCTTAAAAGTAATGGCATCAGAAATCTTTTGAAAATACCTACTTCTGGGCCAAATTGGCCCGATCCACTCTGATCATAGTCAAGTTGGGTATCTTGTGGGTAGGGCAAGTATGGGTTTACACACAACGTGGATCCAATTGCATCCGAAAGGCAGAGTGGTCCTGACTCTGGTTTGCCTGGCACCTTCAAACTGTAATCGAGTGTTTGCCATCTGTGTTGGTTACATGCTGTATATACTTTCAATGAAGTGTATTATACTTTACATGTACTACCACCGATGGACTACTCTAGGCTAGGATATCCTTTTCACTGCGGTAGGGTATTGCCGCCTATCCACTAAGGTTCAGCAAAAAAAAGGTCACTTTTACTGAAAACAATAACACCTCTAAAAGTCCGTTACTCTAGCACCCAATGATTCGTCATATAAGCCGCGCCAAGGTAAAAAGTGGCTTAGCATTTTGCTAACAAATCGAGAAAATCTCCAAAACGTCACAGTCAGCAAAATTCTACTTGAGCGCAGTCGCGAAAATTATTCATTTTCGAGCATCCTTTCAAGTAAATAGTTTGCAAGTGGAGAAGAAGAAAGAGGCCTTTTTTGAGCAACACTTTTTCAGTGTTCCCTCTTTCATCATCGTGGGGATTTCTCGGCGCTGCCAGAGATCGTAATGGAGCGTTCTGGAGAATGTGGAGGCGAGCAGGATGACACTCTGTCTCCGTGTGCGCCCAACCCTAGTTGACGAGGAAAACTCGCTCATTCATAGTGGCTGTGGTTCTCATCGTGGCCACGACTAGAGCGGCAGGTATACCTATGTGGCGACGTCTACAAGCCGTCCGACTATCACTCTGACAAGCTCCCTAGTGAGTTGGATCTTGCTGTGATGTATCACTTTGTTTCGGGTACCTTCAAAATGTTCATGACGTGGCGTACTGCACTCCAGAATTTCCCCATTTCAAGGCCAATAGTGCTACACGGCGAAGCGATGCATTGACTCTAGCTGCTAGCATATCGTCCCATGGTGCTTCTCCACTACCTACACCAGGGAAGGAGAATGACATGGACTAGGACGGACAAAGAATCAGTGCCGCTTTTTAGCGATGTGCAATCTGCTGGACCTACGTGCAAGAGACCAATGGAGCTCGATCTCTGGCACAACACTACGAGCTACAGGAAAGGATTAATAATTATTCATCATGGCGTAGGTGATTGGAGAGAGGATGACGGACTGTCTTGGTAAGATGCGACGTTTCCCAGCCCAGCGAAAATATAGTCACAGACTCACAAAATCATTGAAGGATATGAAAATTCGTGTTGCGTGATGAAATGACATGAGATGCATAGATCAATTATTACTTCTTTCTTGGATCTTCTAATCAGAACCCAAGTGCTCGTTCTTCTTGTATTGCTTCCACACCTGCTAAGCTTTGTCTCCACTTGGTGTCCCATGTTTTCTGGAGGGGGGGGGGCAGGTGTTCATAATTATTATTATCTTAGTTTCATTGATACCAGGCATGCTGGGACATGTGCCCACAGTTTGCTTATTTATGGCACATATACATTTCAGATGGGCACCAAAATTTCCTTGATGGAAGCTGGATAGGTAGACATCACTTTGGCATGAAAAAGAAGTTTCCAAAAATTATGCCTAAGCCACCTTTTTGCTTGGCTCGGCTCATATGTCATTATCTTGACTTCCTGGAAAGGTTTTCGCCGAGGAAAACGTTGAGGTAAAGTGGAAGTCTTCACGGAGTTGTACACCAGCTTCAGAGCCAAGTAAATCTGTTCCAAAGTTGTACCACAGCTGCACTAGGCAAAGAAACTGTGTTTTTGACAGCCTTCCACTGTCTGTGCTCGTATCAAGTTCAGTGGGGCTTGAAATCGATGACGTCAGAAGTCGTCAGCAGTGAAAATCTAGCAACAAAAATTGGATCTACTCCACCTACGGGAAAGAATCTGATTTAGTAGATGGACCTATGGGAAAGTAAAATATAGCTTTTATACAAACAAACAAAACAAGCGCCTTGTGGCGCGTGTAGGCGTAAACTTGTTCCGTACAAGAAGTGACATGGAGGGCCCAGTGCAGTCATTACCGATGGATGTGGCACTATGCTGTGTTGGAAAACCACTTTTAAAAACATGTATGGCCACATGCCAAAAAAACTGTACCCGGCAAGTAAATCCAAAGTCACCTCTATGTTTTGGCTCCTGGCTTTCTATGATGTAGGACTTTCAATTATGAAGCCCTAGTCTTTTCTGAACACTCCTGCGAGTCCACCTTTGCCTTCTTGCACGAGTTACAATTACCTTGTCTATGTTCTTGACAAGAAGTAACGTTATGAACTTCTTGTTGTTTGACTTTTAGGCAACTCTAGCAGCTCCACTGTGGCCTTAGACGAGTTGACAGAGGATGATGGAGTGCTGTCAGAGGACAATGAGGATGATGAGGATGAGGATGATGTTGAAGTTCTGCCACAGAGCTATGACAATGAGCTGGAGTTTTCGAGGCGCACTGACGTAGCTGCTGCTGCTCAGCACCACATCTCGCAGCAGGAATACGACCAGCTAAATAATTGCAGTAAGGACTTCCAGCTTGTGCTGGCAGTCATTATGAGGTCACACAGGAAAGACCAGAATTTCCTCTCCGCAATCCGGACTTGCATTTCCAACGGTAAGTTCATAATAATTATTGCCTGTAGTATAAGAATGAAGAAAGTGTCTGCTCCGAACGGCTAGATTAACTCTTGTGTAATCAATGGTGCTAATGAAGCTTATATCAGATCCACTCTGATTTAGCCACCCACACTAGAAGCAAGTATTACCTTCACGCGGGGCAGGGGTAACTGCAGCTGGATCCTTGGACGGATACCCTGTTTTGGTCCATCCTTTTTCTGCACCTTATCCTCACCCACTTACTGAGGTGTGGTGAGCCCATAAGTGGCATCATTTTCAAGTTTACCCACAGTTTTGGGGGATTTCAGGGGGTGTCGGCCGTTGGGCGGTTCAATAGCCAATTGAGTCATCTTTCCAAGATTCCTTTTGAGTCTCTCTCCCCTCTCCCAGGGAGACCCATGTGACCATTTTCGCAGTGAGCAACAAGTACAAGTACAAGTGAGTAGTATGTGTCGGGCCGGTTCTGGGTGAGGTACATGGTCTAGTCCTAAAAAATGGGGTACTATTGATAGTACCCCATTTTTGGGGCAAAAACCGGGCGCCAGGTTTTTACGTAAAAAGATTTTTTTCGGGTAATAGAAAGGTGGTGAAGGGGGTATGACATCATGATTGTACCCCAGTGGTTGTACCTGATCATTGCCCCGGATGGGAGTGGGTATAAAAAGTAGATACTTGGTCCTACATATTAAAAATTAATGTGCGCTTCGGTTCGAACGTCAAGCAAACAAATTCAAAAAATCTCAGGACGGAAACCTTCCTACTACATAACACTGTCTGTTGTGGCCCTCTGGCCATGGTAGACAAGATTTCCTTTGAACCATTACTTGTTCTTGTTCTTTACAAAGTGGAATAAAACTGAATCTCAAAGAGTTCTGAAAAGCAAAGAGCGACACGTGTACAAGTAGCTTCAAGCAGAAACGCTGGCAGCGCAAAAGGAAACATGCAGCCAAAAAAGATGCCTAGCTCTGGCGTACATCGTAGAGGTCACTGCGCATCCGGTGCACTGCGCCCCGAAGGTACAGGCACGGCGCCCCAAGAAGTGACGTAATCCATAAACTGCATCGCATCATGCAGATAGAGCGATAGCGTACCGAAACTAGTACAAAATACAAACAAAACAAAAATAACTGAGAGGAGCGAAAATAAATAAATCGGAGAGAAGAAGAGAGAAGAGAGCTAGAGCGGAATTTAATTCTAATTATTTAGAGCTGGACAGATATTGTCAAGAAGACATGCAGATACACAATAGAATCGACTCGACTGCATGTAGAGTAGCTGCCTCTAACTGCAGCAGAGTGGAGCACGCAGGTACGCGATCAACTCGGGAACAGTGAAAGGTGAGAGAAACAAAATACAAATAAATTCGAACGAGCAAATACAATAATTGTGAAGTCATGTGCAAAGTGTCTGTAACAGTTGGCGAGCTGATGTTGGCTACTGGGAGCTTACATGGGCATGGAAAGACGAATCCCCCACGCATCCAGTCGGGTCAGGCATTGGTGAATATTCCCGGCATAGCCTGTCAACAGACCAGGAGTCACAGTTCTGCGAGGAAGTGGACATGTGGATCCTCAATGGATGATTGGTACCCCATGACCAAGCAGTCCATGGTGAGCCTGGTGCTGTGTTGCCCTTGTTGGCTGTGGCCCAGACACACAAGGAGTCCACCCCTGTCCACCCGTGTTTGGACTACCGGCAACTCAACAAGTTGATTTTGTCGCATCCAGGTTTGGATGTGCCTGTTTGCCAAGAGAAGTTGCGTCAGTGGAGGTCTATTGGCAACGCCGACAGCCACGTGTTGCTGGACATCAGCAAGGCTTACCTCAACATCCGCGTCGCGCCAGCTCACCAAGTTCCAAATGATCGTCTGGAAGGGCCAGCTGTTCGCAATGGAGAGGATGGGCTTCGGTCTATCGATTGCGCCCAACTTCATGAATATAATCGTCAAGTGGGTCCTCCATGTTTATGCTGATGTGGACAACTATGTCGACGATTTTTTATGTTCCGAAGCCTCGTCTGCGTGCTATCACCGATCAGTTGTCGCAGTACGGGTTGCCTACCAAGCCAGCGGAGCCAGTCGTCTCTGCTAGGGTACTCGGTCTGCAGCTGTCAGAGTCTGCAGATTACCAAGTGAGGTGGAAGCGTCGTGGTGACGTCATGTCGACCTGTCAGCCCGATGCCATCACACAAGTGGTGTGGCAAGCTGACCAGCCACTATCCCGTCGGCTCCTGGCTGCGCCCAGCTTGCAGTTATCTGAAGCGTCTGTCTAGCCTTCAGCCTGGTTGGGACGATCCAGTGTCTCATGAAGTCGTCGCTTGTTGTGCAGAAGTCATTCTCCGGCTGCAGACCGATGACCCTGCGCAAGGTGTGTACTCAGTTCCTGAAGACGCAAAGTGGTCGTTGTGGTGTGATGCTTCGGACATCGCACATGGTGCTGTCATTCAGGCCGATGGTATGATTGTCGAGGATGGCTGCTGGCTGTCAGGGTCCAGTGGATCAGCAGTCAGCAGAACAAGGCGGATCAATTGACCCGTGTTCCCAGCAGCTGGATGCGATGTGGCAAGACGCTCCTTGCTCGGACTGCACCGTCCGTCACCGCTGCGGTGGTGACCGTCGGTCCATTCTTATTGGACAGAGTATCTGCTGTTCAGAATGCAGATCCTCGGATTGCTTCGACTCGCCAGCAAGTCATCGATGGTGACCCAGTTACTGATCCTGCATTTTTCAAGGTCAAGTCACAGCTTGTAGTCCATGATGGTATGCTGTGTCGAAGTGTGAAGTTGCCCCCTAATGATGCAGTCGTCATTCCTGTTATTCCTAGTTCACTCGAGTCCGATGTCGTTCGTGCTGCTCATGTGAACTGTGGTCATGCGTCTTGGGAGGGTACATGGCGCTTCCTCCGCTCGAAGTGCTATTTCCCGAACATGGCTGCCCAATGTCAGCAGTTTGTGCACCACTGTCCGCCGTGTGCTGCTGCCATCCCAACCAAGGGCGTCTCGGCTGAGGCCAGTCGCCCTGTGGCGGCTGACGGCCCATGGAGTGTTGTGGTAATTGATACTCTGGAACTGGGCGTCGATCAGAGTGGAGAGTACGATTGTGTTCTAGTCTGCATGGATACTGTCACCAAGTGGGTGGAGGTGGTTCCGCTCCGTCAGCATGATGCGGCATCAGTGGCCGAGGCATTTATCGGCCTGTGTACGCGGTTGGGCCGTGATGTCATTGCTGTTTGATGTGACAGTGCTAAACGGTGCCGTGCGTCATCCCCATTCGCAGGGATCTGCGATTTAACCGCACTCTCCTCACCTTAACTCGGAAGGTGTTGGATGAGGCTGATGATTGGCGATCTGAACTGGACGTGTTACTGTACTTCTACCGCATTCGTCCTCACTCTGTCCTCAAGATTTCTCCTATGCGTACGATGCTTTGCTGGGAGAACACCGGTGTGCTCTTCTCGGCTACTCCTGGGCTAGGCCTGACTCCATCATTATTCTCATCTTGAGCGCCAGGCTGCCTGGATTCGTGATTTTGTGGAAGCTGAGCTGTCCTCCAAGAACTTTGTTGATTCTGAAGCTGATAACTGTCTGTTCGCCGTTGGTGATCCCGTTCTTCTACGTCGTTGCCATCGTCGCCAGAAATGTGAGGTGCCATATGAGCGTGAGTGGGTGGTAGATCACATTGTGTCCCCCTCTACTGTGGTAATTCGCAATGAGGCTGCTGGTAGTGAGAAAGTGGTGAATGTTGAACTGCTGAAGCCTGATGTTGGTGCTGAGGTGTTTGCTGATGTGTCTCCTGCAGATGCTGTTGCTGATGTGCCTGCTGCAGATGCTGTTGCTGATGTGCCTGCTGCAGATGCTGTTGCTGATGTGCCTGCTGCAGATGCTGTTGCTGATGTGCCTGCTGCATATGCTGTTGCTGATGTGCCTGCTGCAGATGCTGTTGCTGATGTGCCTGCTGCGGGTACTGTCCCTGATGCTGGGTCTCGGTTTGATCCCCGAGATCCTAATGATGTGCCGCTTCTAGCCCCTGCCGATGATCCTTCTCTGTATCAGTTTCGCCCGAATGGCCTTCGTCAGCGTGGTTCGCTTGCACCCCCTCAGCGCTTCCGTTAGTTTTGCTTTGTTGCGCTATTTAGTATTTTGTTTGGCATACGACCAGGGGGAGAGGTGAAGTAGAGTAACCCTCTTGCGCATGTTGTACGTAATGTGATGATTAATATGTACTTTGGATACTGATTGCGCTGGTGCACGCGCTGGTGCAATCGCTGGTGCAGCGCTGGTGCACGCGCTGGTGCAGCCAGTTGTTTTGCGTTGTACATGATGCAGCTTTTGAGGAGAAGGGTTTTTCAACATCTTGTAGTTCTGTTCTTCTTGTTTCTGGCCTGGTCGAGGTCATGTTCTTTTCTTCTGTAAACTTCTTGTGCATTTTGGAATTAAATTACTTCCTCCGCTAAGCAAAACTTCATTGCGTTTTTAGTGTTCTTGTCATGATATTTCTGTCGGCATTAGACAAACATGTCAGTGATCTATCCCCTACATAGTGTTGTTGAGTTGTCGTCCATTGTTCTGACAGGCTTTTGAACCTCCGAAAAGCGTGGAGTCCTTTGAAAAAATCGGCGAAGCAGAACTGTTTCTCGACAGGATGTCACCAGAACACAACCCCAGGCGCGCAAGCATGACACCAAAGTGCGAAAATTATAACCAGCTTGAAAGACCGCATGGCTTGAAGAAGTGTCCAGGAGCCGGCCAGCGCTCAGGCACTGCTGTACTAGCACGAGTCGTTGGTGCACATCCGCACACAGTTAAAATCCATGCACTTGTGTTTGCAGTGCAGGGGAAATCAAAAGCGTTCGATATTCAGGTTGTCGTTCTGTCGGCGTAAAATCCTGATCTCAGCGTCGACGACTTGGCGTTCTTCCACAGCCTGTAGACAGACGTGCCACTCATGGCGAAGGAAACCAGAAAGGAGCTTCTGCAGGGTGTGGAAACGTGCTGGCACGACTACACCGCTGCGAAGATGGAGAGCATTTGTTTGGGTCTGTATGGCTCCTTCCATTGCATTCCGGAGAATCGCCACAACTACCAATGCCACTGTGGAGGTCGTCAAGGTCACAGTTCGAGCGAAGACCTTGGCGATCTCCACGATCAAAATAATCGTGTCTTGGAAACTTGTAAGGACGGCGGAACAAAAGCTGGCAGCGGTGGCAGCGACAGTCAGCGAGGATGCAGACTCGATGTCTTCAGGGAGTGAGTCGTCATCAGATTAAGACAAAGAGTGAAGCTGGACTGCTTTGAAACGAGCTGTGTGACATCTGTGAATAACTATCTTTCATATCCTGCCTTGTTTTCCACTTTGCAAAGCGTGTTCTTAGCCATAGAATGATTTGGGCTGAACTGTAAAAATGCAACCAAGTTTTGCTAAACGGAGGAAGTAATATAGTCTAGCTTATATCCTTGAGCTGGTCTGGTGGTGGATAATTCCACAATAGGCAGGTGCTGATCATGATGCGTATACAAATACCTTATTTTGGAATAAGTGCACACAACAGCTGAACTAGCTGACATACACCCCCCCCCCCCCCCCCCACACACACACACACGCCCGCCCGCACGCACACACACACACCTTGTCTCCTAACAACAAAAACCCAAAATGTGGGCCAAACGTACCGATACTATGGTATCGGTACGTTTATGGTAGACCGGTAAAGAGTTTAAAAGGGGAAGTCCGGTGAATACTGTAAAGTCTTGTATAAAAGCCGCGGCTTCTATGACTTTCTTGGTGAAAATGTTCAGGCTTCTATATGAGGCAGGCTTCTATACAAGACAGGTATTTCTATGTATGTCAACACTAAAAACAGGCGTATGTGTGATTTGATGGGCCCAAAATTGCGGCTTCTATTCGAGGGCGGCTTCTATTCAAGTGCGCCCTTTAATACAAAACTTTACGGTATTTAAATTTCAGTGTCCATAGAGTTTGGGATGTAAGTCCCCCATGTCCCCGACAAAGCATTCTTGAGATATTTCCGTTTGAAAAATTGAGTTTCGGGTGCGGCACCATGACATCATGCGGCCCCGACAGTCGATACACTCCCTCTGCAACGTCATAGAGTGGGGCTAAGTCAAAAGAAGTGCGTGAAAGCAATAGTGGCAATGCTATTTCAAATGATTTGGCGACCGATAGTAGGTGGTGCAAGCGACCCTGACGACGTACCTCCATGTGAGAGTGAGGATGCAGCCATGGCCGACCTTCATGAGTTCTGCCTGGGGCTGAGAATTTCCGTATTCTGCAGAATAAATGGCTGCGCGGGCCTGTCAACAGTGAGAACTGCCGCGTTTGCGATTGTTGAAGCTTCAGCTATTGCAGATGGGGCTGATATAATTATCAGATCTCTGGAGAGCAGAGTCGTCAAAATGTAGAAGAGTAATGCGAGGGCTCTGATTGGTGTTCAATGCTGACTTGCTTGGACTCCAGCGGCCTGCCGCATAGGGATTTTTGGTGCAAACTAGCACTTGGCGTATATCGGACGGTGCTCGATTGACGAACAGTGCAGGCTTTTTGAACCACTGGCATGACTTTTCGATTCAAGGCTCACAACATTACAGGATCTGAAAACTTTAGGTCCGGGAACTGTTCGCTGTTTTATCACTTGTCACGGTTGTGGACTCATCGTCGTAGCATAAATGAGGCTGGACTATTCCATGCGGAACACATCAAGATTTGTCGAGCTGAAAATTACAGGGAACGTAGTGTTTGTAGCGCCGAGTCGAATGGTCTTGGTCCGAAGAAGCTGCGAGAAACGGGTCCCCAATCGAACGCGTTGCGAAACCTTTTGTACACATCTAGGTTGTGCGGCTTTGTTGGCGAGTACCTCAATGGCAGTCTCCACCATGACCCTGTTGAACCTGACAGTATGGTACAAGGCATTCACAATTGCTTGAAATGTGGCCTTCTGCTGCACTGCTCCTGCAGCTGACGTCGGCATCTTCGTCAGAGTTTGAAGCAGACTCACTCCCAATAGCACTTGACAAAAGGCTGAAGAAGACTCGTTCAATTCAGGATATTTATTTTTCAAGCGATCCAAGTCTCCAGGTAGCAGGTGATGTTGGCTACCTAGCAACTTGAAATACGCGGTTACGTCTTTCCTTTCCCACCATGACGATCATTGTATGGGTTAGGGAAGACATTGGTATCGGGGCAGACATTGGTATCAAGGAAATGATGAAAACAGTAGTGCAAGGGCAGGGGTCCCTGCTTCGAGTCCTGGCGATGCCAGTGAGCTCTCTGAAGCTTGGGATTATGGTATTGTCATGATTGTTGCGGTTTTCCTTCTTTGTTCTTTGTTTTCATTTTGTCACATGACCAGAATTGCTCTCCAGTGTTGATATTGAGCAACCGGAATCTGTTAAGGTCACAGGAGTCGGAGCAGACCCACCTGTAACCGTGCCAACTAAGGAAGAAACGACAGCAGCAGCTGCGTCAGCAGGATTTGCAGTGTATCCATCCAGCCCAACTGCAACAAATCCATTGCCACTTGGACAGCAATTAGCACCACTGTCTCCACCAATGAAAAGCGGAACTGCAGCAGCAAGAGGAGGGCCTGGAGGAGGAGAAGCAGTAGTAGCAGCAGCAACACAAGCAGTAGCAGCAACACCAGCAGTAGCAGCACCAGCAGTAGGAGCGCCAGCATTAGCAGCACCAGCAGTAGCAGCACCGGCAGTAGCAGCACCAGCAGTAGCAGCAACACTAGCGGTAGCAGCACCAGCAGTAGCGGCACCAGCAGTAGCAGCAACACTAGCAGTAGCAGCACAAGCAGAAGCAGCACCAGCAGCACCAGCAACACCAGCAGCAGCAGCACCAGCAGTAGCAGCAGCAGCAGTAGCAGCAGCACCAGCAGTAGCAGCACCAGCAGTAGCAGCACAAGCAGTAGCAGCACCAGCAGTAGCAGCACCAGCAGTAGCAGCACCAGCAGTAGCAGCACGAGCAGTAGTAGCAACAGCAGTAGCAGCAGCAGCAACAGCAACAGTAGCACCAATAGCAGCAACAGCATCATGGGCATCTCGAGCAACAGCAAAGCTGGAACCAGGAACAACCGAAACCAAATCAACTATGCCAGTACTTCGTACTTATTCAGGTGAGTTTTGCCTAGTTGACATTCGAAGGGGTGCCTCGTGATGAGTTAGGTTGGCTATAGCAATAGCTGCTGCATGTCATACTGTGCGGATAGTAAGACCGTCTACAGGTCACCCCAGCCACCAGCCATTCATCATGGCAGCATTCTTAATCAATGAATTTTGATGTATGAGTGTTTGCACGCTCATGCAGATGCAAGCATCCTGAAATCACATTTTACTTTAGTGGATGCGGTTTTTCCTCTTCTTGCCCCGCCCTTCTTTCCGTTCGCTTTTATATTCAACGTCCTCCTCATATCCACTGGCGTGGAGCGCCTCATTGTAGAGAGGGGCGGCCCGATTAAACCATCAGCGCAACATCAAGTGGTTCAACAAAATTGTGCCTCAAATGTAGCGGGAAAATTCCTATGTCTCATTGATAAACACTTCCCGAAAGGCTCACCACTGAACAAAGTAATTAACAGCACGGCTGTCAAGAAGCGGCAACTTAGAAAGATGGCGTCGGTTCGAGATGGCATGGTAACCGCGCACGTGCCGTGGTCCGTGAATTGCTCAGGTATACACGCAAATGCAAGTCACAAACTCACAAAGATCGTCTTTGCATTTGGAGAACATATCTTCGACTCTTGTTCGAGGTTGGCGAGGTTTGCCTAATCTCTACTTGATTGCGATGCCGGTATGTCCTCTCAATAATTAGAACAAAGAGAGATGATGATCGCTTCATTCCTGAGCAGCAGTAACAATCAACTCTCCTCAGGTCCTCAGTCCCAAAGGCAGACGACTGCAATTCCACAACGCTCATTTCACGATGATGGTAACAATAATCGTGAACACACTTGGACAATTCGGTCATCCCTATTCTAGCCGCTAGTCTGCCCAGCAAGCAGATGTTGACTATTACGATAAGGACAACTGCGTGAACGAGGGCTCGCCCAGCAAATACAATTCAAGTCGTGACTCCAGTCAAGAATTAGGGTCTTACTCGAGAACTTCACAAATACAGGCCCAGGCACCCCACAAAACTGATGGATACATCGATGGCACGAATGAAAGACAAATAGGCTAGAGGCAGTGTCCCAAGTGACTGAAAACAGCAGATCTACCAAAGAAGACTGATACAGGTGCCTAAACAACGATTCCAATACAGTAGAGAGTAGTATCAGGCAGAATGAAAGCCTTGGAAGTCCACAAATACAGTCACGACCGCCACAACAATTGGACGACCGCAACAAAAAAATTCTCATTGCTCTACCTCCTTGAAGGGTGAAAGTTACCAGTTATCCTATAACGATGTCAGTTTATGCCTGTTGGAACCCCCCACAGCCCGCACGAAATACCTTTCAAACAATTCCAGGATGCAATTGCAGCTCCAGACAGAAGGAAGAAGAACACCGTGGAAAATAACGGCAACAATGCCCAAACTCTCAGGAAACGGCTGAAGTCTTCCTGAAGATGTTAACATTGAATAGCCATCGATTACCAGCGTGGTTTGGTGACTTTAGAACTGTTTTGAGACTTAGAACGAAGCGATATCTAAAATTTGATGGTATTGTTACCTGTGAAATGCGTGTTTGAGCAGGCCAGCTGACAGGTTATGCATGAGCATGCATTGATTTTGAATGGTTCACGTGCAGAAAACTAAGTTATCGCGATCCAAGTGCAGCTAACAGCCGTGACAGGAACACAGTAAAGGTAAATTATAGCTGAATGCAAAACGTCCGAAGCATTATCCATGCCAACAACAAACACATTCTCACAGCAACTATAAATCAGTGACAACACCCTGCCAAGACTGTAACTGTCGTAGCGCCACACAGTGCCCCCTTGATGGTGGTTGCCTGTAGAGATCAACAGTGTACAAAGCAACAGTAAATGGCGACAGTTTGCTTACTTCCTCCGCGTCATTAAAATTGTCGCTTCCCAGAGCAATTTTTCGAATTTATTTTGTCCACTCTAAGGGCAAAGAAATCAGCTAGAAATTGAGGAAGAGCATTGTCGACGGACCAAGCTTTAGTTTGTGGCCTCCCGCTTCGGTGCACTTGCAGCTAAGGTCGACGTCTTCATCAGAGTTTGAGGCAGACCCTTCAGCACTCAACAACACGCTGAAGAAGACGCACGTTCAAATTCAGGTCAAGAAACTTCGTTTTCAAGCGATCCATGCCTCCAGGTGGCAGGCGATGAAGGCAAGCTAGCATTTTTCAAGTACAGTGTAACGACCTTCGAGCGGGATAGGGTAAGCAGTTTCGCAACTTCTTTCCTTGGCAAGCGCTTCGCTGATTTGGTTGGTGTTTTCAGACCTGCTACCTTCGCAGCAACACGCGCCACAAGTAGCGCATTTTAGGAATTTGAGACCGCTTTGTTCTTGCCATCGCCAACTTCACCATTTTGTATTCAGGAGAGATACCAGGATTTCTATACCCGAGCTTGCAGTCTTGATAAATGCCCACGCGAACGATGTGAGACGGCACGAACTCCAGAAAACGAAATGCGCTCTGAGGCGGAATAGTGCAGAGCGCGGTGAATTTGCTTGGTGCGGAAGAGAGCTCCGACAAAGTCCGAGACCATCACAGCTTCAGTGACAAGTAGACATTGCGCAGGAAGGGTCGCACCAGTGTTCGAACACAGAAAACAGCGATTCCGACAGTCTAACTAAGACGAGCCAAGTCTCAAATATTGCAATGTGCGAAGCGACAATTTTAATGACGCGGAGGAAGTACTTGAATTATTTCTTGAGCATACAGATAGTAGAGCACCTCTCCTAGTACTGAGGACATGTCTGCCATCATCCTGTTTTGGGTTTTCTTGAAATAAACAATTTTGAATTTTTCCACTTGACCATGCTGAAATATGTCCAAACTCATACCTGCGCAGGAAAGCTCGCCCTCCGCAACGTCGAGTCAGCAATTTCTACTCCAACACCACTCCCAACGCTGCAGAACAAAGTCAATTGTTGACTCTGACAAGGAAAAGCAGCGGTGATCACTTGTCACTCCAAACAACAAGCTTCTCCTTGCACCACCAACATTTTTCGGTGCAACATTTGATGCAAAAGTGACCGGATTTTTGCGTGTAGTTTTTGAATTGCATTGAGTCAACTCATCATGCATGAGCCACAGCTTTATGCCTCACAATGAGTTATGTTGGTTTTAGCAATAGCTGCTGCATGTCAGCTAGATGTATGCAGCTAGCTTGCCGTCTCTCTGAAGTCATTTGGTGAAAAAGAGCGGCTTTCGTTCGGAGGTTATCTTTTGTTTATCAGGTCTGGCCTTCTAGCTAGCAACAGTCATGTCGAGTGGAGATTGTTTCCACTGTGGAGAGTCAGGACATTTTGCCCGTGACTGCCCATCAGGAGGCGGCAGCTCGCGGTGTTGAGGTGGTGGATGCGGCGTGGCCGAGGAGGTCGTGATCGGGGGGGGGGGGGGGGGGGGTGAGTTAGTGAAGCACTGTCAGCCTCTATGGAACCAAGACTCCATGTTTTGTTAGCCAAAAGCTGTGATTGAGATTTCGAGAACAGCGTTCTTGGTGTCCGCCAAGCTTGCAACAGTGTTTCTGTTGATGAAATGTGCATGCGGTGGTCTTCAATAGTTCATTCTATTTTATTCTTTACAATTGCACTGTTCCTCTTCTTGCTGTTACTATTGCTAGGACCAATCTGCTATAACTGTGGACAAGTTGGTCACTTTGCCCGCGATTGTGAGAAGGAGCGTGCAGAGGAGAAGACTTGTTATACCTGTGGAAAGATGGGGCACGTTGCGAGAGACTGCACACAAGCACCAGAGAGTGAGTCTCGTAGTGGCTTCGGTGGTGGTGGCAGCAGCGGAGGTAGGCCACAGTTCAGTTTGAAGTTGCTGTTGAAAACCAGACTCACTGCGAAATGGCAAAAAAATGAATGCAGCTGCGAATCTATTCTTTCGAAAATTTCAACAAAACCGAAAATAATTTCTTGCGGATAACCACCATGCATGACTAGTGCACATAAGGAAAAATGCAGCTGCGCAAATGGGCAGTGGGGTTATTGAGTAGTGTAGTACTGTTGGAAGTCAAGGACACACATAGGCAGGTTTCTGTTGGAAGAAAACTTCACCCCACAGTCTCAGACTCTCTGGTCTGGAGCCTCATGTTGCTTTTGGCTACTACAGTGGTGGACATTGAAATCCGTTGAGCAGTCAAGCGGCCACGGAGTGCTGGCCTTGCAGCACGGAGCAATGCTGGTCCATTCTAGTGTATACGTGAACTACAGTGCGTTTACGCGCTAAGAGCAAGAAGGGTGCCGGCCCGGGTTATCCCATCCCAGGGTGCCGGCCCGGGTTCCCGGGTTATCCCATCGGATTTATATGTTCACGACAGTAGTACATCAAGCGAAATGCAGTTTTGCAGATTCAACTCAGCATGAGCCACTCTGTACAGGGCAAAGATCCCCAGCCTTGAGCCGAATTTCCCAGTCCAGCACTAGTGTGCGTTTGAAAAGTATAGACCTCTGGTTTCAAAAATCCGTTAGCCAGCATCTACACATGTGATCACCTTGTGCATAACACTGTGCATTTGAAACAATTTAGATTTCATTTGAGCTTTTTGAGAATTTTCTTCTGGATATTACTCTGGAAGCTCCTCAAATTCTACTCATAGATTTCTCCAGCATTCGAAACAAACCGTCAATTTCGGACATGTTTATGCACAAAGTGATCACAGATTCTGCGTTGTATAGATGCTGGCTCAATGGTTGTTTGAAACAGGAGGTCTATACTTTGATGCACGCTGTAGGTTATGATGCTCATCCCTGTCTTGTGCACAATACAGTACTGTTTATCCCTGTCCATGCCCATTACACACTCAACGTGAACTTTCTACTGCCCGTGTCGAATATAAAAGCAGATTGATATGCTTGAGTGGGAAGTAGTGTGTAATCCTACCTTGCAGGGAAATGGACATGCAGCCCTGTCACCCTGGTACCACTTACGTGCACCTTCTTGGCAGCTCCATGCGCACACCCGATAGCTTGCTCAATGGTGGTGTCCAGAAGGTCTTCCAAGCTCTTATCAGATAGGGGAATATTGCGCCCCCTTGACCCATAATATTTGAAATATCCTCGGCGCTTTCCAATCGGGTCTGCGTGCAAGATTATGGCGTGTGTCAAACTTGAGTGTATTTCCTTAGTGTAGCAGGTTTCCCTGCATCTTCAAGAACACAGATATATGAGGCATCGGCAGCAAGAACCGGGGTCCTGGCGATTTTTCAAAATGCCAATATTTGCGAAAAACCGAACCGATGTCGTTTTTTAGTCAACGCGATCAAGACAAAAAGACTTCTTGCGCTATCGCTTTGAAAGTGCCTTCCTGTTGGTGGCTTCACTATAATTTGTCTTCGTCGCAGTTGTAGTTTATCCGCCAAGCACTTGGGGCGTCCAGGTAGGCGTTTTCAGCCATGACTTTGGAGGCGTTTGCCCTCTGGGTAACGTCTGCAAATAATGCGCTCAAAAGAGAGCGAAACAAATAATTTCTTGGCGGAACGATCCCATCACAAATTCTTGATGGAGCACGAGCGACTAGAATATTTGGCAGCTGGATCTCCAGAGATACTCTGCTGCCTGTGATAGTCCCCTGCAAGAAGAATCAGGTGAAAGGGAAGAGGTTTCGCTCAGATGACAAGCTATCAGCGGAGGCAGCGCAGACGATGAGTTTGAGAACTCGGTGACACGAGGTGGCGACGCGGACAGCAGTGCTGCGAGTGCCGAACGAAATTCAGTACTTCGTGGCGACTATTCGCAGCTGGATAAGTTGATGAGATACGGAGTGTGAGAGCTGGACCGTGACGATCACACCTTCCATTTGGTGCTACCTTCACACAGCCTTGTTAGGTGTTGACACTTCCATAGGTAGCACTTGCGCTGCCGCCACACTTACCATACTACACACTCACCATACCATACCACACGAGACGTCTCAGGAGACAGCCCCGAATGAACTAAGCCTTACTTGATACAAGATATTTTGTGAATAAAATTGCTGCAAGTATACATACACGCTTGCAGCGCGCATGAAATCTGTCACAGTAACCATGTATAATGCATGTGTCTACGAGCTGCTGTGACTAGGAGAGCAAGACATGCTTGGTGGATGTATCTGGCTTGGCCCAACATGCATTATCTAGTCTTGTAGGTTCTTCCCAGCCATGTAAAACGTCAGTTGCTTGGCTTCTTTCTGTCTGACAAGTCTGTGTACAACACCAGACCTGCACATGACAGGGAGTGAGTTTTCAAGTTCATAGCCGCAATTGCAGGCAACAATGTTACTATAATATCAACTAGAGTAATCTGTGGTTCCCTGAAGATCTATAAATATGCTAAATTATTCTCAACCACTCCATCAGAGCCAACTTTAACTCCGTTCCTTTTTGCCATTTTGCAGACCATTTTTGTCGACATTCACCCATCATTTCGGGCTTTCTTTTTACCATCTTGGAAGGCACCCAGAGCTCCAAAATTTGGCCCATAGATCACTCATTTAGTGAACAGCTCAAAGCCATCAAAAACTCATTTTCGCCAAATATCACCTAACCCTGGTTTTGTGCTGCCCATGCCTCATAATATGTGTTTGCACTGTCCTTTGCTAATCCAAACAAGCGGGTTTGACTTATTTGCTACATATCCGTATCAAGCTTGCTACTCAACTCATCTAACCATAGCATTCCTCTATGTGTTTGTACTGTCTCTTCTACTCTTCTTGTATTGCAGACTGCTACGAATGTGGCGAGGAGGGACATTTTGCCCGCGACTGCCCCAAGCGTGGCCAGCGCACCTCTACTTGCTACAATTGCGGCGAGGAGGGTCACTTTGCCCGCGAGTGCACCAACGAGGCGGCATCCTGTGGTGACTCCAGTGGTTTCGGTGGCGGCTCTGGCTTCGCCGGCGGCTCTGGCGGTGGTGGTGGCTCCTGCTTTGGTGACTCCGGTAGCAATAGCACCTGCTACAACTGTGGTCAGACGGGCCACTTTGGCCGTGAGTGCCCCAATGGACGCTCCAGCGGCGGTGGTGGAGGTTTTGGTGGGGGCGACAGCGGTGGTCGCATTTGCTACAACTGTGTCGAGACTGGTCATGTTGCTCGTGACTTCCCCAACGCTAGCGACTCAGGTATAATTAGGTGGTCATGTGTGTACAAAACTTGTATTGGTAATAACTTTGGCATACATTAAGTTAAGTTAATTTCAGTGCCAGGCCAGATGTACGCTGTTGTCCGGGCCATTTTCATAAAAGATCTGATTGTTTTCGAATTAGTCGTATCAACTCAAACCCACTTGTTGTCCCTCGCTGGCGTAGCTTGTGCTGGTGCGCCCTGCTTAAACTCGACATCGACATCTCCGATATCCTCAGGGCCGTCCAAGGCGACCACGGCAGTAGGTACGACATCGACCATGGCGGGCTCGTCCGCGAAATTTGTTCCGTCACAATCGCGGACGGCTATGTCCGCATCCGAGTCATCGCCTTCACTATCGCAGCTCGAGTCAGCAGTGTCCGAGTCCATGATGGACTGGAGCACATCTTCAACCGACGTGCGGCGACTCGCCGTGTCTCAGTGAAAGCTAGAGAGACCTAAAGTGCGTTCCCTCAATCTAATTGTTTCTGAATCGAGCGCCCGACCGCTCTGAATGTATGCTCCCGCGCTCTTACGTACTCAAACACGGCGAGTGAGGTCTTTTCAGTAGGGGAAAACCCCTAGTTCCCCCTCGAAGAGACACAATCGGCCAAGCTAGATTGTAGTGCATGGCCGGTGAGATATAGCAGTGCGCACTACGAGGACGCCATATCTCGTCCTTGGCCAATCGCGTAAGGGTCTGTAGGACGAGTTATCTCGTCCTTGGCACTGAAAGGGTTCATATTTTTCAACCAAATTTTCTGTGTCGATACATTGGGTTAGGGGCCTTCCACAAATATCGATATTTTTTTAGAGAAGATATTCGTTCAGTTGGGCCCTGTTCGTCTCGTCTTTGAGAAAAAATAAATAAATAAAAATATCTGCTTGGATGACGACTACACCATAGCTCAGTGGTTAGAGCATCGCTGGCTACAAGCGAGGGTCCCTGGTTCGAGTCCTGGTGGTGACAGTCGATTTTTTCTTCAGACTTTTCCCGTTTGTCTCTTTCCCTCAAAACCAGTTAAAATAAAAATATATCGAATAATATGGACGGGCACTGTTCGAACATGTAGTTTATGACCTACACAAAGTGAAAGTCAACCTCGTGAACATAGCCATGGCAACGTTGTGTGACCGTGGCAACGTAAACCTACATGTAGGTGTATGGTGAAATTAGAGTTGCAGCTGGTCATGTATGAAGGTCAAATGCGCAAAAAAGCATCTTGTGTATGTTCATATTGGTACATGTCCTGGTCGACGTAGTCTGCGCATACTAACTCGGGGCTGAGTTGCTGTGAATATGAAAGTTTTAGAGATTCGATTGGAACACTGGTGTGGAATGATACAACAAAAGCCTTTCTCGAATAGAAGCCCCCTCAAATTTAGCATTGAAAAAATAGAAACCCGGGCTACTAATCCAGTGAGTAGGATATAATAACGATTTTCTTCCATTTTTGTCTTTTGGTGCGTTACTGGCACGGCCATACTGAGACCTATTGGTCATTGGAGTGCCTGTAGCCTCACCAGCACTGCTACTATCTGTGACTGTGGCGGCCACCATTCAATGTCTCGTCCTCCTCTAAACATACCGCAACTCTCTCTCTCAGCTCTCTTTTTATCTGTCTTTTCTTACTCTTTTTTCTTTGTCAGCTTTCCTGGTGGTTATGTGCTATTCAAGTAAATAAAAAAAATAAAAAAGAGAAAAGGACCTCTAAGTTAGCTCGTGCACATCTTCGTGGCGCATCCCGTCCCCTCATTGGTACTTTCCGCACCTGAGCCTTCCAAGTTGGAAGGTTGTTGATTTGCACTTCGTAGATGTGTTGGAGCTAGGTGTTAGGTCGTCGAATGTCTCAATATCCTTGTCAGTTCTGATTGTATAATTATTATCTCGTTAACTTGGTGGACTGTTAGTCATAACTAGTAACTTATGTAAGAAGAAAGTACGCAGCAGCACTCGGCACTTGAAAATCCTGTGTCCACTTCACCACCACCACATTTGCGCTCTGCGGCCGACCACGAACATTCACCACAACAGCAACAAGATGTTCGGAGTACTGAACACATATAAAATTCATTCTGACAGCTGTTTCGGTCATCAGAGACCTCATCAGAGAAGGTAGAATGTTGAATGACTCGAAAAAGAATGAAATCACCTATTTTATACTGACTCTTGCAACAAGATGGCGCGTCAATAAGCGCGCGCTTGATACTCGAAGTGTGAAAATAAGGTGTTAAACTCAAGGACTAGTTGTTAGTGTTAAAATCAAAGGAACGTCAGGATAGAGGTGATAGTTATGCCAGATACTGCAGCACAGCACAGATACAGTAGTCATGCGTGTGACCCAACTGGCATCCGCTCCATTCACTCCCTCACCATACTGCACCGTCGGCTCACTCATTGCCCATCCACTTTTCAAGTGCCGAGTGCTGCTGCTTATTTTCTTCATAGTACTTGGTACTATAATTTTTCTTCTGACGTAATTCAAGTTGTGCGCCGTTCAAGCAGCAGTGGACTGGAGAGGAGAAGAAGAGTGAAGAAAACAACGTAGTGCAGCGTTATTGAGCCAAGGTCCCATGGACGTCCCGCGTGACAGCTGTGTGGGCGTGTTTTCAACACATCAGCCAACACGTCTACAATAATGACTGTGCGTACTAGGAGTATGTACGTGAACTCAACGGGACGCGCACGGAGTGAGCCGACGGTGCAGTATGGTGATGGAGCGCGGAGTAGATGCCAGATGGGTCACTCGCATGACATCTGTATCTGTGCTGCGCTGCAGTATCCGGCATAACTATCACCTCTATCCTGACGTTCCTTTGATTTTAACAATGCTGTTGCGCATGTTGCACGTAATGTTATGACCAATACGTACTTTGGATATTGGTTGCGCTGGTGCACGCGCTGGTGCAGCCAGATGTTTTGCGTTGTACATGATGCAGCATTTTTGGAGGAGAAGGGTTTTTCAACATCTTGTAGTTCTGTTCTTCTTGCTTCTGGCCTGGTCGAGGTCGTGTTCTTTTCTTCTGTAAACTTCTTGTGCATTTTGGAATTAAATTAACAATACAGTCTTACTTATATCCTTGCGCTGGTCTGGTGGTGGATGATTCCACAACAACGTGGTGCCGAAACCCGGTTTCCAGTGGACCGTTGGCGCTTTGCTTAGGTTCTCGGAGAGTTTTATTTATGTTGTTATTTCATTGCCTGTTTAATGGCGTCGTCTGCCGGACAGTCCTTGTTGCGGCCGTATCGTGCAGGAGATGACGACCTGGAGGCATTCTTGCTGAAATTCCGCGTAGTGTCACGGATACAGAAATGGACGTCGGAGGCCAAAAGCATGGACCATTTCCCTTTATTCCCTTAGCTATGCAGGAGACGTTACTTCAGTAACGTCTGGCGATAGCCAGGGCCCACACAGCTTTAATTTGGTGTTTATCTATTTGTGTGTTTGTGGCGGACGGACCTCCGTCTGGCGCTATCCCGTATCTGTCCCGTACTGTAACGTACCATCAAAGACAGCTGGCCACAAACAGCTGGCCACAAACAGCTGGCCACAATATTCAAATAGGGCTTTCAAATGTAAGATCATAACGTGAAGCAACTTGGAAGAATGAGTATGAATGCGAAGTGTATCGTGTAATGCATGTAGGGCGATTGTGCGGATTCGATTCCCGGGTTATGCCTAAAAATAGGAGAATTGAAAAATTTATAACATCCCTATGCTTTTTTGCCTAGGTCATCAAGGTGGTAGACGGTGTCGTATTACCCTCGACCGTACCTGTCCCGTACCGTACCGTACCTGTCCCGTACCGTACCGTACCATCAAAGACGGCTGGCCACAAACAGCTGGCCACAATATTCAAATAGGGCTTTCAAATGCAAGATAATAACGTGAAGCAACTTGGAAGAATTAGTATGTATGCAAAGTGTTTCGGAGGATGCATGCAGGGCGATAGTGTGGGTTCGAATCCCAGGTTATGTCTTAAAAAATTAGGAGAAATGAAAAAATTACAATGCTTTTTTGCCTAGATCATCAAGGCTAAAAAGCATAGCGTAGGGCCCTGAGCTTCCAAGCTCTCTCGTTTCTAGACAAGGAAGTGTTCACTGTTTGGAGTGCGCTGCCGGAGGTCGAGCAGACCAGTGAGAAAGTTGTCCATGCTGCGCTTCAAGGCCGCTTTCTGCATCACGCCAGCAGAGGCGTATAAGAAGTATTTGACCAGAGCTCTTCGTCGGGGAGAGAGCGTTGATGTCTACTTGGACGACTTTTCTCTGCCAGAGTGGGCATATGGAAGTGCGTGACACTTCGTCAGGGAAGTCGTGTGATCCAGTGCTCCTGGAGCAGTTTCTGTTCGGCATTCCGCAGGCACTGGCATGTCAGGTGCGCCTCCAGCATGCCTTGCAATCTATGACTGTGGATCGGTGTGCGGATCAAGTTCGCGTGTTGATTACTGCGACCCAGGTGTCGGCTGCACCGGTACAGGGTACACATTCTGCGGCATTTGCAGCGACGTCGTCAAGTAGCAGCGGACCTAGCAAGCGGTCTGCGCTGTGTTGCCATTGCAATAAAGTCGGCCATGTTCAGCGGAATTGTCCGCAGCTAGCTAAGTCACCAGCATCCGGTGCACCTGTTTGCTATGGTTGCAAGGAGCGAGGCCACGTCCGCAGTGCGTGCTACCAGCGGAAGAGGTGTGCTAGAGCAGCGGCGAGTGAGCAGGTCGACCATGTCTGCGTCGCGTCAGAGATTGTTGGGCCCGCAGCAGTGTTGCCGCGGATCTTCTTGCCAGTTAAGCGTTGTGATGCTGTGGCATTTCGGTGTTGTGTTGCTGCCATCGACTCATGCTCAACACACACGTTGGTGTCTCGTCAGTTGGCAGAGGACTTGGCACTGGAGGTGACGACGTCAACGCCTGATATCATCACCGTTGACGGCAAAACGTTTATGGAAGACCGGTAAAGGGTTTGAAAGGGGAAGTCCGGAGAATACCGGTATTTCAATTTCAGTGTCCATAGAGTTTGGGGTGTTAGTCCCACATGTCTCCGACAAATGATTCTTGGGATATTTCCGTTTGAAAAATTGAGTTTCGGGTGCGGCATCATTACATCATGCGGCCCCGACAGTCGACACCCCCCCCCCCCCCCCCCTCTGCAACGTCATAGAGTGGAGCTAAGTCAAACGGAGTGCGTGAAAGCAATAGTGGCAATGCTATTTCAAATGATTTAGCGACCGATAGTAGGTGGTGCAAGCGACCCTGACGACGTAACTCCATGTGAACGTGAGGATGCAGCCATGGCCGACCTTCATGAGTTCTGTCTGGGGCTGAGAATTTCGGTATTCTGCAGAATAAATGGCCGCGCGGGCCGGTCAAGAATGAGCACTGCCGCGTTTGCGACTGATGAAGCAGCAGCTATTGCAGGTGGGGCTGATATAATCATCAGATTTCTTGAGAGCAGAGTCGTCAAAAAGTAGAAGAGTAATGCCAGGGCTTTGATTGGTGTTCAATGGTCACTCGCTTGGACAGCGGCCTGCCACATAGGGATTTTTGGTGCAAACTAGCACTTGGCGTATTTCGGACGGTGCTCGATTTACGAACATTGCAGGCTTTTTGAACCACTGGCATGACTTTTCGATTCAAGGCTCACAACATTACAGGATCTGAAAGCTTTAGGTCCGGGAACTGTTCGCTGTGTTATAACTTGTCATGGTTGTGGTCTCATCGTTGTAGCATAAATGAGGCTGGACTATTCCCTGCGGAACACATCAAGATTTGTCGAGCTGAAAATAAAAGGAAACATAGTGTTTGTAACGCCGAGTCGAATGGTCTTGGTCCGAAGAAGCTGCGACAAACGGGTCCCCAATCCAACGCGTTGCGAACTTTATGTACACATAATTAAAGTTGGTGCGGCTTTCTTGGCGAGTACCTCAATGTCAGTCTCCACCATGACCCTGTTCAACCCTATAGTATGGTACAAGGCATTCACAATTGCTTGAAATGTGGCCTCTTCCTGCACTGCTCCTGCAGCTGAGGTCGGCATCTTCGTCAGAGTTTGAAGCAGACGCAGTCCCAATAACACTTGACAAAAGGCTGAAGAAAACTCGTTCAATTCAGGATATTTCTTTTTCAAGCGATCCAAGTCTCCAGGTAGCAGGTGATGGTGGCTACCTTGCAACTTGAAATATGCCGTTATGTCTTTCCTTTCTCACCATGACGAATTGTATGGGTTAGGGAAGACATTCATATCGGGGCAGACATTGGTATCAAGGAAATGATGAAAACAGTAGTGCAAGGGCAGGGTTCCCTGCTTCGAGTCCTGGCGATGCCAGTGAGCTCTCTGAAGCTTGGGATTATGGTATTGTCATGATTGTTGCGGTTTTCTTTCTTCGTTCTTTGTTTTCATTTTGTCACATTACCAGAATTGCTCTCCAGTGTTGATATTAAGCAACCGGAACCCGTCAAGGTCGCAGGAGTCAGAGTAGACCCACCTGTAACCATGCCAACTGAGGAAGAAACAACAGCAGCTGCATCAGCAGGATTGAAAGTGTATCCATCCAACCCGACTGCAACAAATCCATTGCCACTTGGACAGCAATTAGCACCACTGTCTCCACCAATGAAAAGCAGGACTGCAGCAGCAAGAGGAGGGCCTCGAGGAGGAGAAGCAGTAGTAGAAGCAGCAACACCAGCAGTAGCGGCAACACCAGCAGTAGCAGCAACACCAGCAGTAGCAGCACCAGCAGTAGCAGCAACACCAGCAGTAGCAGCAACACCAGCAGTAGCAGCAACACCAGCAGTAGCAGCAACACCAGCAGTAGCAGCACCAGCAGTAGCAGCAACACCAGCAGTAGCTGCAACACCAGCAGTAGCAGCAACACCAGCAGTAGCAGCAACACCAGCAGCAACAGCAGCAGTAGCAGCAACACCAGCAGTAGCAGCAGAAGCAGTAGCACCAATAGCAACAGCAGAAGTATGGGCACCTAGAGCAACAGCAAAGCTGGAACCAGGAACAACCGAAACCAAATCAACTCTGCCAGCACCTCGTACTTATTTAGGTGAGTTTTGCCTAGTTGACATTCGAAGGGTTGCCTCGTGATGAGTTAGGTTGACTATAGCAATAGCTGCTGCATGTCCTACTGTACGGATAGTAAGATCGTCTACAGGTCACCCCAGCCACCCGTACAGGTTCCTTTGTCCCGTTTCATCAGCTTTATGGTGAATGAGAAATAGACTTGAATGATTTCACAATTGGTATGCACTGAGGTGTCATGGCACCAGCCATTCATCATGGCAGCATTCTTAATCAATGGAATATGATGTGTGAGTGTTTGCACGCTCATGCTGATGCATGCACCCTGAAATCACATATTCCGTTTGTGGATGCGGTTTCTCCTCTTCTTTCTCCGCCCTTCTTTCCGTTCGCTTATATATTCAACCTCCTCCTCATATCCACTTGTATGGAGCGCCTCATTGTAGAGAGAGGCGGCCATATTAAACCATCAGCGCAACATCACGCGGTTTAACCCTCCGTTCAACAAAACGTACACACAAATGTGACGGGAAAATTCCTATGTCTCATTGATAAACACTTCACGAAAGGCTCAACACTGAACAAAGGAATCAACAGGAACACTGTAAAGGTCAGATATAGCTGAATGCAAAACGTCCGAAGCATTATCAATGCCAACAACAAACACATTCTCACAGCAACTACAAATCAGCGACAACACCCTGCCAAGACTGTAACTGTCGTAGCGCCACACAGTGCCCCCTTGATGGTGGTTGCCTGGACTGAGTTGCGGTGAGCCCCTAAGTGGGATCATTTGCAAGTCCACCCATAGTAGGGGATTTCAGGGGGTATCGGCCGTTGGGCGGTTCAATAGCCGGTTGAGTCCTCTTTCCAAGATTCCTTTTGAGTTCCTCTCTCCCCTCTCCCGGGGAGACCCATGTGACCAATTTTGGCAGTGAGCAAGCACAGTACAGTACAGTGTGTGTGTGTGTGTGTGTGTGTGTGTGTGTGTTTGTGTGGTACATGGAGCATCCTACAATTCACTGTGACGTCAATGCACACTCCATGATGTGTGCATCAATGGTCCGTGTGCTGCACGTATTTCCACCACTGAAAATATATGAAAACCAAGTACTATGAGAGAAAGAATTATATGAGCGGAAAGCTAGAAAATTCTCCATCATATCGACCTTTCAATGGAAGAAAGGGATTCACATCTCAATCTGATACCGCACTCGAAAGATTCCAAACCCGAACTCAAAAGACACACCATGACGGGAGCGTCTTTCCACTTTCCACTGCTTGACTCGTGGCGGCGCATTCCTTTCTTCACTGCAGCCATGGCTGCCAGTTCTGCTGTGCAGTTGCTGATAGTAATATGTCTCGAGGTTACCAAGGAGGAAAAGGAGACGTTCAAAAATCAAACCTGGAAAGCGTGTTGTGGTTCTCTGAAGACGTTTCATCAGGGCGCGGGATGAAAGCAGCAATTGGAGAACGAGAAAATTCAGTACAGTTCAAATCTGACGAGTCAGGTATACTGACACTCTCTTTCGTTCGACGCCACAAGGATCCCCCGCTTGACTTGCCATGGCTGCCAGTTCTGCTGTGCAGTTGCTGACAGTACTTGGTCCGCGTCAGCAATATTGTCGCTTATCTTTCGACAATTTGAACTTAGACTTTGGACATGAACGCGTGCACTTGAAGTGATAAAACTTGGTACGATGGACGGTAAGGTATAGAATGACAACTAGCTGCGAGGAATTAATTGTCCAAGGAAGGGTTCCTACTTTTTCAGTCCTCCTCGTCGCTGCTCTCGGCGCTGGCGACAAATATTTTTTGCTCGGGATCGACTCTCTTGCTTTTGCAAGCTCATCTCTCTTCCTCTCCGCTGCCTGGCTATTTTCTAAAGAGAAGTCGATCGTGAAGGTCGCCTTCTCTATAGGACTTCGCGTGGGCAGCACGACAGCCTGTGTGGTTCAAATCAGACGCCGTTCTTTGCAAGATTTTATTTTGAACGACGACGACGCGTACAGTACTTGCAAATCTCCACGACGCGCTGGATACTCCGAGCGTTGAGCTGGAGGTAAGGGAGCAGCGATCTCAGCTTGATGAGCGATTCCTGAGGTGAGCGATCTTGGCCGTTCAGCAAAATGGAGCTGATTCCGAGTAGCCGATTACTTTCTTGTGGCTTGCGCTGCTCTTGCCTGCACAGCGCAAAAAGATAATCTATTTTGATGGGGCGCTGTATCAATCAGAATCACCCACCTGTCGCTCTCGAAATCCACTCGAACTCTAGCTCGACCCTTCAGGTACTAGTAAACTAACTTGCTAACCAAAATTGGGATGAAATGGGCTGCCAATTAAGCATTGGCGACATAATAACAAAGCTGAAAGATAAGCGACAATATCGCTGACGCGGACCAAGTAAGACGTTTGAACGGTTTCATCAGTGCGTGGGATGAAAGCAGAAAGCGGAGAACGAGAAAAGTTCAGAATAAGTTAGTTACAATCTGACGAGTCAGATACACTGACACTCTCTTTCGTTCGACGCCACAAGGATACCGTGTTTGACTGGACAAGAGCTGCCTGTACCACCGTGTCAAAAGGCTGTCCAACTACATGGCAGGACAATGACTGAGGTAAGGAAGCTTTTACTCGTTTCGATTGGTCTGCTGTTCTGTCGTTTATATGCTTGATTTTTTTCTATTATCAAGGAGCGTATCGCGTTTGTTTGATGTTGCTTGAATGAATGCCCTAAAAGTAAATCAAGGACTTTGTAATACTTGGTCCGACTTATTATAATGTGCGTTTCGCTTCAAACGTCAACCAAACAAATTCAAATAATCTCAGGACGCAATAAACTTTCCAGCTACCTAACACTATCCTTCAGTTGTCAATTTGTGATGTTAAAGAAGAAATGGCTCCGACTCCAAAGGAGGCAGCGGCTCAGAATCCTAGTCGACTCGAGCATTTTGCGTCCAAATTTTGTCGTCAGAGGACTCCTGTTGCTTCTCGCGCAACACAGAGAAGGCCTGGTGCTGAAATCAACACCCCACTGCGATGGGAGATTGTCACGGAGTACGAGAAACTCCTGGGCGATCGTTCTCGAGTACCTCCTGGCGAATTGAAATCGCTGTAATCGCTCTTTCCTTGGCAGAATTTCAGCGAACGCGTCATCCAGAAACTCGTGCAGAAAGCACCCTAATCACTCCTTCCAGTTTGCTGATCTCTCTCGCAGTCGTTCACGATGTGGCGGCCGACGAATCAAGATCACAGAACGTCAGAAGAGATCGTCGAGAAGTTGATCGAAATAAATAACCTGCCTTGAGGTCGACTTTCAGGCGACAACCTAGCTGGAAAACTGAAGCGCAGAAAGGGTGAATTATCCGGCGGATACGGTGCGGAGTCCTCGGGGCCGCGATCGCGATGCGTCACAAGATCGCCAGCCTCCGGGGCCAGTGGATTCGTGAAACAGGCAAGGAAGAGCACGCATGGTCTGACTGCATCAGTGCATGACATGCCGACCAGGGATCCCTACACATACACTAGTACCTGGTATATGTTGGGCTCCCTGATGCCGACACAGATCAGACTCAAAGTGACAGTACGCGCGCGGCACACGGTGATGGGAAGTGATTTTTTACGCGTGGTGGTTTACTTGTTCGCCTCATTTGAAGGTGTCGTGGGAGCGTCAGGCAAAAACAACTACAGCCACCATTCTGGCAGTCGTGCTGCAATAGGAGGAGGCGAAGTCGATCGTCTAAATCGCGCCTATGGAGTGAAACAATCAAGGAAGCGCAGTGTAGCTAGGAGGAGATGAAAAAAATATCGATGTTTTGCAGGTTGACGCACGTTCAGATGCGCTCTGAGACACCAGCAGCGATGAAAACTAGAAGGTCAGGCCAAGAAACGACAAATTAGTTATCTATCTACTGTCTCTTAGTTGATTTTTTAGTACAGGTGCTCCTTTGTACATATGCTTGAGTTTTGAAGTGAAGCGCACATTTTATTAAGTCGGACCAAGTAGTTGCGTGACAATACTATCAGTCCTCAAGGACTGCAAGGACTTTGCATCAATTGTCTAGCTATCATCAATTTTATTTCATGAGAAATGTATTTTTGTCCTGTGATAATTATGTGAACTCCACGACACTCTTCCTGTAGTATGATGTCGAATACAATGGGATCGACAAACGCAGTGCCAGTGTACTAGTAGTAGGAGGATGATTGCTTGTATGCCGATGACAAGAAAAAGCCTCTCAAGATAATACTCGTATTCCATGAAGTAACCGTTTTGAGGTCATAAACATGACATTGTGTCAGTGAAATTGCCTCGTGACAACAAATCATTGCATTTCCGTCTTGGGGAAGAATATTTGACTGGCGGTAACGCTGTACAGATTGTTTAAATCATCTCATTTCAATTTAGTTGCAGTGAAGTGAAACACTGTCGGGTACACTACATGTATGTTGGTGTGTCTGTGCGTCTTGAGTGTGCACAAACGATCTTATTCCTCGTATTACTAATAGATTATTGTCCCCACCGTCACATGTTCACAGGTCTTTGAGTGGATGGATTTTCATTGTGCATCACTTTCGTTGAGAATTTGGTAGTTGAGTGCTTCCATGCATCATTACGGTAATAAGCGTATCCTTGTGCTATCTATTTGTTGCAGGTGTGCTGATCTTCAGGAGCTATGTCAGGCCCACAAGTAATTAGTTCATATTCATTAGTTCATGCATTATTCATTTGGCCTGGGTAGCTACTTGTGCGCCCATGTTTGCCATAGCTACCCAGGCCCTTTATATTGCGTTGCTTCTCTCATCAACTATCTCTCTTCAATAAGCTCTCTTCAACTCGCTCTCTTCAATAATCACCATGTAGTCATTTCGTTCGTCCTGGTCTTAGTCATCCCGTCTCTAATAAATGTCGTTCTACCAACCTACCTGTTTCCGTCGTCAGTCTCTTGTCTCATCATACCCCTCAACCACCTCCAACATCCGAAAATAATTATTTTTGACATTACGAAGCCTCTTGTACGGGCAAAATTAATAAACCGATACAATCATGTCATGAAAATACAAAAGATGACGAAAAGGATAAAGTAATATTGTTTGCGTTCCGCATCTCTCATTATGACGGGAAAAACAGGGCGCCCGGTTTTTTACCCCAAAAATGGGGTAGTATTTATTTATTGCATCATCATCCCGTGGCAAGCAATGCCAATATTGAATGAGAGAGGGTTGATAGGCAACCACGGCCAAATCAACAAAAGAAAGTAGTAGACATACGTATATAAGAAAGAAGATAACTCAAGAGATACGAATTACACAGTGGCCTAGAACAAGTGAATACCAGTTAGAGAAGTAAAGTAGCAAAAGTGGAAAGTCTTTGGCAAGTCTTGAAGTCCTGTGGCAGCAACGACCAATGTGTATATGCCAAAAATAGAGGGGACTTCAGAAGAGTGGCTGTGCGAGAGATAGGGAAGCAGAGAGAGAGTTTCGGGTAGCTGAGGACTGATGAAACCAGTTAAGCTGGGATAAAACATGAGGTAGGGCAAGACCAAGACGAATTTTATGAATTAGTTTACATGAAGAAAGTCTGAGCCTGTTAGAGAGAGGGCAGCTGAATGCGATAGCATAGACAGTATGAGAGGGCGTCAAATGGGAAATAGCAAAGGCAGCGCGAATTAAGCGATGATGTGTGACTTCGAGACGATTCGTGAGCGATGTGCTGATGCCAGCCCAAATGGAGGAACAGTAGTCAAATACAGGCAGAACATAGCATTTATACAGCATTAAACGGCAATCATGGGGAAAATGAGATAAGTGAGAGGAGTATCAATAGTACCCCATTTTTTCGGGCTGGGGCATGTACCTACTCCAGAACCCGCCCGACACATACTACTTGCATGCACGCACGCGCACACATACCGTGTCTCCTAGCAACAAAAACCCGAAATGTGGGCCAAACATACCGATACTATAGTAGCCAATACTATAGTATCGGTACGTTTATGGTAGACCGGTAAAGGGTTAAAAAGTGGAAGTCCGGTAAATATTTAAATTTCAGTGTCAATAGAGTTCGGAGTGTTAGTCCCACATGTCTCCGACAAAGCATTATTGAGATATTTTCGTTTGAAAAATTGAGTTTCGGATGCGGCACCATGACATCATGCGGCCCGACAGTCGACACACCCCCTCTGCAACGTCATAGAGTGGAGCTAAGTCAAACGGAGTGCGTGAAAGCAATAGTGGCAATGCTATTTCAAATGATTTGGCGACCGATAGTAGGTGGTGCAAGCGACCCCGACAACGTAACTCCATGTGAGAGTGAGGATGCAGCTATGGCCGACCTTCATGAGTTCTGTCTGGGGCTGAGAACCTCGGTATTCTGCAGAATAAATGGCCGCGTGGACCGGTCAAGAGTGAGCAATGCCGCGTTTGCGACTGATGAAGCACCAGCTATTGCAGATGGGGCTGATATAATTATCAGATCCCTGGAAAACCGAGTCATCCAAATGTAGAAGAGGAATGCCAGGGCTCTGATTGGTGTTCAATACTGACTCGCTTGGACTCCAGGGGCCTGCCGCATAGGGATTTTTGGTGCAAACTAGCACTTGGCGTATTTCAGACGGTGCTCGATTGACGAACAGTGCAGGCTTTTTGAACCACTGGCATGACTTTTCGATTCAAGGCTCACAACATTACAGGATCTGAAAGCTTTAGGTCCGGGAACTGTTCGCTGTGTTATCACTTGTCAGGGTTGTGGACTCATCGTTGTAGCATAAATGAGGCTGGACTATTCCATGCGGAACACATCAAGAGTTGTCGAGCTGAAAATAAAAGTGAACGTAGTGTTTGTAACGCCGAGTCGAATGGTCTTGGTCCAAAGAAGCTGCGACAAACGGGTCCCGAATCCAACGCGTCGCGAACTTTATGTACACATAATTAAAGTTGGTGCGGCTTTCTTGGCGAGTACCTCAATGGCAGTCTCCACCATGACCCTGTTAAACCCTATAGTATTGTACAAGGCATTCACAATTGCTTGAAATGTGGCCTCTTGCTGCACTGCTCCTGCAGCTGAGGGCGGCATCTTCGTCAGAGGTTGAAGCAGACTCACTCCCAATAGCACTTGACAAAATGCTGAAGAAGACTCGTTCAATTCAGAATATTTCTTTTTCAAGCGATCCAAGTTTCCAGGTAGCAGGTGATGGTGGCTACCTAGCAACTTGAAGTACGCGGTTACGTCTTTCCTTTATCACCATGCATTGCGCGAAATCGCGCATCTATGAGCGACATCCACATAAACTGCTGGAACCATGGTTGTGTACTCGAATCTCATTCTGAGCACCCTTTTTTCTTCCTTTTTTCAGCCGTTTTTTGCAAAAAGTCCTCGAGCTCGATTTTTTTGATCGATCGTTCTTCAAGGAAAGACGAGTGGACAATCGATCAACAGGGCCGAGGACAAATGCGTCTGGTTGGAGTTCTTGCGTGGCACAGGATGACCAGACACACATATAGATACATTGCGACGATCTAATCTGCACAGTGTTTCCTAATACCGCACGCACGACGGTAAGTACAATCCATGTGATTTCAAATTGTTTGTGATCTACAACGTCGCGAGCAGGACGGAAATACAGCAACAGCACGACAACCGTTATACCAGGCAGTAACCAACAGTCACCTCCGTCACATTCTCCAGATCAGAAGGCAAGTGCTAGTGAGGCAGTGAACATGAAGAAATAAAGTATGAAAGAATGAAAAGTGAATAATTCAAAAATCTCAGAAACGTTGAACGTAAAAAACACTGAGAACAAGAAAAGTGACTTACTTCGATGGCAAAAGACAAAGCGAATGTTCCTCGTATGGACCTGGCTCTTGCGGAATCAGCCACACTGTGGAACCATGTGTTTGATTCCACAAGGGATGGCTACCTGCTCCTCACCAACCAGCCTCCACGACGGTGGTAAAGTCGCCAAAAATACGAAAGTTGAACATTTTGTGCATGCATGCAATAGAAAATTTGTGCTGAGTATGTCGAGTGGCCATTCGCACAGGACAAAGCCGTTGCGCAAGCTGTGACCCTGAAATTTCGTCCATTGGTAGCGAGGGTAACCCTGAGCTGGAAAGTGTAAGGGATGGCATGCTACACTCCCCCGCATACGCTTGACAGCACGATTTGAGGCGTGGAGTAGTAATATACCAGTATCTTACTACCCCCTGATACCTGATGCATGGACGTCGTCATCTTCATCCCGCAGATCGAAAATGTACAGGTGTCGCGTGATTTCGCGCAATGGAAGATATTTGTATGGGTTAGGGAAGACATTGGTATCGGGGCAGATATTGGTATCAAAGAAATGATAAAAACACTAGTGCAAGGGCAGGGTTCCCTGCTTCAAGTCCTGGCGATGCCAGTGAGCTCTCTGAAGCTTTGTATTATGACGTTGTCATGATTGTTGCGGTGTTCTTCGTTCTTTGTATTCATTGTGTCACATGACCAGAATTGCCCTCCAGTGTTGATATTGAGCAACCGGAACCCGTCAAGGTCACAGCAGTCAGAGCAGACCCACCTGTAACCATGCCAACTAAGAAAGAAACAACAGCAGAAGCTGCGTCAGCAGAATTTGCAGTGTATCCATTCAGCCCGACTGCAACAAATCCAGTGCCACTTGGACAGCAATTAGCACCACTGTCTCCACCAATGAAAAGCAGGACTGCAGCAGCAAGAGGAGGGCCTGGAGGAGGAGAAACAGTAGTAGTAGCAGCAACACCAGCAGTAGCAACACCAGCAGTAGCAGCAACACCAGCAGTAGCAGCAACACCAGCAGTAGCAGCAACACCAGTAGTAGCAGCAACACCAGCAGTAGCAGCAACACCAGCAGTAGCAGCAACACCAGCAGTAGCAGCAACACCAGTAGTAGCAGCAACACCAGCAGTAGCAGCAACACCAGCAGTAGCAGCACCAGCAGTAGCAGCAACACCAGCAGTAGCAACACCAGCAGTAACAGCAACACCAGCAGTAGCAACACCAGCAGTAACAGCAACACCAGTAGTAGCAACACCAGCAGTAACAGCAACACCAGCAGTAGCTGCAACACCAGCAGAAGCAGTAGCACCTATAGCAGCAACAGCATCATGGGCACCTCGAGCAACAGCAAAGCTGGGACCAGGAACAACCGAAACCAAATCAACTTTGCCAGCACCTCGTACTTATTCAGGTGAGTTTTGCCTAGTTGACATTCGAAGGGGTGCCTCGTGATGAGTTATGTTGGCTATAGCAATAGCTGCTGCATGTCATACTGTACGGATAGTAAGACCGTCTACAGGTCACCCCAGCCATCCGTACAGGTTCCTTCGTCCCGTTTCATCAGCTTTATGGTGAATGAGAAATAGACTTGAATGATTTCCCAATTGGTATGCACTGAGGTGTTATGGCACCAGCCATTCATCTTGGCAGCATTCTTAATCAATGGAATTTGATGTGTGAGTTTTTGCGCGCTCATGCAGATGCATGCACCCTGAAATCACATATTCCGCTTGTCGATGCGGTTTCTCCTCTTCTTGCCCCGCCCTTCTTTCTGTTCGCATTTGTAATCAACCTCCTCCTCATATCCACTGGCGTGGAAAGCCTCATTGTAGAGAGGGGCGGCCATATTAAACCATCAGAGCAACATCATGTTGTTCACCCCTCCGTTCAGCAAAAACGTACCCACAAATGTGACGGGAAAATTCCTATGTCTCATTGATAAACACTTCCCGAAAGGCTCACCACTGAACAATGTAATCTACAGAAACACAGTAAAGGTCAATTTCAGCTGAATGTAAAACGTCTGAAGCATTATCAATGCCAACAACAAACACAAATCAGCAGCACCACCCTGCCAAGACTGTAACTGTCGTAGCGCCACACAGTGCCCCCTTGATGGTGGTTGGCTGAAGACATCAATAGTGTACAAAGCAACAGTAAATGATGACAGTTTGCTTTCTTTGAATTATTACTTGAGCATGCAGATAGTAGAACACCTCTTCTAGCACTGATGACATGGCCCCCATCATCCTTTTAGGGTTTTCTTGAAATATACAATTTTGAATTTTTCCACTCGACCATGCTGAAATACGTCCAAACTCATACCTGCACAGGAAAGCTCGCCCCTCCGCGACGTCTAGTCAGCAATTCCTACTCCAACACCACTTCCAACTCTGCAGAACAAAGTGTATTGTTGACTCTGACAAGGAAAAGCAGATGTGATCACTTGTCACAAGCTTCTCCTTGCACCACCAACATTTTTCGGTGCAACATTTGATGCATAAGTGACTGGATTTTGCATGTAGTTTTTGAATTGCATTCAGTCAACTGATCATGAGCCACAGCTTTATGCCTCACGATGAGTTATGTTGGCTATTGCAATAGCTGCTGCATGTCACGCTGTACGGATGGCAAATCTGTCTCAGGGCTGCCACTTGCTCTGATTTTTCGGAAAGCGTCCGATTTTTGATCACCTGTCGGACAAACCGAACGATTTTATTCTCAAAGAGGGAAAACCGATTATTTTATTTTGAGCGCTTTTTAGTCCAGTTGGCCATTCGGCGCTTCCTGGTCGCGTTTGGCCAGTCATTGTACATGTGGCTGTAAAATGCACGCGTGCTTGCATGTGTGTGGACAGTTAAAAATGTGTCCTGGGGCCCCAACGGCAAGGCATTTTCCTAACTTTTCACCGGGGGACACCCCGTACCCCCCCCCCCCAGATTTTATCAAGTTAGTCAATGTGATGGTAGTAGTCTTAGTCTCCATTTCCCAAAAGTTCAAAGGCCCAGTTTGCCGGGAGCACAAAGTTGTGGAGTTTCCTCTTTGCCTTACTTTTAGCAGATTTGTCCAGTAGCTGAATAGCACACCCTTGTAGCGGTAAAAGGGCTTAAATGATTCAGATGAGTGAAGAGGAAGGTACAGAAGCAAAATCTGGCCGCCTTGCCCTGGATTCGCTCAAGGCGGCCAAGGGCTGTAATTGAGAGCGGGGTGACAGCAATGCATTGATATTCAATTATAGGCATGAAATGTGTTTTGTGAATGAGAGAGAGAGAGAGTGATTTAGTGTGTAGAGTTGATTTGAGCCTAAAGAGAATATTAACCGGGTATGGCATCACGGGCTGATGGCTAAACTCAAACACTATGCTGTCCAGGAAGCAGCACTGCGATGGTTCTCTGCATACTTGATTGGGCGCAGGCAGCAAGTGCGAGTTTGAGACCACTACATTAGCCTTTCTCCCTATCCCAGCAGGAGTGCCTCAGGGGTCAGTCCCGGGATCACTGCTTTTTCTGGTATGCACCATCGACCTGCCTGCCGCTTTCAATAAACGCTAGCACCAGGTGCAGCCAGTTTGCCGACAACGCAGCCCTCGTCTGTTCCAGCACACCGCGAACTGCAACTGAAGGGCAGTGTGTCAGCCGCCGTTGGATGATTGGAGCGCTGGCATCTCCCAATCAACACTGCTAAAACGGAAGGGACCCCCCCCCCCCCCCCACTATCTCCCAAGCATAGAGCTAAACAATGCACATCTCAGAAATGTCCTGCAACATTGCCACCTCGACAATACCTTTCAGCATGACCAAAGATGGACAGCCCACCTTGACTTTGTGCTGAAGAAAGCTGAAAATCATTTAAAGGCTTTGCTCGGGTCAAAAAACCAAGCTGTGACATGCTCTCCCAAGTCACCTTGCTTTCTGTGTTGCGGCCCAGGTAGTGTTGCCAATTGTATCCATTTATAAAAGGGAAAAAACACATTTTACGAGTTATGACTAATGGTTCACCAAAGTAACCAGATAATATAGAGTCAGATAGAGATAATGAGACGATCAACTCCTAAAATTATGTTCATCCTTGCACCAACAAATACAATTGACACACCTTACAAGTCATCACAATCTTTAAGGTTGAATTTTCGTATTGTGGAACTACTTTTTGTAGTGCCTAACTTGTGCATCATTCTAGCACCAACCATTTCCCTGTTTTTTAAATATCTGGTTTCACTGCCGGACCATTAGTCGTAAATCGTAAAATTTTGTCCTTCCCTCTATCCAGGTTCCTTATAGTTTAAAATATTCACTTTGCTTGTTTCTTTATCAGAAATGCCCAGCTCAAACATGGCCAGACTGGGTGCACCCACGCAAAGACAGGAGAAGGAACTTGCAGCATCTCAAGACAGTCCGGAATTTTTGACATCGCCGGAACGAGTGAGTTAAGAATTGTTCTATTTTTTTTACCTTGGCGTGGTTCCTCATTAGTTTACGGAAAGCCGGAGGCAGAAGTTGGTAAGAATAGAGATGTGTCCAGGTACCAAACAGATACTGGAAATATAGAGCACTCATGCTCAAGTTTTCTGGGTTTGTCCAAGGGACGATGGCACGAGTGGAAGCCAGCATAGGTAAAGTTTTCACGCAAAGTTCTAGATGTCAGCATGCGGTGGAAAAGAAAGGATCTTCTTAATGAAGTCATTTGTACGGTGTCACAAGGCAATAGTCCATGGCGGGACGCAGGCCTGGACGTGATCTACTTGTGCGATAACAAACTGGTTGTCTTCAGACGTGGACAATCAGGAGGTTTCTCAGTGGGAAAAAATTGTCGTGAGGCGTTTTATACAAAATATTATCAGTCAATCCCGACGAGAGAGCTCTTCCGCTGCTCTTCAACCCCTCTGACAAACTATAGGCCAGTGTCGCTACTTCCGATTTTGTCAAAGTTGCTGGAAAAGCTGGTCCAGCGGCAGCTTGTACGGCATCTCAACCACACCGGCGCTATCCCGGAAACTCAGTTTGCATTTCGCCGGCAGCACTCGACGGGTGATGCACTAGCCTTACTGGTTGATCAGCTGCAAATGGCTCGAGACAAGAAGGACTCATCTGGAGTGTGCTTCCTTGACATGTCGAAGGCATTTGACAAAGTGCGGCATGCAATTATGATCCAGGACTGCTTTGAAATTGGAATTGGCGGTATGGTGATGAAATGGCTCGTTAGCTACCTTACAAACCGGACACAACAAGTCCGCATCGGTAGCGAACTGAGCAACATCACAGTATGCACAAGTGGAGTACCCCAGGGATCTGTATTGGGGCCCATCTTGTTCAATATATACACCCCAGCGGTAGCTGCAGTAGCTCACCCGACCCCTAGCATACAATTTGCTGACGATATTGCACTATACAAAAGTGGTTCCAACACGGCAACTTTTTCACTGGGACTCTCGTCATCCGTCACTGCGCTGGCCGACTGGCTCGAAAACCGCGGCCTGATATTGAATGAACGCAAAAGTCAAGTTCTGTCCATCTGTGGGAGGGATGCGCAAACCAGTATCGCTGTAAATTGCCATCAGACCCGCTTACCTGCTTGTACTGCGGCCAAGTACTTGGGTTTAACCATCACCGAGCAACTGACTTGGGACCACCATATCCACGATGTTACAGCGAAGGTGAACAGGAAAATCGGAGCATTGTGGCGAGCCCGGCAATCCCTTTCCCAGAAGGCCAGGGTCCAGTACCTAAAATCCGTTGTGATGCCCGACCTATTATATGGAAGTGTGGCCTATAGCACGTCCCTCTCAGTTTTTGCTCTAGGGAAACTCCAACGTCTTCAGAACCGTGCCATCCGCGCTGTGTTCAGCCTACCACCCACATCTTCGGTAAGCCACCAAAGGGAGAGCATATCCCTCCGCAAAATCGAGGAGACACAACACCACCGACTCCTCGATCTCATCTGGCGCGGCCTGAACGGCCAATGTAGTACAGTGCTTTCAAAGCAGCTGACGGCCGCAACCACGGCCCCAACTCGACATCAAGCCAACGCCGGGCTCATTCTCCCGCTGGCCAGGACGAATACAGGCACTCGCCGACCGTTCTTCCGTGGACCTGCGCTGTGGAACACTCTGCCAGCCAGTGTACGTTCCTGCAAAGCCGTGGCCGATTTCGCAGCAGCCGTTCACCCGTACACTCTCAGGCCATAAGCGTTTTTTAAAGAAGAGACACAGTGACATGCACCTCCCCCCCCCCCTCACTCTCAGGCCATAAACGTTTTTTTTTTAAAGAAGAGAAACAGTGACATGCCCCCCCCCCCCCCACACACATGGACAGTATGTATAGGCATAATATTATAACGAACGGTCTTTTCCTGTTAGCTCTGTTTGTCCAATGCATGAGATAAAACGTTTTTCCTGTTGTTTTTCCTTCTCCATGTAGCTGCTTCCAGCATGGTAAACGACAGTACCATGGCCTTTTCAGATTTTCATTGTACCTATTTGTAGTACCTCCCGTGATCAGTATTTTCCACTCGAAATATATCCACCCCAATGCCTCATTCTTAGCATTCTTTTATTCGTTCCATGTAATTGGGCTTATTGCCCGTTTGGTATTGCGAATTCAAATAAAAAACAACAAGAAACAACAACCCCCCCCCCCCCACACACACACACAGAGCAACTGTTCTTCAAGTTGTAAGGGAAAAGAGTTCTGGAAGAAGCACTTGCGAGAAGGACAACGTGAATGTTTGAAAAACATGTAACAGTCCGTGCTTGGCATGACGTGAGTGCAGCGGAGAACACGGAGGCAAACCCCATGCACACACCAACGACAACAGGGGCTTGGACTAAGTATAGGTCGTAGAAGTCAAAACAGAAACCAGGAGAATTCAGCACCATTTGCATCATTTTCATCTGAAAAACTGGCTGGCTTGTCTCTGCTGGGCAATGCCAACAGTAAGCTCTCGGTGCTGAAGCGCCAAGAGTTCCTAGAACATCTTGATAAGAGCCTGGTGCCCATGGCGGAGGAGCCATTTGATAAAGCGGGCATGGCCCTGTTCGGCCCGGAACTATTGGAGCGCATCCAGTCCAAGGGAGAGTCCCAGGAGGCGCTGGGCTTGGTTGTGAAACAATACAAGGACGCAGTCGAGCGACAGCAAGTCTGGCTCTGGAGGGGCGTCAGCGGGTGAAAGCCAGTTTTTTCGAGGTACTGGGGTCAGCAGGTACGGCGGTGACTCCCGGTACGAGCCTTGCACCAGCCCATACAACCAGACTCAATATAGCCGAGCTGGTCGTGGCTATGCTAACCGAAGCCGGATGCTTCCCCACCAGAGCAACAGGACGGTCAAGGAGTGGACACCAGCTACGCAGCATAGTGGCGGTGTGGATATAAGTGCCAAAGGAGGTCTGGACTGGCGGATGCTGTTCGCCGTATCGGCTCAAGACTGGGCTTTGCCTCTCTAGCAAGTGTGTTTCCCGCCTTTTCCAGTACGGGAGCTCTGCTCGGTACAACATGTGTTGGCGTAGGTGAGCGCTCCGCATCGTGGCGTACGGCGGACAGCACATAGCCGTCCCTCTTAGGGTCATTCAGGGGGGGGGGGTCTGGCATCAGCGTCGGCAGCCATTTACAGTGCAGCCGTTCTCAGCTCCGGGGTTTAGGCAATAGCCTGACCTGCTGGTATCGGTATCTGTATTGTGTCTTGTGCGCATTGAAGAATACTGGTGTACTAGCTGTGCTAGCACTTGTTAGCAGCAATCCGAACTAGCGCACATACTGCACTGCATTGCTTTGTACTGCATTCAAGACTGACGTCATGCGCTTTGTTTTGCTGCGTAATCACAAATGGCACCAGCCCATTTTGCTGAAAAGAAACCAAATCTTGCTTGCCCTGTTGTGCTCTTCCAGACAACGGATCGTGCTTCAGCAGTGTTTCTTTCCCTTTCGTAGCTTTGCTGCCAGCCCGAGTGTCGCCTCGACACTGTATTTCTTCAGTATGTCTGACCTAACTGTCGACGCTGTCAAGGCAATGCCTTGCCAAGCCCTCCGCGGCGAGCTTTCTCAGCGCGGCTTGAATCCGAAAGGAAACTTAGTAAAAGTATTTTACAGGACCGTTTGCTGGCACAACTAGCCCCTGGTAGTGAGGTCTGCTCCGGCCAGGAGAATCAGCAACATGACAGTGCGGACACGGCTCGCGAGCCCAGAAGCCCGACTGGCACCAATGCCTCCTCCGCCAGCTCAGGTGACGCGGGCTCAACGGATCTCTGCGCGTTCGTATGGGATGAGGTGTAGTCGGCTTTGTCGGCCGCCATTATATTATAATCGGAGAGCATTGTGCTGCTCCGCACCCAAGGCCAAGGCAATGCGGCTGCTGCCGCCACTATGCCAGGCCAAGCTCCTGTAACCCACCCGATCAGCCACCTGCACCAGCTGTGCCCAAGGCTGTGTAAGAACGTATCTTGCGAGGGGAGTTCGTAGATTTTTCAAGTTTGTTGCCTGAAATTCTTGCACACTTCCGGCCCAACATTCCGGCTGGTGCACTGCCCGAATAACGATAGCCAGCTAAATATCATTGAGTCGGATGACACGAAGCAGGTGCGTCGCAAGGTTCACAATAATTATACAGCTACCCGGCTCGAGGCATGGACCACATACATGTCTGTTATCACGGCTGCTTCCCTACACCGCACTGCTAAACTGCTGAACTGATTGATTGCATACTAGCAGTTGATCCTGACTGCGAACCGCCAGTTCTTCCCAAGCGCGTGGCTAGAGTACGACCGCCAGCTGCGGATGCTCGTGGCCCAGTAACCAGGCACGAAGAGGTTGGACACCATCGACGTGAACCTATGGCAGATAGCTTTCACAGGCCATGCACACCCAAAATGCGCTCAATGTAAGACGGTCCATCCAGGGGCGGCTTGTGTCCTTTTCGTCCCCAAGCCAGCAGCATTTACCTCCAACGGTCGCAACCATACCAGCGACGGCCAAGAAATTTGCCGCAACTTCAATGAAGGTCGCTGTTCTTCGTCGTTGTGCCGCTTCTCCCACACCTGCAGCCAGTGCGGCAAGGACCACCCATGCATCATGTGCAACCAGCAGCAGCACGTAGCCAGTCGGCCACCCCGCCGCTCCTAGCAGAATGGCTACTGAATCGCTTGACTCGGTTCATAGCTTCTTTCCTATACACGCTGCAGACACCACACTGCTAGCTGACCACTTTGCCCGCCTGTTACGTAACCACTCAGATCAATCATGTGCTGCGTATGTTCTCCATGGCCTGCGCCGTGGCTTTACTCTTGGATCAGCCGGCCAACACGACATTTCGGTTTTCTCTAATAATCTGCCCTGGGCTTTCACTCACTCGGCTTTTATATCCGAGCAATTAGCTGCTTCCTGCGCCCGCAGCGAGACCACAGGCCCATTCCCGTCACCTCCATCTGGTATTGGTGCTATCCCCAAAAAGAACGGCAAGCTGCGAATGATCCACCATCTGTCTAGTCCGGAAGGCACCGGCGCGAACGACAGCATTCCTGCCGAGCCGCTCTCTCTGTACTACGTGAGCATTGACAACGCGATCAACATCATCATGTCATGCCCACAGCCTGTGTATTTGTCCAAGCACGATGTACGCAGTGCATTTCGGCAGATCCCAGTCCGCCGTCAGGACTTCCCTGGGAAGGCTCCTACTACTACGAGCGCTTTCTGCCTTTCGGCCTCCGCTCCAGCCCAGCCGTCTTTGACTCAGTAGCCACAGCAGTCAATTGGATCATGCAGCACGAGTTTGCTATAGACCGCCGGCTTCATTACCTCGATGACTTTCTCGATATCTCTACTGGTTTGGCTGCAGTCAACCAGCAACTCACCATCCCCCTCCGGGTATTCACGTATCTCGGCATTCCTCTTTGCTCCATCACAGCTCGAAGGGCCATCACCATCCTTGACCTTCCTTGGTATTGTCCTAGACTGCGAGCGCCACGAAGCTCGGCTTCCAGAGGACAAGCTGTCCGAGATCCGTGCGCCACTCATGGCTACTATCAGCGAACGCAGCATCGGCCAGTGTCAACTCGAGCCCCTCCTGGGGAAGCTCGCTTTTGCTGCCCGAGTCATCGTTCCTGGACACACATTCATGCGTGAACTATGATCAGTGTGCCCTGAACTGTATCTGTGTATGTGAGTGCGGTGCGTAAAGCCCACCATGAGAATGGCTTTGCCGGCCCTTTTAGTAGATGTGTGGCTTCTGAAGAGGGTGTTGAAGGGCATCCAGCGATGCCATGGTACGGCTGTACTCACCCCTCGCCTTCCTATAACTATGCCAACCCTACGGCACCTGACGGATGCACGCCGGAAAAGTAGTATCCTGAATGGCCATGACAAGCTGCTCTACCAAGCCACCATGCTACTTCTTTGGATTTCTTCGGTGTGCCAAATTCACTAATGGCATCACACGGGGCTGTACTAGCTCCCCTGGCGACGGACGCCTGCAACTCTTCCTGCTTTCATCCAAGACGGACCCATTCGGTGAAGGGGTTACTAGTGGTATTGACCCGTCTGTACCGCCGTACTGCCCGGTCCGTGCCATGGGTAGCTACACATTTGTCACTCGTCGCGAGGGACCGGAGCAACTCTTGTTCGTACTCTCGAACAGACAGCAGCTGACCAGGCAGTCATTCACAGTAACAGTACGGTCTCTTGTCGCGGCGGCCGGTGTACCATCCCAGTCGAACTACTCCGGGCATTCAGTCCACATTGGTGCAGCCACCACCGCTGCTATGGCTGGTGCCCCCGACTCCTTCTTCCGAGTGGCAGGTCAGTGGAAAGAGCGATGCGTGTCTTTGCTACATCCGGACTACAACAAGCGCTAAGCGCCAGCTATCGTCCCGGCTTGCTGCCAAGTCATGGATGCCATGATCCCCAACTCGGGTGAGTAATGAGCTACTGAACTCTAGCTGCGCAATGCTTGCCTGTGCAGACATTAATTGACCCTTGCTGTGCGTCAATAGTGCTTAGCTAACGAAGTGCTGGTTTCATGGGTCCACTCTCACAACTGGTGTTATCCAGCTATTTGCTGCGGCTCTGCATTGCGCTATATTACATCCATATAGCATTGCAGCTCTACGTTGAGCTAACAGCAGCTCTACTTTGAGCTAAACGCAGCTCTACTTTGAGCTAACCGCAGCTCTACTTTGAGCTAACCGCAGCTCTACTTTGAGCTAACAGCAGCTCTACTTTGAGCTAACCGCAGCTCTACTTTAAGCTAACCGCAGCTCAACTTTGAGCTAACAGCAACTCTACTTTGAGCTAACAGCAGCTCTACGTTGAGCTAACAGCAGCTCTACTTTGAGCTAACAGCAACTCTATTTTCAGCTAACAGCAGCTCTGCTCTGAGCTAACAGCAGCTCTGCTATGAGTTTACTGCAGCTCTGCTCTGAGCTAACCGCAGCTCTACTTTGAGCTAACCGCAGCTCTACTTTGAGCTAACCGCAGCTCAACTTTGAGCTAACAGCAACTCTACTTTGAGCTAACAGCAGCTCTACGTTGAGCTAACAGCAGCTCTACTTTGAGCTAACAGCAGCTCTATTTTCAGCTAACAGCAGCTCTGCTATGAGCTAACAGCAGCTCTGCTATGAGTTTACTGCAGCTCTGCTCTGAGCTAACACCAGCTCTACTTTGAGCTTCAAACCAGTTGTTTCGAAACCAGCGCTCCTCAATCCAAAGATGTCTCTTTGTTGACTTGTTTGTGTGAGGGATGGGCTAATGGTGTACTAGCTGTGCTAGTACTTGTTAGCAACAATCCGAACTAGCGCACACACTGCACTGCATTGCTTTGTACTGCATTCAAGACTGACGTCATGCGCTTTGTTTTGCTGCGTAATCACAAATGGCACCAGCCCATTTTGCTGCAAAGAAAACAAATCTTGCTTGCCCTGTTGTGCTCTTCCAGACAACGGATCGTGCTTCAGCAGTGTTTCTTTTCCCACCATCCCTCCCTATCCTACTTATTCACACCATCATTATAATTATCGTACCCACTAATCGGCTCCACTCTCACAACTGGTGTTATCTAGCTATTTTCTGCGGCTCTGCCTTGCGCTATATTACATCCATTTAGCATTGCAGCTCTACGTTGAGCTAACAGCAGCTCTACTTTGAGCTAACAGCAGATCTACTTTGAGCTAACAGCAGATCTACTTTGAGCTAAACGCAGCTCTACTTTGAGCTAACATCAGCTCTACTTTAAGCTAACGGCAGCTCTACTTTGAGCTAACAGCAGCTCTACTTTGAGCTAACAGCAGCTTTACCTTGAGCTAACAGCAGCTCTACTTTGAGCTAAGAGCAGCTCTACTTTGAGCTAATCGCAGCTCTACTTTAAGCTAACAGCAGCTCTACTTTGAGCTAACCGCAGCTCTACTTTGAGCACCGCAGCTCTACTTGGAGCTAACAGCAGCTCTACTTTGAGCTAACCGCAGCTCTACTTTGAGCTAACAGTAGCTCTGCTCTGAGCTAACAGCAGCTCTGCTATGAGCTAACTGCAGCACTGCTCTGAGCTAACACCAGCTCTACTTTGAGCTTCAAACCAGTTGTTTCAAAACCAGCACCCCTCAATCCAAAGATGCCTCTTTGTTGCCTTCCTTGTGTGAGGGATGGGGCTAAACTGTTTTATCGAAGCTTGAAGCTACGATGCGCAATTTCTTATTTCGCTAGCAATGGTACATTGTGACGGGAAGTGGGAGTTGTGCTAGGAGCTGAGAGCGAGATATAACAGTGTCCCACCCGCCCTTACGGGTTGGTGGATATTATTTTGGGAATCATTCATTTTTCCTGTCACATATGCGTAGTCTCGCTTCACAAAAAAAGGCAACTGTAGTGATGTGGTTGCGTGATTCTATTTGTCCATGCTGTGAAGTTCCGGTGGGATATCTATGACGTCATAGGCAATACACTGTTATATCTCGCTCTCAGCTCCTAGCACAACTCCCACTTCCCGTCACAATGTACCATTGCTTGTGAAATGGGAAATTTCATTGTCCCCATCGATCGGAAAAACTTTCGTTTCTCTTCCATTCTCATCACAAGTAGAGGTTCCTGCACGAGCACGAGGGCAGTGCCGTGGATGAACAGCGATACTGACCGAGTATGAGTGACTGGAATGTGTTTCCTGTATGCACCCAAGCCAAGGAGATCACTCACAATCTGTGAGTTTACATGACCCATTCTGTGATTTGAGTATGAGCCTGTGCGCTGAGACTTGTGAGAGTGACTTCGACAGCGGTATATTACTAGAACACGGACTACAGTACATGACTTTTGCATGTACTTTCAGACCACAAAAGCTTGTCACTGAAATGGTAGACTCATTCCACATTCCGTTCCCGCCCGTTGTCAAGTGACGACGGCCAGTGGATTCTGTCCTACTTTCAGACCACAAAAGCTTGTCACTGAAATGGTAGACTCATTCCATATTCCGTTCCCGCCCGTTGTCAAGTGACGACGGCCAGTGGATTCTGTCCACTGCCCGTCACTTGAGGACGGACTGTGGAACTAGTACCATCACCATTCAGCAGGCAGGATCGCGCTTTCCAGCCCGCGCAATTTGATCTGTCATTGGTCGACTCCAAGGCAACAATCGTGTGACATACAGGAACACCTTGTTCTAGCCCATGACTTTCCCAAAAATAATACTGCAATGCGACGCCACATTGGTGTCCCAGTGAACATATCACACTGATGGCAGGCGCTCATGTAAGGCTGTTACCTGTAGGCTCCTTTCTTGCAAACAGCATCAGGGCATGCCATTAGCCATTTGTCTCTTCAGTGCATTCCAATATTCATTTGTCCCTTCTTCCCCAAATCATTATATCTCTGGTGAGTGGATAAAATGTTCCCACAAGGGAGCTCGTGAAAGTTCCGAAGGTATTTCAATACCTGGTGTACTTTTTCTACCTGTGCGTGCTGCGACATGCGCGTGGGTGTGTGTGTGTGCGTGTGTGCGTGTGTTTATGTGTTCATGTGTGTGTGTGTGTGTGTGTGTGTGTGTGTGTGTGTGTGTGTGTGTGTGTGTGTGTGTGTGTGCGTGTGCGTGCATGTGCGTGTGGAACTCAGGAAGCCATAACCATACGGAAACAACTACCTCCACCCCTTCTGGTGAGTTCAGGGCCAATGTTGTGAGTAGTGACAGTACTCCCACACACTCTTTAACCCCCATAGGGTGATAGTTTCTGGACGTCATTGAGGCGCATTTCCTTTCTAGATACATGCAGTAGTAGAAAGAGGAGGGGAGATAGAGCCCCAGCGATAGAGACGGAAAGCAAACGAGAGAAAAGAAGAGAGACAGACAAACAGACAGACAGACAGATAGACAGACAAACAGACACACCGACAGACAGACAGAGAAAGAGAGTCAGAGAGAGACAGGAAGAGAGACGGAGACATAGACAGAGACAAAGACAGAGACAGAGACAGAGCGAGAGCGAGGGAGAGAGAGAGAGAGAGAGAGAGAGAGAGAGAGAGAGAGAGAGAGAGAAAAGAGAGAGAGAGAGAGAGAGAGAGAGAGAGAGAGAGAGAGAGAGAGAGAGAGAGAGAGGAGAGAGAGAGAGAGAGAAGGGAGGGAGGGAGGGAAGGATGGAGGGAGGGAGGGAGGGAGGGAGGGAGGAGGGAGGGAGGGAGGGAGGGAGGGAGGGAGGGAGGGAGGAAG